ACCATAGGGGAGCAAAGTGGCTTCCTTTCTCTGCGTCTGCACCTTTGTGATAGGAAGGGACAATCAATGATCAGAGCACAGATTTCCAGTGTTTGGAGGACAGTTTCTTTTTGGCCCACCCTGGCTCCTGCAAGATGTGTGCTAGTTGCTGCAGAAACACAGGTGGGTGGCTGGGTGTGGGGGATGGGCTGGGGTGAAAGGGGTTGAAAGTAAGCTCAGCCGAATGGCCAAATCCTCCCCTGGAAGTTGCAATCCTTCGGTAGAATTCCGGTTTACAGAACAGTGACATCAGATGGATCCCGTCAGTGTGACTGTTTTCCAGGTGGGAGATAGAGTCCTGGTGCTTCCTGTTCCACCGTCTTCCCAGAATCCTCCAAGCTGCATTAGCTTCTGTCCTTTGTTTGCCTTGCTCTTCCACCATGCTCTTCCAGAGGGGAGGAAACATGTTGCTCTCCTATCACTGCTTCCCAGGGTACATCTGTTTGGCACTTATGGTAAAGTCTCAGTTAACTGGCCTTTCCTAAAATTCCTGTGTTCTTGTTCTCTTATGGTCCTCTTAGGGTGGGTCACAGGGACAGCAGGGGCTGGGCTGCAAGCAGCACGTGGGCGCCTATTACGGTTGTGCAGGAAGGAGAGAGAGACGGGGACTGCACTGGGTTGGGCATGTCCCTCTCGCCCCCAATTCATTTCCATCTGGAACCTATGAGTGGGATCTTTTTTGGAAATAGGGTCTTTACTAGATGCAAGACATTAAAATGATGTCATTCTGGATTAGGGTGGATTGATGGTTGGTGTCCTTATCAGAAGGCCTCATGAAGATGGAGGCAGAGATTGAAGTGCTGCATCTACAAGTCCAGGATTACTGGCAACCCCCAGAAGCTGGAAGAGACAGGAAGGATCTTTCCTTCTTGCCCTGGAGGAAGCATGGCCCTACTGATACCTGGATTTTGGACTTCTGGCTTCCAGAATTGTGAGAGAGTAAATTTCTGTTGTGGACTTTGTTAAGGCAGCCTGAACACACTAATACGGACAGGGATGAGGGCCGGGAGGCTGTGCCTTTTATTTTTAAGGCTGATCCACAGACTATAGAATTCTTCCTACTTTTGTATCTTGAGATGGAGCCATGAAATTGTGGGTTCCAGCAAAAGGCTCTCGTGGGGGACATTAGCCCATGTGCTGATTCCTGTGCAGTGTACGTGTATAAAGCTGGGATTCTAGGACAGGCCTTGCTCTCTGACAGCGGTGGTATTTTTCTGATTACACAAGGGCCCTTGGCCAGATTGGTCAGTACCTCTCTGTCCAACTTCAGAGAAAGCAGAGTGCCAAAAACCTGAGGCCCCTCATGCTGCTGGTGGGAGGATGCTTTTGGGGGCTGCCCTGCTGTGCAGTGCGCCACCCTCTAGTGGTTTTGCTTTTGTTTTTCTAGCTCTGGGAGGTTCCCAGCTATGAAGAAGAGTAGGGTAATATCCCCAGCAAGCCTCCAGGTGAACTAGGTTCTTTCTAAAGTGATGTTTGAAAGCTTTTTTAAAGATTTTATTTAGGGGATCCCCTGGGTGGCTCAGTGGTTGGGCGGCCGCCTTCGGCTCACGGCGTGATGCTCAAGTCCCGGGATCGAGTCCCATGTTGGGCTCCCTGCATGGAGCCTGCTTCTCCCTCTGCCTCTCTCTCTCTCTCTCATAACTCATAAATAAATAAATAAATAAATAAACAAACAAATAAATAAACAAACAAACTTAAAAAAATAAAGATTTTATTTATTTGAGGCAGAGAGACAGAGCTAGTATAAGTGGAGACAGAGGTAGAGGGAGAAGCAGACTCCCCACTGAGCAGGGAGCCGAAGTAGGGCTCAATCCCAGGGCCCTGCCTGAGATCATGACCTAAATGGAAGGCAGACACTTGACTGAGCCCCCCAGGCATCCCTGAAAGCTGGTATGGAAGACAAAAGTAAGGCTGGTGAGTCCTTCAGAACTAACCTCACCCCTGCAGTCAGCCACGTGTCTGTGGTTTTTCTGTGTCTGTATTGTGAGCAGGCTGAGAAGAGAGTCCGGATCCTGACCCTTTTCATGCCCAGTCTTACTCCTAGACAGTTACTGGGTATTCACATGGGACTGGGCCTGGTGCCCTGGGCCAGAGTGTGGAGATGGAGCATGCCCTTGGGAAACTCCATGAGCCCCCTGAGCTGGGGGACATGTGCTCCACTGTTTGTATGGCTGCTTGTTTCTCCCACTGTCTCCATGACCAGGGAGGAAGGATGCTTAGAATTCAGGCTCGCCTGAAGCCCTTCCGCCTCCAGGAGGACATTGAGGCTGTGGTAGCCTCTTTACCCATCACTCCAATGGCTACCGATCCCATGAGCCTCGGTTGGCCTATTTGTAGAGTGGGAGAGACGGCAGAAGCTGGCTCGTAGGATGTGTAGAAACTGCATGGCTGGCACGGAGTGAGGGCAGAGCAAGCAGGAGCTGCTCCTGCTGTCACTGTGGTTGTTTGCTAATGATCCCCCGGAGACCAGCCTCTATGGGTATTGTTTATAGGACTCCCAACTGTAGTCCTGTTACATATATATGTATATGTGTTGTCTGTTTCACACATTGAGATGTATTTACCCTGAATAAACTTCAGTATTATTTTTTTTTAAACTTTTTTTTTTTTAAACTTCAGTATTAGATACCAACAAGGATAGAGACATTTCTCCATCGTGCTAATTTGAGTAACTTTGACATTTTAAGAGGAAATGGCATCTCAGGGCATACCTCTTTATGCACCATCTGTTCACTCTGCACACACTTCTGGGCCAACTGTGAGGGGAGCAGTCTAAGATCAAGGAGCACGGCAAAGAAAGGTCACTGCCCTCAGGACTTCCTTCTACAGGGGCAACAAAGCAAGACCAAAGCTGTCATGTAGGCAGAGGGAAACTGAGGCCAGGCCAGGGGGCCGACACATCAGAGGGCCAGGCTCCTGCAGTAAGTACTGTCCAGACAATAAGAACACAGAGAAGGCTCAGCTTGTGAGACCTGTTAAAAAGTGGTCAGTTTTTAAAGAAAAATTCCAGGCTAATAATGAGGCCTAGTTTTGTGTTTCTAGGCTCAAGGCCACAGGAATGGTCTGAGTTTACCCTCAGATTTGGACTTTTCTTGTCTATTGATTTTTTTTTTTTTTTGTCTATTGAGTTTTATGTTAAGGAGGCCACATGGTTGGTTCTCAACTATGTGGACTCGGCCCCCAGGCCCCGCCCCTCCAAGTCCTGTGGCACCAGCCTCGAGCTGAAGGGCCCTCTGTTGGGAGGAGGTACCTGATGCTGATGAGGCAGCTTTCAGGGAGGGGCCTCCTCCTCCTTCAGTCCAGAAAGGCTTGCTTGCACTCTACTCAAGGGTGACGTCAGAGAGTGGTCCTGAGGCGGACAAGTCAGAGGAATGGCCTTCACAAGCTGTGCAGCAGAGGTGCCCTGAATTGCGGACATCTGTGGGGGGATGAGGGAACATGGGTGCCAGACACGTTAGGCAACAATCTCAGTTTTGGGCTCCTCGCCAGGTGCACAGTGTGACACTGTGTCTGGCCATGTCCCCGAGTTCCACCACTTATTTCTTAATCCAGTCTTAAGATGGCCTGGCGTGTGACTCTGGGGCATGTCTTCTGTGGAGGTGTGTGCACCAGCCACATGTCTGTGTGTTGGAGGCTGCTCCACAGACCTGGAATGTGCTGTGTGCTTCTAGGCTGGGTGGGGAAAGAAAGGGGCAGGCAGAGGTAGTATGGGGGGTTCGGGGGGTGGGTGTGGGGGAGGACAGCAGGGTGAAGAGCATGCCGATGCAGGCCCTATCTGTGTGTGAAGGCTGCTGTTGTGGATGCTTGTGCACATCCTGGAAAGATAAGTGCCCACGTGGTGATGAGCTGCCTCTGGAAAGTGGCACTCAGGGTGGAGGGTAGGTGGGAAAAGAGGGATTTAGATTTTCACAGAATTCCCTGAATTTGTTATAATCATGCATGGTTTTTGTTTTTGTCTAGCACATGTTAGAGGAGACTCACCCAGGGGCCCTCTGGTAACATGGCCCAGCCTCTCCTCCTGCTGAGGGTCCTGGCATCTGTCCCTCCTCATGCCCGTGGCCGGGACCCCCCGCTTGCCTCCATGTTCTCCTGGAAGCCTGGCCTCTCCTCTCCCACCCTTTCCCCCCACCTGATGCTGCCTTCCCACCTGCAGGCTGCTTTCTTTGCCCTGCCCTCCTCCTCTCGCTGCAGGCATTGCAGGGCCCTGTGAACGGAAAAGCAAAAATTAAGGCCAGACAGAAAGCAGACTGTAATTTTAAGAACTTTTTTTTTAAGAGGTGACCGTGGTTGGGTGCATTCATTTCCTATTGCTGCTGTGACAAAGCATCATCAACAGGGCTTGGTTCACCAGCCTTGTAGTCTTCCGCACTCCCAGAGGCAGAGCCTGAGCTGAAGGTGTGGGCACGGCTCTGGCTCTTTCTCTGCCTCTTCCAGCTTCCTGGCTCCCGCAGTCTGCAGCTCACCTCTCCATCTGTGGCCTCTGTTATCGCACTGCCTTGTGTCTGTCCACATTTCCTTCATCTTCTAAGCACGAGAGTCACTGGATCAGGGCCTCTTCCCATCCAGGATGGCTTCCTCTGAAATGGTCACATCTGTAGGGACCCTGTTTCTACATAAAGTCACATTCCAAGTGCCAGGGGACAGGACACACAGACTTCATGGGGCTCGCCCACTGTGGGTTCTAGCTTCCCTATAAAGAAGCGTATGGACGTGCCACACTTTTACTAAGTTTGTTGATGTACTATCTAAAATTGTGCACTTACTTGTGAAAACAGAATTTTAGATTGAACTTTCAGAAAGACCATTTGAGGTTGAAAACTCCAGTTAATTACACTGCAGAAGCTGACCTCTGAATCATGACTGTCATCTAGTGATGGCATGTCCATGCCAATTTTTCTTTTTGTGAACATTTTTCTGACCTTGCTTCTTTTAATAAATGTGCTTTAAAATCTTCCTCTTAGGAAATTGAGAGACTTTCTGAGCAACTAGAAGAAAAAGAGAAGGAGACACAGCAGCTGATGAGCCAGCCGGAGCACGAGCGAGAGAAGGAAGTCGCACTGCTGCGGAGGAGCGTGGCGGAGAAGGAACGTGCCCGGGCTGCCAGTGACATTCTGTGCCGCTCCTTGGCTGATGAGACCCATCAGCTGAGGAGGACTCTGGCTGCCACCGCCCACATGTGCCAGCATCTGGCCAAGTGTCTGGATGAACAACAGTGTGCTCAGGGGAACCTGAGGGGGAAGAGTCCTGAGGTAGGCCCTGTACATGTGTGTGTAGATGGTGGTGAAGGCCTCTGCAGGGAGACACTGCTTGGGGGCTGCAGAATCCCTCAGCAGCCACAGGAATTGGGGCGCCCAGAGCCCACTTCTTCTCAGTATTGAGACCCAGCTGTTGTGGCAAAGCCCACCTATCCAGGGGTTTCTTCTAGAATGATGGAACATGCAGTATGTATGTGATAGGAAAGCAGGGCAGCCTGTCTCACCAGCCCCTCCCTCCTGGACGCTGCGTGCACTGTGGCCTCATCAGCCTCACTGAGCTGAGGACAAGAGGGCAGAGCCAGTGCAGGCCTGGTCTGAGCAAATGTAAGTGCTTGAGCATCAGCCAGGTGAGCAGACTGCACAGCAGGGAAGGCAGCCCCTCTTCGTGCCTCATGCACAGGAGCCAGGCCCTAGCCTGCCATAAAGGGCAGCGGGTGCCGACCTTCTGTAGATCCACATGTCTGAGTGGAGCAGCACTGGCTGTGCTCTGGTCCTCCTGCATAGCTGGCTGGGGGTGTGCAAAGCAGGGTCCTTTCTAGGTGGCTCTCTGGGGCTGCCACCACGTTCATGTGAAAACACACTCTCTGATGTTCTAGAGGGGATAGGCTGCCCAGCTCTTTAGCAGCATCTTCACTGAGAGCCTGTGTGGGGAGAACCTTCGTTTGAGAACCACCCATCCCCGTTGGGGGATTCCATGAAAAGGGAACCTCAGAAAGAACACTCGTGTATTTCAGAAGCCAAAAGACAAGTGCTGTCTGGGAGGAAGCGGGCACATTCATTCGACTTTGAGTCACTGTGTCATTTCCTTGTGGGGACCTGGAAGTAGCTACACAGGATGGTTGGCCTGGGGCTGCAGTGAGGCCAGTGCAGCCCCTAAACCAGTGTAACTTCCCACCCTGGGACTCTGCTGAGTCACCTGGGGCTTCCCGTCCTGCTTGGTGAGGACATGCACTTCCTCTATCATTCACGGGGAATTCTCAAAAGCAATGTCACCAGCATATAGCCCCTTGTTCTGTTAAATGCACCGAATTTCTCGGATTCAGATGGACTTCTCGAGACTTTTTGCTTAGGTCTGCCCACCACTGTCAGAGTTGGTTAGGGATGTGGCTTTTGGTGTGAACGTGGTGTGGGTCGAATTGCTGCATGTGGAATCCCTGAGGTCGACCCTGACTCTGCAGAGGCGATGGTGTGGTGTGCTTGGAGGAGTGAGCCTGGTTCCTGGCCAGGCCTGCGCCAGGTGGCCCGAGGCCAGCATGTCCTCTGTTCCATCGTGGGACAAAGTGCCTGTGCTCCGACTCCTGTGATAATGGAGAATCTGAGGCCATGGGAGACCGTACACCAGGCTGTCCGGTTGGTGGTGGGGTCTGGGCGAGGCCTGAGCAAGCCCCCCAACCCCCACCCCACCTTCCCGCATCTCTGCTCTACTCCTCTCCTGAATGCACACCTGCACCATCTGTGGCCTCCGTCTCCAGGTCCAGCTTCCTCCCCTCTTGCTGTGTGTGTCATGTTCAGCAACACGGCGTCTTCCCCTGTCCCTTCCTTCTGCAGCCAGAGTGCACAGGTGGTGCTGCCTCTGTCCAGGCCGTTATTGAGAAGTTACAGGAAGAAAACCGCCTGTTAAGACAGAAGCTGATTCATGTGAGTGTCTGTCCTGTTTCACTCATCCCACCCTTGGTGGTGCTCAGGGCTGGTGTCTCCCTCGGGCTACCTGGGCTGACACAGTCCCCAGAGACCTGACCTTTTTGTCTAAAGGTGCAGAGAACATGCTGTCACTCTGTTCCCCCACCGGTTAACTTGTAGGTCAAGAAAGGAGGTGCAAACATTTCTGTCAAATGCAGCTTTTAAGGCAGGAGCATTTACTGAGTCCATGTCTGTTTAAGACAGTTGCTCGTGGACGTCAGCACCGTGCCTTGGTGCGTCTGGTGGTCACAGAGTCCCTTCTGAACATCTGAGCAAAGTGAGGCAACATCTGTTTACAGAAAGAACTCATTAGCTAATTGTTGCTAACAGAGCTTCCTGGTCTCGGCCGCCTTGGAAAGCTCTGTGGCTCTGTCCCCTCAGGTGGAAGACCTCAATGCCAAGTGGCAGCGCTACGATGCCAGCAGGGATGAGTACGTGAGGGGGCTCCACGTTCAGCTTCAGGGGCTGCAGGCCCCCCCAGAGCCCGAGAAGACCTCCTGCCCTGAGCTGATGAGGAAGGAGATTTCCAGGCTCAACAGGCAGCTGGAGGAGAGGATACGCGCCTGTGCAGATGGGCGGCGGGAGCTGGCGGCCGTTAGGGGGGCCCGTGATGCGGCACTGGAGCGGGTGCAGATGCTGGAGCAGCAGGTAGCCGCTCAGGGCTCCAGGTGGCCATAGCGGGGTGTCTGCCTGCAGGGGGCACTGGCGGTCAGTCGCATGGCAAATGGCAGCAGGGATGGGTGGGGACTTTCTCCTTCCTGAGCTGAAATGGTTCAGCACCTTAACTGTGGAGCGTCTGGCCTCCTTTCAGATTCTCGCATACAAGGATGATTTCACCTCAGAAAGGGCAGACCGGGAACGGGCCCAGGGCAGGATTCAGGAGCTCGAGGAACAGGTGGCTTCCTTGCGGCAACAGGCGTCCTGGACACAGGTAGGGCCCGAAGGCTTTTCTCATTTAGGCTCAGCGTTTCTCTCACTTTTCTTTCCATGAATTTCGAGTGCTAGCCTGAGACACTTGTCATGGCCCCTGACTCTACTTCCCCATGTGGGCCCGAGCTGTCCTGCCAGGTGTTGGGACGTGGTGGTGGAGGACCTCCGTTGTACTGAGTGGAATGCTGGCATGGTAGTGTGGTGGCAGAGGTAGCTGTGTCTATGGGGCCTGTCCTGCCCTCTGTGTTGCTGTGAGGTGGGGACCCTCGTTAGCCCATTCCACAGATGTGGATGCTGAGGCCCCAGGTGTCCAGTGATGTCCCACAGCTCATGGCGCGGGGGCCTCGTGCATAGAGTTGGGCCTTGTGGGCCAGTGGGCCCTCCACCCCACTTAGACAGGCCTGGCAGGCATCAGAATTGACAGTCTCTCACTGTGGGACGCATGGCACCCACCGCCTCTTCCCCTTGGCATCCAGACCTGCTCAGTGCTCTGCGGAAACCCCAGGAAAGCTTGGTTTCTTCAGCCCCTCTGCCAGTACCCAACATACCTCTGGCCCCAGAGTGAACCCTGGGCCCCTCAAAGAACTTCCATCCGGACACAGACTGGACAGTAGTGGTACCTCTGGGGATCGAGGCAGCTGGTGGAACAGGGATGCTGAGCGGACCTTGGAGCTCAGCAACTCCTTCTGGTTGGCTTGTGGGCAGTGTTAGTTGTCCACACTGCCCTGTGTTATGGCTGCTGGGGTTCATTGGTGGATTCTGCTTCCCTGTGGCAGGAAGGTACAGGGAGCCATGGAGGACGTGCTTTCACGCTCTTGGACCAGTCCATAGCAGTGTGCCCACACAAAGGCAGCTGTTTCTACTTGCGGGTGAAGTGGGTGGGGACCGTGGCTGATGTCTGTGTCCCCTCCACATCTACAGGCCCCCGGAGAGAGGCAGGAGGGCCTCACCAGCCCCAGCAGCCTTCTTGGCTGCCATTGGAAATTCCTGCTTCTCCTAAGGCCCTAGGACTGTGGGTTTGGTTGAGGGATGCACACTGGAGGACCCTCAACCCAAGCATTAGGATTTTTCTGCACTGGGGCTACAGCTCACTGCCCACACCTTCACTCCTGCCCTGGGTCACCCAGGGACTGAGCAACAGCACATGCTCCTCAGTGCTCAAGGGGCCATGGAGGCCACTTAGTGCACACTGCCCGGTCCCCTGGAGCACCCTCCAGCTGGGTGGGGGTGGTCTTCCTGTGACTTGGCTTTGCCTCTGGGGTTTCTGGCTGGAAGCATGTTGCTCTTGAGTTGAAAGGTCACTAATGCTCTGGTCCTTGGCAGCCTCCCAACAACTCAGGGCCGATAGGAGTGACCAGAACTGGCTCCAAGTCTGGTGGGGACCGGCTGTGTGCACTAAGTGGCTTCTGTGGCCCCTCGAGCACTGGGGAGCATGTGCTGTTGCTCAGCCCCTGGGTGACCTAGAGCAGGAGTGAGGGTGCAGGCAGTGAGCTTTAGCCCCACAGTGGAAAATCCTAATTTAGATGTGAAGTCGAAGCAGCAGAGCCAACTGGAACGAAGTTCCTGAATGAGAGTGACGAGTGCTGCAGGCCACTGTCTGAGGCACCCCTGTCTTTGGGGGCTCCAAGTACTCAGTATCCCGGGCCCTGCAGAGAAGGTGTGGTGGGTGGCTGGGATACGGCTTGCCCAGCTTCCCACTGTAAGCTCTGCCACTCCCTCTCCACTGAGGTATCGGGGGCTGGTGTCCAGGGCCGATGGGCCACTCAGGCCTTCTGCCCCAGAGGTGTGGGTCCCTTCACGAGAGTACGCAGGAGTGTCCATGTGGTCGCTCTGGTTCTTCATGGAGCACGGCCATATTTGGGCTCTGGGTTACTCCAGGAAGCAGGGTGAGGGGTGCACACCCCATTCAGAAGAAATATCTCAAATGCTAGAACCCAATATGTGATTTTCTGGTCTCCTGTGCAGCCCATGTAACTGGACCCTTGGCTTTTTCCCAGGACCGCCGGGAACCAGGCTCCTGCCGGATTCATACAGGGAACAGAACCCCCAAGTACTTAGAGACTGATGCTCTGGAGCTCGTGGCACCTAGTGGCCGGAGGACTGGGACTGGATCTCAGGGGCTGGACTTGCCCACCGAGGGCAGGTGTCCTGGAACAACCCGGAGAGGGCAGGGGGACCTTCAGTGCCCTCACTGTCTGCAGTGCTTCGGCGATGAGCAAGGCGAGGAGCTCTTCAGGCATGTGGCTGAGTGCTGCCAGTGAGCCCTGTGGCCGGGGCTGCTGTGCCCAGGCACCTCCCACGGGGGTTAGAGATCCCTCAAGATCGGGGCCCATACCAGGTCAGAGGGAACCTCTAGGGGGGCATGTGCTCCTGGGAAGGAGTGTGGCCCTCCAGCTGGGCCAAGACAAAGGTGGGGCACAGTCAGGCCAGGCCCTCCAGGCCCACATGATGGCCCCGCATAGCCTGCCAGTGGGTGCGCTCTGGCTTGCTGGGAAAAGCTGGCTGCCTGCGGGGACAACACGTGGGGGCCTCAGGGTGAAGGCCTGCCTTGTTCTGGTGACTAAGGACCAGGAGGTTTGCGGAGCTGAGCACATTGGCCATACCTCTCACCTGGGGCTGGTCTCTGCCACCGCAGAGCCACGTGTCTGCACTGAACTGCACTGCAATGCCTTTGCCACATATCTGCAAGTCCAGAGACATTTCACAATCACTTATTTTCATAATAAATGCACTTGCTCTGGTGACTGCTCTAAGAATGCATTCTGGGGGTCGGGGTGCAGGGACCAACGTATTCCAGTGGGGTGGGCATCAAACCAGCAGGTAAGGAGAAACACTCCTGAGTGTCTGCCGCCTGTCAGAGACCACTTGATCTGGTGCCAGCTCAGCTTCGCCTTTGGGCTATTTAAGCCCCAGCCCAGGGTGTGGAGTCATGGGCTGGGAATGAGGTGAGAGGAAGCAGGTACCTGCTAAGAGCACATTGGAGCCACAGAGCAAGACATGAGTGTGGAGGGTCAGGAGACAGGAATGAGGTAGCGGGAGGGAAGACTGAGGCACTGTGCTGTGTGTGCCAGGTTCACTTCTAGCAATTCCAGAACCTAAGTGTTATGATCATCCTCAACACAGACAAGGGAGATGAGACACAGCAGGGTGAAATCACTTGCCCAAGGTCACACAAGAGCTGAATAACAAAGCTGGGATTTGAACTCCTGTCCTCCCAGGAGCTCACCCTTCCATCTGGCTAAGTCCTCAAGTCAGAGTCCAGGCATCACTTCCTCTGGGACTCCCTGTGCACCCCTCTCCCCAAGAGCCCAGCTGGGAAATATCTGGCCTGTGTGGCACAGGGTGGCTAGGCTGTAGCAGAAAAGCCTCAGTCTTCCTGAACTGAGGAGGTGCAAGTTTGTGGACACTGGAATGCAGGAAAGAGGATGGGGACATGCCAGAGAAGGGAGCCACACAAGGGGGATCCTTGGCTCCCTCAGATCTTTGGCTGACCCCAAATTGTGCGTGCTTCGAGCAAGACCCTAAGGATTCTGGGGCGAGAACAGCAGAAAACAGAGAAGGAACTGAGCAGACATTTCAGTGAACGAATATTACGGGGTGCTAGCTTTGAATTTAGGGCTCAGTAAACACTTCAGGTTTTCCTTTGAAACTCTGGGAGGGCCAGGCCTTGGGAGTAAAGTTGACACAGTGGGACAAAACGGAAATAGCCCTTGCTCCAAAAAGGCATTAGAGTTCAGGTAATCAACCAGTAAATCACCTATCCATTGTAATGAAAACCAATTTTCTCCAGAGACGGGTAGCAGAATCTCAAGCCTTATGCTGTACGAGCCACAAGTGCAATATGCAATAGAAAAGACTAGAAGGGCACCTGGCCGGATCAGTCGGTGGAGCATACAGCTCTTGATCTTGGGGTTGTGAGTTTGAGCTTGAAAATAAATTTTAAGAAAAATCAAGGCAGCAGGAATGTATTTTCAGACAGTTACAAGGTAATGAAGTTTATATCCCAACAGACAGCCCTACAAGAAATCTGTATGTACTACATACGGAAGTGATTCTGGATAAAAGACAAACAAAAGACAAAAGATAAAAGACAAAAAGGAATGAAGATCATGGGGGTAGGTAGCTGTGGATTACGGACTGCTTCAACAGTGATGTTTAAGGGCTTTAAAACATGCACACATGTGACCACAAGAGCTTTCTAGGTCAGGGAAGGCATATTTCAGGAACTTACACAGAAGTTTTTGCATTGATTTACAGCGGGGTGTAATGCAGTCAGGAAGCATATTATAATCTTTAAAGTAACCAAGAAAATAGTAATACAAATCTTTAAAGAGTGAACATAAGAGAGAAATGTATTTATTAATCCAAAGCAAGATGAGTTAGGAGAGCTAAAGGAATAAGGAAGGGAGGAGAGAAAACAGATGGCGAGGTGGCAGACTTAAACCTGACTCTATCAATCATCCACTCAAAAATATGGATCCAACAGTGACAAAGACCATGGTTGTCACGCTGGATGAAAATCATAGTCTCACCTATATGCTTACTAGCAGAGACCTACTTTAAATATAAGAACAGGGGATCCCTGGGTGGCGCAGCGGTTTGGCGCCTGCCTTTGGCCCGGGGCGCGATCCTGGAGGCCCGGGATCGAATCCCACATCGGGCTCCCGGTGCATGGAGCCTGCTTCTCCATCTGCCTATGTCTCTGCCCCTCTCTCTCTGTGTGTGACTATCATAAATAAATAAAAATAAAAAAAATATAAGAACAGAATGAAAAGGACAGGAAAAGACACACCATGTTAGCACTAACCACGAGAATGAGAGTGTATGTAGCCATTCTCATTTTTTAAGAAGATTTTATTTATTTATTCATGAGACACACACACACACAGTGGCAGAGACACAGGCAGAGGGAGAAGCAGGCTCCATTTAGGGAGCCTGGCGTGGGACAAGATCCGGTCTCCAGGATCATGCCCTGGGCTGAAGGTGGCGCTAAACCGCTGAGCCACCTGGGCTGCCCAAGCCATTCTCATTTTGAAGTGATGAATAATACAGCTTCAAAACATATATGTGGGGGATCCCTGAGTGGCACAGTGGTTTGGCGCCTGCCTTTGGCCCAGGGCGCGATCCTGGAGACCCGGGATCGAATCCCATATCGGGATCCCGGTGCATGGAGCCTGCTTCTCCCTCTGCCTGTGTCTCTGCCTCTCTCTCTCTCTCTCTCTGTGACTATCATAAATAAATAAATTTTTAAAAAAATTAAAAAAAAAACATATGTGAAAGAAGACCTGGATAAATGCACCATCCTCGCTGGAGATTTTAACACACTTCTCAGTAAATGACAGAAGCAGGAAAAAAGTAAGCAGAGACACAAAGATTTAACTAAAACACTTAACCAACTTGGCCTCCTTTGCATATGGGGACATAAGGCCCAACAAAATTAGGCCCAACTAGAATTCTTTCCAGTTGCACACGGAACACTTAACAGACAAATCTGTGGGCCATTAATCAAGTCACATCATCATGAAATTGATGTTCTCTGACCACAGGCCCATTAAACCACAACTCAATCACAGATAAATACCAAACTCTCAACACACTTCTAAGTGATCTGTGGGCAAAGGCAAAAACACAACAGAAATGAGAAAATACTTTGAACTGAATGAAAATGAGTTAAAATTCTGTGATCTGAGTGCCCATCTCACCAGCTAGGAAGGAACTGCAAATTAAACCCAAAGAAAGGGAATGAGAGAATATAAGAGCATAAATCAGATAGAATACAGAAAAATCAACAAAGCTGAGTTCTTTCAAATAAGGACAAGACCCATGAGGACAAGAGAGGAAATAAATTGCTGGTAATGGGGAATGAAGAGGGGGATGTCACTACAGATCTCTAAGAGGGCTACTCTGAATGCTTTCATGCTAAGAAATCTGACAGATGAAATGGATAAAATAAACACAACTTACCAAAATGGATACAAGAAGAAACAGAAACCCTGAGTAGCTCTGTAGCTATTAAGTAAACAATCTGTAATTAAAAATATTTTCACAAAGAAAATGTTAGGCCCAGATGACTTCACTGATGAGTTCTTCCAAACATCCGAGAAAGATATGCCAATCTTACACTCAGCAAGGGCAGCCTGGGTGGCTCAGCGGTTTAGTGCCTGCCTTCAGCCCAGGGTGTGATCCTGGAGATCTGGAATTGAGTCCTACACTGGGCCCCCTGCATGGAGCCTGCTTTTCCTTCTGCCTGAGTCTCTGCCTCTCTCTCTGTCTCTCTCATGAATAAATAAAATCTTAAAAAAAAAAAAGTTACACTCAGGAAATAGAAAGAATGTTCCCTAACTCATTTTTATGACACCAGAACTGGAGAAAAGAAAATGAGTATCTCTCATGAACACAGATGCAAAAATCCTAAATATTAACAAATTGAATTTGATATAAAAAGGATAATAAATCATAACCAAGTGGAATTTTAATTACAGAGCTACATGATTGGATATTTTTTTTTAAAAAAAGCACTAAAAGTAATTCACTAGAGTAACAGAAAAAAATTTCAATACAATCAGAAAAAGCATATGACAAAATTTAATGCCCACTCATGATAACACTCAGCCAACTAGGAACAGAAGGTACTTCCACAATCTGATAAAGAGGTATGTCCCAAACCCTAGGGCTAACTAACATTCTGGTGACAAATACTGAACATTACCTCTGCTCAGGTTTACATTACCACTGTAGTGTCACATTGTACAGGAGAGTCTAGCCAGTGCAGTAAGTTAACAAAAGGAATAAAGAACAGGAAAATTAGAAAAACATTATCCTTATTTGCAGATTACATGATTATAGATGCAGAAAATCTTAGGTGATCTTAAAGTTTAGAATTTGTAAATCATTTTGACAATCTCAAGATACAAAGTTCAATACATGAAAAATCTGCCATATTGCTATGTATTTGCAACAACTGGAGAAGTGAATTTGAAAACTTGTCTCCTTAAAAGATAAGGTGACTAAAAAGATGTTAAGTCTTAACCCCAAAAACCTGTGCATGTGACCTTACTTGGAAACAGGGTCTTTGCAGATATCATGGGAGGTGATGTCATGCTGGATGAGGGTGGGCCCTAAACCCAATGGCTGATGTCCTTATTAGAAAAGCAGAGACATGGGGCCCCCAGCTGGCTCAGTCCATGGAGCATGTGGCTCTTGATCTTGGGTTTGTGAGTTTGAGCCCCACATTGGATGTGATTAAAGTCTAAGAAAAGATACAAACAGAGGGAGGAGACGTGAACTCAGGAAGAGAGACCAGAGGGACACCTCTGCAAGCTAGGGATTGTCAGTGGCCACCAAGAGCTAGGAGGGAGGCATGGAATAGATGGTTATTCACAACCTCTAGAAGGAACCAATCCTGTGGGTACCTGTTTTGGGTATATACCCTCCCAGGAATTTTGGGTTATATCCTCCAGGACTGTGAGAGACTAAATTTCTGTTGTTAGAAGCCACCTAGTTAATGGCACTTTGCTATGGGAGCCCCAGGAAACTAAAGCATAACCCCATTTATGATAATGTCAAAAACCTAAAATGCTTAGAAAAAATTCATCAGAAGTTTGCAAACTCTCTACAACAAAAGCTACAGACTACTGCTGAAATTGAAGAACACATAAATGATGAGACATCATGTTTGCAGACTGGGAACTTGGTAGTCTCAAGATGTTACCTCTTCCCAGACTGATCTACCCACTTGACACAGCCTCAGCCATAGTCGCAGCAAACCTCTGCACACTCTAATCACATGTATGTTGGAAGGCCCGACACTGCCCCACAGGTTACAGTTTTCCATCCTCTCCTCTCTGTGCTGCTTTTTGGTAATTTCTGTTCCTATGCCATCAAGTTCATGGGTGTTTTCTCTGAGGTTTCAGGTCTGCTGTTAATTCTACCCAGTGCATATTTTCATTTCAGATATTCTATTTTTTCTTTAGAACTCTACGTAGGTCTTTTTGGATCTCATGTCTCCCTTCATTTTGTTCATGGTTTCTTTTAAGCTCAAGAGTGACAATAGCCATTTTAAGGCCCCTGTCTGCAAATTTACCAACTGCCATTTTGGGGTCTGTTTCTATTGTTTTTCTCTTGATTATGGTTTATATTTTCCTTCCCCTGGGCATGGCCTGGTAATTGGTAATTTCTGCCTGGATTCCAACATCATGACTTTTGTTTAGTGTGGGCTATATTTGTATTCAAGAGTGTTGGACTTTGTTCTAGCATGCAGTTAAGATACTTAGGTTTGCTTTTAGATGTAGATTTTACTCTAGGGCTAATTTCACCCCGCTAAGGTCACAGCCTTCTGAGGACTCTACTCCAATGTCTGCACTGTGCATTACAAAGTCTCTCCACCATGGCTGCTGGAGACACTATGCCAGCCATATTGCTTTCTGGTGATTTTCCTTTGGGTTCCTGGAAGCTGATGCCACACCTGCATGATCAGTTGGTTGCAGGGGACTCTGCAGGCCCCCAGAGCTCCTTATGTACAGCCCCTCCTGTCTGGAAACCTGCCTCACAAATTCCAGCCACCCCAGGCTCCTCAAATGCCCATCTCTGCTTGCCCTGCTCAGAAGGCCTGCTGGGCTCCCCTCACCCCCACCCTCCCTCCTGGGCCTGGAAACTGCCTCCGGGCAGGAAGCTGGGGCACCTTGTTTCCTCCCCTTCACTCAGAAAACACTGCCATGTGCTGTGTCTATTCCAACATCTAAAAACATTGTTTAAACAACTTCCTCCATTTTACAATGGTGTGTGACAGTTTCTGCGGCAGCTCATCCTTCACAGGTGCCACGGGCACACATGACTCTTCTTCTGAACCTACATTATCTTGTCTGTGGAGAATGATCTGGAGGGCTCCCAGCGACATCGTTTAATGTGAGTTAACAGTTTGTGATTGCTTGAAATCCTGCTGTGAGCTCTATCTCCTGCCTCTCGGGACTTATTCTTCCATTTCACTAGTGGCTGCAGGACAGTGACTGCTGGTCACTATGAGGACAGAGAGCCAGGATTCAAGTTACTTCAATTCTGTCATTCTGGGGGTGACTGAGAGCTTTCATTTGGGTTTAAAACTGAGAAACAAAGTGACCTGTGAGGTAAGTTTTTTCTTCTTTAATCTTAATGAATTTAAGAAATGTTCATCCTTTCTGTACCATAATACTCATTTTGATAATATTTTGGTTTAATGGTAGGAGTATGTAGACAAGGTTCAATAAAAGGATAGTTTGGGGATCCCTGGGTGGCGCAGCGGTTTGTCGCCTGCCTTTGGCCCAGGTTGCGATCCTGGAGACCGGGATCAAATCCCACATCGGGCTCCCGGTGCATGGAGCCTGCTTCTCCCTCTGCCTGTGTCTCTGCCTCTCTCTCTCTCTATCATAAATAAATAAAAAAAAAATTAAAAAAAATAAATAAAAGGACAGTTTTATTGTTTTCTAGCCATTGTTATTTTATTTCATCTCACAATTACCATTACCATGTAAAGGAGGTGATACTCCAACGTGGTCTACATGAGGTTCCCCTGGGGCCGACTTCCAGGCCGTGTGTAGATAGCAGCACTGGAGCTGGATGGCGGCAGATGCACCTGGGGCTGTGCCTTCCCCCTCTGTAAATGCAGTATCTGGGTGTGAGGACACAGCCTCACACGGGGGCTGGGGGGGCGGGGCACAGAACAAGTCTTCAGGCCCGGGTCAGCCTCATGGGCACTCTGAACTAGGGAAGCCCCGCTGGCCTCCACCCTCCACTTCCCCCACCCCTGGCCTCCCAGGCTCCAAATCCATTCTGTTTTTAATTTCTGAGGCCTGGGAACTGTCAAGTGACGACCCCTTCTTGGGGAAAGGGCAGAAGGAGCAGCAGGGGCGGAGGTGTACAGCCCTGGAACGAGGCGTAGGTGGCAGCCTGTGCAAGGGGAAGCAGCATAAGTGTAGGGGGCACCCAGGGCTTGCCCTCACCACTCAGGGCCCTGCTCATGTCACACATGGGACCCTGCGGTTCCTCAGTAGCCAACACGGCCTCCCCACAACAGACGGAGGCTGAGGCCCAAAGGTGGGACCACCCCTGGGGAGAACAGGGCGAGGCAGGGACAGGGTCTTGGGGGCCTGGGCGGGCAGCTTCCCCAGAGAGCAGGTTCCCCCACAGACCCCTCCCAGTGTTTGCTCCACTTGCCCAGGCAGCCCCTGCTCCCCACTTGCTCTCCCCTTGCTCTCACCAAGAGAGGTGGAGGCCCAGGCTTGGGGGTCCTGGAGGCCTTTCAAGGACACAGCTCCAGCTGTGGTTACTGCCCAGCCTGTTCCTCGCTTTGCTGGGTCACCCCATGAGCAAAGGGATATGCTCATCCTTCTTCCCACCTAGGAAAAAAAAGCAAAACAAGCCAGCCAGCCTCTTGCCCTCACATTCCTCTAGCTACTGCCCTATCTCCTAATCCCAGACCTGCCGTTCCCACCCTGGTTCTCCTGCAAACCAGCTCCCACTGAGTGGTGGCCAAGGTCACCCCAGTGTTAGAGCCCTGTACCAGCCCCAAACCCCCCTTGACCACAGCTACCCTCCTCCTCAACTCTGGTTCTTGGGCCTGAACCCCTGAGCCATCCACACTGGCTCCTGGGTAGCCTCACAGGCTGGTGAGTGTGGGGCCTTCTGTCCATGAACAACACCCCCCCTATGCTAGACATCTCACCTGGGTGTCCAATGGGTACCTCAGACTTGATCCCTTCGCAGGACGGTCAGCCCCATCCTGCCCAGGGTCAGACCAAAGCCTCAGAGGCCCTCTTGCCTCCTCTCTCTCCTACCTGCATCTGTCTGTCCAGTAGTCCTGTGGATGGAACCGCAGAGTATTTCCAGAGTCTCTATAAGAAGTGGTGCCCTCATCACTCCCCCTTCACTCAGGGGCATGCCATATCCCTAGGGCTGCACACAAGCAGGTTTCCCAAGAGGAGGGAACAGGGGGAGCTCCGGAGCACTCTGGGAAGCGGGTGGGAGCAGGACTGGCTCTGCCAGAGACTCAGATCGCAAACCTCCTGGAGAGATCGCAGAGGAAAGGAACCATGGCAGCATTCCCATTTTCATCCTAAATACTGCTGTGTTGCTCCATGTTTATACCCGATTTAACACGACTTTTCATAGTCTCACCAAACATCACGATCCCGCCCTCCCCCAACTGGATGGTGCTGCCCATAGGCTCTATGAATCCCAGCCTCCCTAGGTTAGAATGCAGGAACAGCCTCCACCCCCCTGGCTGCTGCTTGGTGGTGACTGCTGCCTTGACACCAAACCCTCTTGAGTATCTGGCTGGGCTGTCCCAGGGCTGGGCCCTGCCTGGTGCATGGGAGGCCCCCCATACACCACTGCATGGAGAGTGGGGGCACCAGGACCCTGAAATTGTTGCCAGGGGTGACCCGGGAGATGCTCCAGGGCTGGTGCGCAGGGGCCCCTGGGAGGGCACTGCCCCCCCCATGTGCCCTGCCCCCCAGTCCCCCAATCCGCCACCACCCCCAGCAGAAAGCAACCAGACGAGGTCTTCTGCTGTACTAATGTATTCCATCTTTCAAAAAGAAAGACATGATTTTAATATTACTTAACAATATGTTAAAAAAGTAGCCAGGCAGGCCTCCGTGTTAATACAGTCGTACACTCTCTAACAGACTTGATGGTGTGAGTACTGGGTGGGGTTTTGTTTTGAACTTTCTCATTCTGCAAGGGATCTTACACAAGCTGGCTACAAGTCAGGGGGGTCAGACACAAACAGCGCAACGTGTACACTCTTAAACAGTAGATTGTGGAGGAGAACGAAGCGCGCCTGCCCGCCCAGCCCGCCTCAGGGGGACGCAGGACACACAAGAGCTGAGTGACGGCAGTGCCCCCGGTGGGGACAGATGACAGGACGGGGCGAGATGCAGAGGCAACAAGCCACGTGGATGATGAAACCCGTCTCTGGCCACGTGGTGGAGAACTGGCGGGAGCCACTGTTCCAATCCGACAGCACAGCACTGCGATCGACGCCTCACTCACAGACTACACGCACACGAGCTACCGATGCGGGCCGAGCTGCAAGTTCTCGGTCTGGGGGGGTCTCAGGTGCAGCAGCCCACCCGGCACAGCCCTGGGCAAGCACAACAGCTCCGGGGCCTGGCCCACCTCCCGCGCACTCCTCTTCAGGCGGTCCTCATTCAGTGGGCAGCAAAAGTGGCTTTTTTCAAGCTAAAATTGGACCAATTGATGGACAGTCTTTGCCGGGTCTGTCGAGCGGAATCCAAACAGAATCTGTGGAGACAAAGAGCCCAACAGTCATGGAAGGAAACAGCCTACTCCTGAGCAGGTGCTGGCAAAGCCTAGCCTACTCCTGGGGACTGGGAGTTGGGGGAGGGGGACTCAGTGTGCCAGACCCAGCATCAAGATCCCCTCCACCCCTGGCTGCCTGGCCACCCTTCAGAGTGGGGGAGGGCGGGCCCCTCCTTCAGGACCCTGGCCAGTGCCCTCAATGTCCTCTGCTGTCCTCCAGGAAAGCTGCCCAAGGTAAGTTTCTGGAAAAGCCCATCTGAGAATGTGCAACCACCCTGCTCTCTCCATGTGTCAAGCCACAGAGATCCCACCTCCCCTCATTTGCCCACAAACGCATGAGTGCATGCACTATGAATGGGACTTTTCACAGTGAGACTTGGTCACAGTGCTGCCTGCCATCAGCTCCTGGCGCTCAGGCCCAGCAGGCGCAGAGGAGTGCCCTCGGGCCTCAGGGCCAGACCTGCACGCCCAACAGTGCTTGCAAAAACACCTGCTTCCCAGGCAACAATGGCTGACTCTGAATTAAATGAGGAACATTTTCTCTCAAAGACCTTTACTCTGCAGAATTTCTGACGTTCTCACCTGTCCAGATCTCATTTGCGTCACAGAAACTGGAGTTAAGCCTGAAAATGGTTACTGCTGACACACCACCAGAAACTGAATGGATTCATTTACACGGTGGTTAACCTGACCACCTGTAATTTCTGGCGCTGCTCACCTGGCCGTCTGAGGTGGATGGAGTTGTGTCCCCCTGCATCACCTGTCCCCCCTGCCACCAAGCACCACACCACCTCCCAGAATCCAGCCTCTCTTTTCTTGGCCACAGCTGGTCAAAACCCAAGTCCTAGTGGTGTTGCCTTTCCGAATCCACCGTCTCCTCTCGTTCCAGCAGGAGCCCCCTGCTCCTCTCCAGGCTCACAGGTGTCTCCAAGCCAACTGAAGCAAGGCCTCCAACGGGCCAGCACAGGGGCCATGGTCACCAGCTCTGCCGCCTCCTCCCCACACCGTGTGCCCGGCTCCCCTGAACCTGACACCCCGCTGCCACCTGCCCATCAGGCCTCCGCGTGGTCAGCTATGCACCACATTCCATGGACAGAGCACATGTACATGAGTAACCACACTCCAACCCAGGGCAAGAAGCCCGACCCTGCCAACCCCATGGCACTTTGCTGTCCTCTCCCAGGGGAGCCCACACCCTGGTGTCTGGGACCATCAGACTGACGATCTCACAGCTCAACGTCTGCCTGTGCTCATTTCCAAACTTACGGGAACAGAATCGTCCTGTAGGTCTTTCTTACCGTGTTCAATCCACATCATGTTGTGCAATTCCTCCTTGAGGCCATAGTGTGGTCGTTTCCAAGGTGTGAGAGCTCACCCCATGGGACTGACCCGTGGGTGCCACTCACGTGGTTCTGCCTGAGTGGCCTACATGTGCACCCATGCGGGACTTCGAAGCTTGAGTCGGACAGGAGGAAGCGTCTCTGCAACTCCCTGGCCACATGATTCACGTGACAGCCCACCCAGCACTGTGTGTCTTTTCCTATTCTGAGTATTTCTATATCCTGATATGCACCCTTGGTAACGTGCTGCAGATATAGTCTCACTTTAAAGAGCTGTTGATTTTAATGTCATTTAACAACTTTTTATTTTATGGTTGGTGTAAGAACTCTTTCCCCACTCTGATGTCAAAAAGATATCCCCCTACAATCCAAATTAAAAGGTTTGCTTTTGACACTGAGAATCTTAACTTGTCCAGAGCTGACCTTTAAATATGATGCGAGGTGATCCAATTTAAAAGTTTTTCTTATGTCAACTTTCACAGCTCCATCTATGAACACACCTTTATTTCCACAGTGATCTGCCTGTCTTTTGTCATAAACCAAAGCTCAGTGTTTGTATAGTCTGTTTCTGGGCTCCGAAGTCTGCATGAATATCACAATGTTTTCATAATTATAAGTCTTTGTAACGGGTAGAAAAAGTAATCCCAGTTCTTTCTATTCTAGGAGGGTCAGATCAACCCTTTATAAATTTATTTGGTGAACATAATACACATACAGAAGGGTAAACAGATGTGCATGATACAGGAAAACTTTAAGGCAAACACTGGATCACAGCATCGAGCTGTGGGACAACTAATCACTATTCTGGCTTTTTAATGTTGATAATTTCCTTACTTTTCTTTACAGTCTTAACACCAATGTATTGTTCAGTATCCCTGAATGATATACTTTACTTAAATCATACTGAAGTAAAATTTATGTATGATAAATTGCAGTTACTATAGAGTTCATAGTGCTGACAAACATATACATCTGGGTAACTATCCCCTCAATCAAGACACAGAACACTTCCAGGAACCCCTCTTTTCCCCAGGCCCATTTGTTGTCATCTCCTTGCTGCCCCAGCCCTAGGCAAACAGCAATCTGTTGTCTGTCACTATTTGTATTTTGTGCATTTGTATTTTCTGGAATCTCATGTACATGGTACTTTGCAGTGTGGACCTCTTGTCTGGCCTGAGATCCGTCTATGGTGTATGATCAGGAGTATGCTTTCCACCACTGAGTAGTGTCCACTGGATGGACAGAGCACAGTTTATTTGCTCATCTGTTCTGGATACCTGGGTTGTCCTGTTTTTGGCTATTACAAATAAAACTTCTGGAAACATTCATGTACAAATCTTTGTGTGGTTACATGCCCTTCTCGAAGGCAGACAGCCAGGGGTGGAGCTGCTGGATTGAATGGTGTACATTTAATGGAAAGAACACAGAAGTCCACTGACAGATGAATAAAGATGTGGCGTATACAGACAATGGGCTATATTACTCAGCCATCAAAAAAAAAAAAAAAAGAAATTTTACCATTTATAATCATGTGGATGGAACTAGAGGGTATTATGCTAAGCAAAATAAGTCAAAGAAAGACAATTATATGATTTCAATCACATGTGGAATTTAAGAAACAAAACAGAGGATCACAGGGGAAGAGAGGGAAAAATAAAACAAGATATCAGAGAGGGAGACAAACAATAAGAGAGGCTTAATCACAGGAAACGATCTGAGGGTCCCCAGAGGGGAAAGAGGTAGAGGGGACAGGGTAACTGGGTGATGGGCATTAAGGAGGGCACGTGATGTCATGAGTACTAGGTGTACTACAGGCTGATGAATCACTGACCTCTACTTCTGAAACCAATAAAATATGTTAATTAATTGAATTTAAGTAAAAAGAATTTAAATGTACTTTAGTTGCATCTAAACTGAACTTTATATAATGTATTGTGTAAATTCTCATGTTCTGCCTTTTGCCTACTATTCTTTTTTTTTTTTAAGATTTTATTTATTTATTCATGTGAGACAGAGAGAGAGTGAGAGAAGCAGAGACACAGGCAGAGGGAGAAGCAGGCCCCACGCAGGAAGCCTGATGTGGGACTTGATCCTGGGTCTTCAGGATCACACCCTGGGCTGAAGGCGGCGCTAAACCACTGAGCTACCCGGGCTGCCCTACTATTCATTTTGTAAGAACCATGTTGCAGACTGCTGTAGTTCATTCCTTGCTGCTGCTATATACAGCATTCTGTGTGTGACTGTATCACGTTTCCACCCTAAAGTGTTTGAAAAACACTCAATTTTATAGAATCCTTCTTGGGTTTTAAAATCTACAGATAGGGGATCCCTGGGTGGCTCAGCGATTTGGCGCCTGCCTTTGGCCCATGGCGCAATCCTGGAGTCCCGGGATCAAGTCCTGCGTTGGGCTCCCGGCATGGAGCCTGCTTCTCCCTCCTCCTGTGTCTCTGCCTCTCTATGTCTATCATAAATAAATAAATTAAAAAAAATAAAATCTACAGATAAATTTAGGGAGGTGAGGTGGCTTTATGATATTCACTTTTCCTATCAATGAACATAGGATGTATTCTAGGTCTTCAATGCTCTTCACTCATGCTTCACTACCTTTTATGCATCAGTTGTGGGCAACATCTGTTAAGATTTATTCATGGAGACTGCACGATTCTGGTGCTATTATAAATACTGTCTTTATTTAAACTATATTTTCAGATTATGGATGGTGTAGAGAAACTAACTTTTGTACACTGATCCTACAGCCAGGCCCTTTACTAAATTCTTTTTCTTGCTAAATTCTTTTGTAATTCCCTTTGTAGACAATTGGTTCACCTATAAAATGGAATTTTATTTCATGCTTTCCACTCAAGCGTTTCTCTTATTATGGTACCTAGGAAGGATGATTTAAGAAAAGCATCTTTGTTTTTGTACATGCGTCCATGTTTCCTGTTTTAGAAAATGTTTCATGTAGACTTGACTTCTCTTCTCTTCTCTTCTCTTCTCTTCTCTTCTCTTCTCTTCTCTTCTCTTCTCTTCTCTTCTCTCTTTTTGTAAATCTCCTTTTCAGGTTAAGGATATTTCCTTCTACTACTAGTTTGCAATTTTTAAAAAATTAACTGAATGCTAATATTCTATCAAATGTTTCAAATGTATTTTCTGAACCTATGGAAATGATCATATGGCTCTACTTTAATAAATCAATTTAGCAAAGAGCACTTGTGGATTTCCTGATACTAAATACTCCTTGCTTTCGTTCCTGGGGTACAACAGTTTGGTCATATGCTGCTTTTTAAAATACTGTTGGGGGCAGCCCGGGTGGCTCAGCGGTTTAGCACTGCCTTCAGCCCAGGGCCTGATCCTGGAGACCCGGGATCGAGTCCCGCATCGGGTTCCCCGCATGGAGCCTGCTTCTCCCTCTCCCTCTGCCTGTGTCTCTGCCTCTCGCCCCTCTCTGTGTATTCTCATGAATAAATAAATAAATAAAATCTTTAAAAAAAATAAAATACTGTTGGATTTGGAATGTGAAATTTTTTCTTGATTTTATCCAATTAGTATTCATGACTGAAAGAGATCTGTGATTTTTCATGTTGTCTGGCTGCTTTTAGCAGATTTTGGTATGAAAATCTTCCTTCTCTCATAAAATGAAGTGGGGGCCTTGTGCTGTCTCTTCCTTTCAGTTCTCTGGTAGAATCAGGTACAAGGCTGGATTATCTCTTTGAAGTTTTGGGAGAATTCTCTGCACAAATTTAAGATGTAGTATTTCAGTAGGATTACTTGTAACTCCTGATTTCTTTGATGGTTACTGGATCATTCAGGCTGTTTTGTTATTAGTTTGATTTTGTGTTAAAGTTTTAAAATTAACTTTGAAGTTGTTCCCAGTGTTCTGTTCTATTTGAATCACTGCAGTGCCTGTAGCTCGGCCCACCTTTTCACTTACACAGTCATAACATTAAAGACGCCCTTTCATTACAGAAGGTGTCGAACACACACCAAAGCAGTATGATGACGTGGGCGCAGCCATGGTCCAACTTTGATAACTGTCAACATCCTGGTTCTCTACCAGCTGATTATTATATTGTGTCTTTTTCCCTATTTTTCTTGACCAGTCTCTCAAAGGTCTATTTATTTAATTAATATTTTCAGAGTCAAAGTCTGGCTTTGTTGATATTTTCTGTTTTACTATTGCTTTTATGTATTATGTCCTTTTTTTTAAAAATATTTTTTTATTATTTATTTATTCATAGAGACAGAGAGAGAGAGGCAGAGACACAGGCAGAGGGAGAGGGAGAAGCAGGCATCATACAGAGAAGCCTGACGTGGAACTCGATCCAGGGTCTCCAGGATCACGCCCTGGGCTGCAGGCGGCGCTAAACCGCTGCGCCACCGGGGCTGCCCGGATTATGTCCTTTTACTTTCTTTGGGTTTATTCCCTAGTTTCTCGAATGAAATCTGTAACTCATTAATTTTCAGGTTTTTAAAAACTCACTTGGCAGCTTTAAGGCTTCACTGAAAGAGCGCTCGAGAGTAAACTGTGTCCACATCCCACAGGTTTTCACATACGATGTTTTCCTTAGTTCCTCATATTTTTAAATGTCTACTGTGGTCTCTTATTAAACCCATTAGTGCATGTACTTTCCAATTTCCAAATATTTAAGGACTTAAAATTGTCAACTTCCTACTTAAATGTGGTGTGGTCAGAGAACACAATTATACACATGCATTTTCTGAAACTTCTAAGCTTTTTTTCTGCGGCCCAGTACCTGCTCCACTTCTGAGCGCCTCGTCTGCCAAGAACACAGACACTCTGTTCCCTGGAGGCACTTTCTTTCTTTCTTTTTTTAAAAAAATATTTTATTTATTTATTCATGAGAGACAGAGAGAGAGAGAGAGAGAGAGAGAGAGAGAGAGAGAGAGAGAGGCAGAGACACAGGCAGAGGGAGAAGCAGGCTCCATGCAGGGAGCCCGACGTGGGACTCGATCCTGGGTCTCCAGGATCACGCCCTGAGCCAAAGGCAGGAGCTAAACCGCTGAGCCACCCAGGGATCCGCTTGGAGGCACTTTCATCTGTATTCCTTGCTGGCCAAGCTCTGCTCATCATCCACAGCCCTGTGGATGTGTGCGCTACTCAAGCAAGTAGCCACGCAGAGAAATAGTCTGAGATGCCCTCCAAAGAGGGTGGATTTGACTCTCTATGGAGCCCAAACAATTTTCCTGTTTGTATTTTGAGGCTATTATTCCATTAAGTACCTAGTTTAAAATTTCTACATCTTCCTCACGTGTTGAACCTTTAAACACTATGTAGCAATCTTTATCTGTCCCTTATATTAAGCCATATTCTGTTTAATAATAACTATACAACAACTTCCTTTCCCTCTTTACTTCCACCTTTCTATTCATTGTATTTTAGGTCTGTTCTTGTAAATGGCACGTGTGTGCGTGCATGTGCATACGTATGTATTTAAGACTGTTAACACCATCTGGCACTTTTTTTTGGTCTGTTATGGTTGCTGATAAAACTGAGGTTCTGTCTCTAGTGTTTTTAAAATTCATTTGCTGTACTTTATTTACATTTTTTTTCTTTTTGGAGTTCTGCTTTTTTCCTTCTACAGATTAGCAATTTATATACCCTACATCTATTCTTTTAATGCTTGCTGTAAAACTGTATCATGTCCATTTAGCTTGAGGTCTGAATATTAAATACTTAACTGCTAAATACCTCAATAAGAAAAGGACCTGAGGGTATCAGCCCCATCTCATACTTAGCTTACACACTCCTGTTCAATACAGCAGTTCTTTCAGACATAATGTCAATTGGACATTACTGTCTTGTTACAAAGAAAATGTTTTATTTAATGACATTTATAAGGCTGTTTTCTCTCTTTCCTTCTTGCAAATCAGACTGAGATCAATCTCTTTTGCTTCAAGATTTTTTTTTTTTTTTACACAGACCTCTTTGTAGCAAGTTCCTGCAGTTTATCTTTATTATGGAAAAGAGTAAGTTTGTGGGATATGTAGTTAACAGACTGAAAACTTTCTCCCAAACCTGTAAATACCACTCCATGGTCTTCTGGTTTCACACTGGCTATGTTGAAGAACGGATTTGGTTTGTTTATTCCACTGGTATATGTTGTGCTTCTGGATTTCTCATTAGTTCTGCAAAATCCCCAGGTACTGTTTCCTCTTCCAACAGAACTTATCTGGAATGTCCACCTTCTCCCAGGGGTCCCAGGTACACCATGTCAGACTTGGTCTCTCCTCCATGTCTCTGAACCTCTCTCCTCTTCTCCATTCTCCTATATCTGGGTGCATCTTTCAGATTGTTCTTCCAGTTCACCAATTCCCTCTTCAGCAGTGTCTAACCTATTTATCATATATCTACTAACATCTTCCTTTTCAACACTGTATTTTTCATTTTTAGATGTTTGATTTCCCCAGGTGCTGGGTGTCTGAGAATCTCTGTTTGTAAGGCCAGGCATGAATTTAGAGCACAGGAGTCCCACAGGTCTACCTTGGGAAAATATCCCTCAAAGTTCTGCCTTTACGCATGAAATGCTCTTATTCTATCCCCTGCTCCCAGAATCCAGCTCCAGGGCAAACTGTCTTAGTAACTCAAGTGATTTGCCTACAGGATTTTTTCAGACTTTGTACACACACACACACACACACACACACACACACACACTACTCTCTCTCTCTCTCTCTCCTGTCACCTGAGAAAAGATAATTCTGTCTTCCTTCTGATTCTCATCCCTTTGGATTCTTCTTACACCTTCATAAACAAAAGTTGTTTATAATGGGCATCCTTATCTTTTTTCTTTTTTAATCTCAAGGGACAGCTTTTAATGTTTCACTCTAAGTATGGCATTTATTTATTATATTTTATGGATACTTTTTATTATGTTAAGGTTGTGCCCATCTAGTCCTACTTAAGAGTTTTTATTATGAATGGGCGTCCAACTTTAGTAAATGCTTTACTTTGCCTGCTAAGATGAGATATATACATACACGTACACATATATAAGTTATATAATAAATATGATTTCCAGAATCATTTAGAATTCTACAGTATTTATTTTTGTCTTTTATTTTTTTAAATAGGCTCCACACTGGGCATGGAGCCCAACACAGGGCTCAAACCCCCAAGCCCAAGATCAAGACCTGAGCGGAGATCAAAAGTCAGATGCTAAACTGACAAGAGCCCCCAGACACCTCTATACCATTTCAGATATGAGTTCATGACTTTTTGCACCGCAAACTGTTTCTTCTGTGTATGTGTGTATTATCTAAAACAAACAAGTTAAAGAAGAAACCTGAAAACAAAACTCACTTGCTATAATTCATAAAGTAGATAAAATACTATAGAATACATTTTATTCTAATGTATAGAATACATTTCCTGCTTATCAGGAAAACTGAGCAAATATCTAAAATGTCATTTTTCTCCTTAAAAGCATGCCGTATCAGTGTGTTCCAATGTCAGCACACATGAGGATCACCAGGGATGCTTGTGAGAATACAGATGTCTGATTTGGCAGGTCAAATCACACTGGGGGGGTGGGGTGGTGGCTGCGTGTCCACGTGATGCTGCTGGTCTGGAGCACTTTGAGAGAAATGGTCCTAAACCAGTCTTCACACAGAGGTGAAGAGAGCAGTGACTGGGTACAAGGGTGAGTGAGGAGGCCCGTATGTGTGCCAGTGCTGGGGCGGAGACATGCGGGGCAGGCTTTCACAGGCTGGGATGCTAATGAGTAGCCAGGCTCCTTGGCCAGCTGACAGCTCTCGTGTCCAAGAAACCCTTCAACACTATGGGAGGGTCATGAGGGTCATGTACAGCAGCCATGAAACCATCATTACTTCAGACACATAGCCCTAATATTTACCTTTTGAAATATTCCACTTCCCTCTCTGTCTCATCCATATCCACACTGTCTAGGTCAATATCTTTAGGCAGAAAGACATCATCTGTAAAATGAAAGAAAAGAAGCAAGTCAGATTATAAGAGAACAAATTACCTGGCTTTTACTTAATTTTAAGAACTTCAAAACTGAAACTTTTTCTAAAATGAGATTTTACAAACAACCAAAGGAGGACAGATGTCTCTCCTGTGCTTGTGAACATCAGGTTCAACCTGGAAATTATGGAACTCACATGTTTGCTGAGCAAAGCAACTGTGGCTTCAGGTCCCACTAGAAGAGATCCATTTGCTGGCACCTGGATTCCCCAAGGGACTGGTCTTTACTTGACATGTTTCCATGATGGGAGAGCCCCTGAGAAGATTCCTGGAAACCTAAGGTGCTTGCAAGCCCAGTCCGTTCTAAGTCCCTACTGGAGGGAGGGAAAGAGTGGGGCATGCTGGTAAACAGAAGCTGCTCAGAAGGCAGCCTTATGAGGGGGAGAATGCTGTCCCTTGCACCAAGAGGACATGACTGACTACCCAGGACCCAGATATCAAGCTCTATAGGAAGATGGCGCTCCCAGGCGTTCAGTGTATACATGCAACATCCTAGAGACATCATCAAAAACTTTTCAGGATGTTCCAATAAAAAAATAGTTACATCACTCTCTTTGAAACACAGGCAGGATGGCAGGGAGACTCATGATTCAGGATCATTCCATCTCCTAGAATCTCAGCAAATTTGAGGGGTTCAACTTCTTGTTTCTTCTCCGCCCGCCCTGTCTGTCACCTGTGCAATGCTGGGCACTTCTTGGGCACTGAGCCCTGTGCGCCAGAGGCGACATCAGTGCATACCGCTGCAATGAGGGCTGGTGGTGCAGACACAATACCCAGCCCCATGATACAGAGCCTCCACTTCCCTGTAGACTTTAGCAAGGATCATTTTTTTTTTTTTTGTCATCTTAAAAAAACAAGGCCACACTTTTTCCCCTATCACCAGGGTACTTGCACAGTAGCATAAGACATGGTTCACCTCTATAAGAGCAGGTAACATTTTTGCTGACTTATACCACCAGGCCAATGTCTTCACATCTGGAAGTTCACAGAAATGTCAGTGGAGAGCTTCCCTGTAGGGACTTGCATGACCACAGCCCCTTCAGCCCACCTTCTGCTGGCACCCAAAGCTCCCTGTGGGGTCAGCTTTCCTCCTCTGCTCCCCACATCCCATCCCTCCTTCCACAGGGACCACCAAACTTCCACCCTTGCCCCAGACTGCTCTCCTGAGTTCTGCATCCATGTAGGCACCTCCTCTGTACATGGGCCTTCAGGCATCTGACCCCCAATATGGGCAAAAGTGCTCCTTTTCTGACAGTGACCCTCTTGCCCCACCTTACACTCACATCATACCTTCTACATGCCAAGCAAGTTCTTGTTGGCCTTCACCACCCTCCCAGTTAGGCTCCTTGGTCTCAGCTTCCACCCTGCCCAACCCGGCCAACACGGAGTCACCCTCCTAACACATCCAGTCACAACTGTCCTGCTTCCACGGCCCAATATGTTCCTTTCCAGCCACTAAGACTGTTCCAATTGGGCCTCCGTCTAGATGTCTACTTGCAGACCTTGCTTGGCTGCCAACTAGACTTGCTGAGGCCCTGTTCAAAGAAATGCTGGAGTGTGAGGAAGGGGTAGGAATGTTTAAAGAAGTAATGAAAGTGAAGATGTAGGAAAGTGAATTTCTGATCAACAGCGTTCCCATTATAGTTCTATAAGAGGAACAAGAACAAAAGCAAACAGAGCAGCCATGTCTGCTGGAAAAGCTGTCTTCTAAATGCAATTTCTAATACTCTTTTCTTCTAAGTAGAACTAATAATCAGGACAGAACATCTTGGTATAAGAAAAAAGAGACAGAAACATAAGCAGATTCAGTACCAGGAAGACATTTTTCACAAAAAAGCTATGTTAACTAGAGTGGAAAGTGTGACCCGAAGGTTTCACAGCCAGCCAGGTTGTGGCTGTGTGTACATCATTAAGACTATAGGCAACATCCTTCTTTGCCAGAGCTCAGAGGATTCTGTACCCCTACTTGAGGGCATGCGCCCAAGCGTGAGCCTCACTCAGCCAGAGGAGGATAGGGAACAGCTCACAGGAGGACCAGCACAAGCACGGAATGTAATCAGCTGGAGACTTATGAACACTGTGTGTCCAACAGCAGAAATAATGCAGCTGGAAAACGGGAAAAGAAGGGACTGCAAAGGGAGTGGTGGTGGAAAGAACAGAATCAGTTCCCGACCATCGTCCAGGCAAGTAAGTGGGTGTCAGAGGACCTGCCTTGCAGCCCACTGTGGAAGGTAAGCAGGGAAACCAAGGATGGGGCAACACAAGTATGAGGGTAGAAGAATGCACTCAGGCAAGATTGCCAAGTTTCCTAAACCCCAGTGATTTTCAAAAATAAAAGCTAAGAAAACACACCACAGAGCAAAAGAAACAGCAAATATAAAATACACAGAGTAATTATAAAATGTTGTTGGACTTGAGACAAAGCACATAGTAGTAATAAATGGGAATGGGCTCAAATTCACCTATAGATGAAATTTTCTATTTGGCTCACAAAACAAGATTCAGGATTTGTGCTGTCTGAAATCAGAGAACAAGCTAAAGCTGAGTGATTCAGAAAGGGATGAGAAGAGAGGTGCCCCACCACACAAATGGAAACATGGAGAGAGAAGGGGCAGTGATCACCATCTCAGACAAAGTAGAATTCAAGGCAAAAGCACAAAAACACAATGAAAGGACATTTTTTAGTACTAAAATCCATAATTCACTAAGTAAATATTAAAGTTAGGAATGTGCACCAAATACAAACACCACCTTTATAAAGCAAAACTGCAAGAGTCAAAAAAACACAGAAATTCATAATAATAAATAATAGAAGACAGGTCAAGAGGACAAAAAACCAGGAAGGAAAGAGAAAAGCTAACCTTAAATATTATTCATAAGTACATCATGGAGATATATTTTTTTCAATTTTCACCATGATAACAAAAAAAATGATACTTTTATCTGAAAGTATATGGAGCAGTCACAAAAGGTGGTCACAAAAAAAGTATCAGTGATTTCTATAAAGCTGAAATATTACAAACAATATTCTCTGATTGCAATGCAGAAAATCTATAAATTACTAACATATAAAAGGCTCTCCCAAGGGTGCCTGCATGGGTCAGTCAGTGAAGTATCTACCTGTGACTGGGTCATGATCCCAGGGCCCTAGGCTTGAGCCCACTTGGGGGCTCCTTGCTCAGCAGGGAGCCTGCTTCTCCCTCTCCCTTTGCTCCTTCACTTGCTCGTGCTCTCTTTCTCTCAAATAAATACAATCTTAAGAAAACAAAAAACAAGTCTTGGAAACCTGAAAGCCACCTTTTTAAACTACTGAGCAATGTGGGGACAAAAATGAAGAAACTCTTGAGTTTTGTAAAACAAAGCAAAATGCCAATAGAAATATTATCAGACTATAAGATATATTTAAAGGAATGATCACAGGAAAATCTGAAGTGGGAAACACTTTGATCAATAAAAATGGAATGAAAACAAATGAACTAAATTTCTAAATCAAAAATTTAGAAAATAAACAAAAGAAAAAGAAAATAAAGCAAAGTAAAAGAAAGCACAGGAGAAACTAAAGATAAAAGCAGAAATTGATGAGGTATTAGAAAGAGCCACAGTAAACCTGTTCAATAAATAAAGAGCCTTTTTTTTTTTAATCTTAACAAAATAGACAAATTATTTTTCACACCCAATTTGGGACTTGAACTCATGACACCACCATGATCAAGAGTCACATGCTTCACCCAACTGAGCCAGCCAGGCACCCCCCAAATAAAAGAGAAGCTATTAACTAGCAGAATGAAACAGAAATGGGGAGAAAACACAAATACACAAAATAAGAAATGATGAGGAAGACAGGCACTGAAAAATACATTTTTAAAAATTATGTAGTTTCAGACATCTATGTAAATAAGTTTGAAAATCTAGCTAAAAGAATTTATTATGGAAACATAGTTTACTAAAATTAACCCCACTGGAAAGAAAAATACCAAATAGACCAATTTCCTTTTCTTTCTCAGCAAAGAGAGAAAATTGTTAAGGAACTCTCCCACAAAAAAAATACCAGGCCCAGAGTGTTGCACAGATTTCTCTCAAACCCTGAAAACCTAGATGGTCTCAATGCAGGGTAAATTGTTCTACAACACTGAAAATGAAAAACAGACAAGAAATCCTGATTCTTTAAACCTCCTTATGAGGGATCCCTGGGTGGCGCAGCGGTTTGGTGCCTGCCTTTGGCCCAGGGCGCGATCCTGGAGACCCGGGATCGAATCCCATGTCGGGCTCCCGGTGCATGGAGCCTGCTTCTCCCTCTGCCTATGTCTCTGCCTCTCTCTCTTTCTCTCTCTGTGACTATCATAAATAAATTAAAAAATAAATAAATAAATACTTCTTTAAAAAAAATAAATAAACCTCCTTATGAGGTATAATATTAATACCCAAACCTAATACAGGCATCAGGAAAAAAAAAGTTACAGACCCATAGTTCTTATTAATATTGATATAAAAATGCTATATAAAATATTAGCAAACAGAAACCAAAACTAAAGAATGCAATACGCTACAAGCAAGTGGACTTTATTCCAGGAATCCAAGCCTGCCTCAGTATTAGAAAATCCAAAAATGTAACAAATATAAGAAGAAAAATTATGTTTCTCTTCAGAGACACTAGAAAACCTTTGGCAAAATACAACACTCATTCCTGATAAAAACACTTAAGAGTAGGACTTGTCGCATATTTTCTTAAGATGATAAAATACGTAAACCTTATCCTAAGCCAGAATGTTACTTTTAATGTGGACCAGACCTTTCTGTTAAGATTGAGAATGATGCAATCATTTGAAATGATTGCATCATTCTCAACCTTGGAGTGAAAGAATTGGAAAAGTTGGAATAAAAAGAGAAAAGGCTTTCTCTATTTGCACAAATACGACAGAATACCTGGAAAACCCCAGAGCATCAAGAATAATTCGGTAAGTTAGCAGATATAAAGTTAATATACAGATATCAGTAGACTTTATACACAAATAACCCGTGAGAGCAGTACTAGCCAACAGAAAGATGATGTGAGCCACAGATATAATTTAAGATTTTCTGGTAGCCACATTAAAAAAGTTAAAAAATAGCTAAAATTAATTTTAGTAATATATATTTTATTCAGTTAAACATTGCCAAAAGATGATCATTTCTACATGTAACCAGTAAAAGATTTATACTGAGACATTTAAAATTTTTTAAAACCTCATATAAGGTTTTCAAAATCCAGTGTATGTTTGTACTACAAGACCCATCAATTTGGAGCAGCCATATTTCCAGTGTTCTGTGATGACACGCGACTCGTGGCTAATGCACCTGAAGTGCAGAGCTAGCAGACATAATGGTGGGGAGTACCCTAATGAAACTAAAAACAAAGAAAGTCAAATACTTAGCAATAAGCTCAATAAGAAATGTGAAAAATCAATGAGAGAAAATATAAAACATTCCTAAAAGCCACAAAAATAGACTTGAACCAATGGAGAAACACCTCTATTTCAGGAAAAGACAATCAACTTCATAAAGAGATCAATTCTCCCTAAATTAATTTATGAATGTAATGCAACCCTGACAAAGATCCAACAAAGGGTTTGTATGGCTCTAGCACACAGACACTTTAGTGAAAACACAGATGCATGGACAGGAAAGAAGAGTTGGACAACAAGGGAAAGCAGGGGAGGAGAGGCCTCCCCCTGACACACGGAGTACCCGAGATAACCAAGTCAGTGCAGCAGTGGCACATAAAGCAAGGAGGAAAAGAAGAGAGATTCCTAAATAGACCCAAGACACAGGGAAACTTACTGTAGCACAAAGGGGGCGTCTTGTATCATGGGGGAGGATGAATTTTTATTAACTGATGCTGAGCCAGCAGGCTAACCATTTAAGAAAATAATACTAGACCCACGGCTCTCCAAGGGTACCAGGGGCTAAATGAGAAAGGTGGAAACACGGGCACACTCCTCTTCTACCTTAATGTTAGATTAATGCTTTCTGATCATTGTTTAAAATCCCGAGGCACTAAAAGATCAATGAAATGACTATATAAAACCAAAAAAAAACTTCCACAGAGACACAGTCCAAAGGAGTACATATCTGCAGCCTATGATGCAGGTAAAAAGGCGAATATTTCTCATATATGAGTCTTAAAAATGCAAGGAAAAAACCCCAAAACCTAACTAAAAAACAAGAAAAAAATATGAACAGAAAATTCACAAAAAAGAGACAAATAGCCCTTCAAAATACCTCACTGTATTGGAGGAAAATGCAAATGAAAGCGACACTGGGGACTCCTGTCCCCTCCTGTCTTGGCTTCAATTACCAGGACCGTGGTGCAGCCTTCGGACTCGGCACTCCACCTTCTAGGGAGTTCCTGAGGAAACTTGGCCCCACAGAGGCCCTGGCTGTGATGACGAGTGATGACGAACCAAGGACACAAAGCCGGGAGCCCATGCACACAGCTTTCCTGCTTATGTTCAGTTGGCGGGAGGGGCAATCAAAGGGCAAAAGATCTCTACTGTGCTACCTTTTGTGCAAAAAAGAAAAGACACTGAGTCATCCCTATAGGGAGCAGGTGGACGCGAGGTGGAAAGAGGAAAACTGGGCTGGGAGTGAGGAGGGGGAGGGATGCAAACAGGATAAGGAGCCTAGAGCAACAGTGTGCCCTCAGCCTGGAGACACACCAAGGGAACGCGGCCACAGGGCCAGGCCATTGTCTTTTCCAGCAGGGAGGGCGAGCATTCCTGGATGCACACTGTGGTGAACTGCACAGCCATGCTGAAGGAGGGAGGTGCAGGTAGAGCACCACCAGAGCCATCAGTGTGAACTCGGCTTTTATTATTTTTATTATTTTAAATTTTTATTTATTTATGATAGAGAGAGAGAGAGAGAGAGAGAGAGAGAGAGAGAGAGGCAGAGACACAGGCAGAGGGAGAAGCAGGCTCCACGCACTGGGAGCCCGATGTGGGATTCGATCCTGGGTCTCCAGGATTGCGCCCTGGGCCAAAGGCAGGAGCCAAACTGCTGCGCCACCCAAGGATCCCGAACTCGGCTTTTATTACAGAAAATACACCAGCTGCTTGTGTAGGCTACATGCGCGCGCGCGCGCGCGCACACACACACACACACACACACACACACACACACCCCCACCCACTTGCCCTGCTGTGTTGACAGGAAGGGTCTAAAAGCAACAACACATCAGCAGCCCCTGTGTCTGGATTTCTCAATGCCACTCTGCTCTAAAAAGAACCAGGGCTTCTTGGAAAGTGGTAGATTCAGAGCTGGGGCAGGAAAGCACAAGATAAGCCCAGAATACCTTCCCTGACTGTGCAGGAAAGGATGCAAGTGCTCCAAGAATGATGGGGTTGAGGGGCCACCCAAAGGGGCTCCCACTGTGACTCAGGGACAGCCAGGGGACCAAAATATGTGGGGTCAGTAATGGACTCTAATTGACAGCATGAAGACAGATTCCATGAACCCACCCTGATATAAATAACTGAATGAATGCAAACAATACACAGGGGAGACAGGAAGGAGGCGCCTCCCACAGAACACCAAATAAGAAACGCACATAGGGAATAGTAATGTTAGAAAAATAACCACTTGGCAAAGAACTTGGGAACAACCACTTTGGGCAAGACTCGCTGGTGAATGTTAGCAGCAGCAGGAGACCCTGTCCCCATCAGAGCAAAGGAGAAAAGTGTGGGCCTCACAGCAGGAAGGCTGAGTCCCTGTCACTAGATGCTGTGCCCCCCACAGCAGGCACCAACAAGCACCCACCACTTCCCTGGCATTGCTGCCCAGAACACACAACCTGAATCTGATCATGAAGAAATGGCACATAAAACCAGATTGAAATTATTGTAAACAATAAATTATTGTAAAAAATAAATGGACTGTACTTTTTAGAAATGTCAAGGTCACAAGAGACTGAGGAACCGATTCATTAAAGGAAATTAAAGAGAGAGGATATGTGATCTGGACTGGATCCTGTGTCAGGAAAAACAGTAACTTTTTTTTTTTTCTGAGGGTTGGGGGAGAGCTGGGGGTAGGGGAGAGGGCGGGGAGAGAGATGGGGTAAACGGTTGGTGGGCACTGAGGTATTACAGAAAACTGAGACATCACTGACCTCTACCTCTGAAACCAAGAATACGATATGTTTAATTAACTGAATTTAAATAAAGCTTTTAGAAAACCTAAAAAATAAATAAAAGAACATTAAAGGGACAACTGGAGAAATAGCAATAAGGTCTATAATTAGATTATCCCATTGTGTCAGTACTAATTTCTTAGTTTTGATAATGGTATTGTGGTTTCCTAAGAGAGTACCCTTGTTCTGAGGAAATATAGACTGGAGTACTTAAGGGCAAGGAGCTTCACGCTGAAAGTATTCTTCTTCAGTTCAAGAACAATGAAAGAGGGAGAAAGAGAAAGCAGATGTGGAAACAGAGCTTGGGGGACCGGTGCGCAGAGGAATTCTCTGCACATCTGTAATAATTTCCAAACAATAAAAGAGAACGATAGTGGCTATTTGTGTCTCACTGCTGTGGCCAAGCCACGGAAAGCCCGGGGCCAGGAGAGGCCGGGGCACCAGCACACAGACCCCTCTGCTCCCTATTTACCGATTGAACTGTTGACTCTGTCTCCTTTCTTCTTCCTATTTTTCTTGCTCTTGCCCTTGGGCTGTGGAGAGTCCGCCAGCACCAGCTTGCTGTCCGGCAGGGGCTCGCTGGGGGGAGCAGGCTCCAGGGGGGCCGGAGGCAGCCTTTCCTCCTTGACATGGTTCAGCTGCTTTTTGTTATTGTTGTTACTGTTCACTCTTCTCTCCTCCCTCTTCTGCTCTGCCAGGGAGGCCAGGTCAAGCACCTTGGCCTTTGGCTCCGTCTGAGGCCGTGGTCTGGGCTGGCCCTCTGAGGCTCGGGGGGGCTCGGCCGGCTTCCTCGCAGGCTCACTGCTTGCCTTGCTGGTCTGCTTGAGTTTCTGCTTGCTGTTCCCCTCTTTGTGGTGATGCATTATGTCGAGGAGGAAAGACAGCGGCTCCTGCTGCTTCCCACTGGCCTCCTTAGGGAGGAGAAGCTTGGAGTCTCTGGCGTCCACTGGGCTGGCAGCATCCCCATCAACCCCCGGCCCCGGCCTGGCCTCTGAGTGGTCCCCATGTGTGGAAGGAGAGAGACAGGAGGTTTCCGGTTCTTCCATTTGCTCTAGTGAGCCATTGTGCATGGTTTCAGAGTTAGGTACAGACTCTGTTGCTGCCTGGAAGTTTCTAGCAAGCATGTCCAACTTGGGACAGTCTTTACTTGGTCTCTCCTTCTTCTTCTTCTTCACGGCCCTCAGCTTCTGAAGCTCTTGAAGCCGCTGAAACTCCTCCTCCTCCTCCTGTCGCCTCTGCTCCTCACGGAGGTGCAGGTGCTCCCGGGCCCTGGCCTCAGCTTCCAGGCGAGCTTTCTCCTCCAGCTGCCGATGGGAAAAGAAGATACAAGAGTGAGTGTTCTAAACATTAAAACACACAAGAAAAATAAAATTATTTTAAAAACAAATCATATAACAAGAATATATACTCTGAAACAGGTTATAATAAGCCAAGTAGCTTAAAACGTACCTCACCCAAATTATTTTACTCTCCAGGATTACTAGATTTAATCTTTCTACTAAGGTATACATTTATTACTTTATTGATGGTGGTGGGGGAAGGGCTCCGTAACAAAAAGTTCCCGATAGCCTTTGCTCTAGTGGCTAAGCATGTCTTTAAAACAAGGTAGGGGCACCTGAGTGGCTTAGCCGGCTCTTGATCTCGGCTCAAGTCTCGATCTCACAGTCGTGAGTTCAAGCCCCACACTGGGCTCCGCGCTGGGCATGGAGCCTGCTTAAGAAATAAATAAATAAAATAAAATAAGGTCAAAGCAGCTGCTGTGTCTGCCCTGCTCCAGTCTCCTATTTGCACACGGGGGCTGGATGGTTACATGACTGAAGGTACACACCAGTCACACAGCAGTCAACCAGCTGCCAGTGGGCCGCCTCTCCAGGTGAGGCTGGTGCATTCACATGCACATCAACAGGACACGTAAAAAGTATGCACTACAAACTTGAAATTCCTTTTTCCCACCACAGCAGATACACCAAACTCCCAACATATTTTCACCAGCGTGAGAGAGCAAGTGACATTCTAGTATGTTCCACATCACATAGCAGGCAGACATTGCCTATTTCTGCCCTCCAGCTTGGCATGAAGTTAATTTTCATTCCAAATGACACCTAACCCAGAAGCCCCCAGGGAAACTATTCCTTTTGCTCAGAAAACAAATTTAGTCTGTTAAAAGTGCACGACTCTGCATCACTGAGCTCCAGTAAAAGCTTTGGCAAATACATTTTGCATTTAAAGTCCTTTCAAAAGTAAATAACAATACGATTAAAAAAATAAAAGTCCTTCCAAGTTTCAATTATTTTTCACAACATCCCAGTAGGCACTACTTAAAAAAAATTTAACTTGACAATTCAAGTAACACTTATTTAAAAGCCTGGTTCCATCTGTTAAAAGCAAACCTTGGAAGCAGCTCCCAGAGTGGCCCTGTGTCTAGTGAGCAGAGTGCCTCCCACAGCACAGGTCAGGAGCAAATCTGCCCCAGGACAGAATCTACAGGAAACTCACAACCAGCCCGTCAACCAGATGCTCTATGAAGATGGGGTGCAGGGTACCAAGTGCATGGGGTATGAGCAGGCCCTGACCTAACACTGCCAAATGGAGAGCAGGTCTCACTGCCCCGCTCTAGTGGGGCTGGGCAGACCCTTGTCTCCCAGGCACAGAACAAGCTTCTCAAAGCCTGTGAGTTAGACACTGATTAGGGCTGTGAGATATAAGCAGGGCTCCCGACAGGTGTTCCACTTTGGTGGAGCGATCCCAACTGTCTCCCCATCACAAGCAGCTAAAGGTGGGAGCTCCTTGTCCAGTACACTCTGGGATGTCCTCCCACCCCGGCTCTGCTGGACCTCACAGGGGCCCAGGTTCTTCTCCAAGCCTCCTGTTTGCCGTCAGAGCCTCCACTGTCGTCCCATGTTCCTTCTGTACACAGCCTGGATCTGCCTGGCATGGTCTGGCTCTTGAGGAAGTTAAAGCAGGGACATCCATGGCATGGGCCCAGCCCCAGGGTGCACTATCCCGCCAAAGCGCAGACACTATCCCTCCCTTCACTAGTGAAGTATAGACTACAGGTTGTCACACGCTGGTCGACAGCCTCTGCATGCCACGCCCACCGCTGGGCCAACCTGGCTTGTCTTGGTAGACGCTTGCTTCCAGGACAGCCCACGCCCCGTGGTGGTGCCCAGGGCTGCTAACAATAGCTGTCCGTCTTACTTTTGGACCCTGACCACCAATGCTGCATGCCTGACCTCTTCTGGGAGGGCTCTGACTGACTCTCCTCTGCCAGTTGAGGGACAAGGAGCATGGGGTGGGGCACTAAGACTATGTCTGAAGGATACTGCTGGGCCAAGGGCCCTGTCCCAGCCTTGTGTCTAAGTGACCCCCTCCTATTCCCTCACAACCAGGGGCTCTTTCCTCAACCTCCCTGAGAGAGAAGGCTCTTGCTCCACAGACAGCGGCCAAGGGTCTGCTGCAGCATGCGCACTTAGGGCACAGGGACCCAAAGGCCCATTTTAGATCTATGTTATAAGAGGGAAAGCCATGTCCTGAAAATACAATCTAGGGTTCTGACCAGCTCCAGCTCAGGCCACAGAGACAGAGACAGTGACAGTCAGGCTCCCAAGGCCTGCTGTATCCAGCTGGGCTCTTCAGGTCGCCCTTGAGCAGAACCACACTGGCATGCCATTTACCTTCCTCTGCTTGTGTCTGGCTCGCTTGGCGGCTCGAGTGCTGCTCACAGGCTTGGTCTCTGAGCTGTTTATGAACTGCAGCAAGTCTTCCACCCTTCGATGGTCAACCACACTCTCTCTGTCTGAGAGCTGGTCCGCTTTTTTAGGCTGCTCTTCTTTCCTCTTGGTCAGCCGCAAACGAAGCTTCTCCCTCATCTCTGCATAATTTCTACTTGTTGGTGCAGCTGGAGGCTAAGGCAGTTAAAGGAGAGTGTGGTTGAATTAAGCTTCAAGTTTTAATGATGCTGAATATTGCAAATTTCAGAATGTATCTCTAAAAACAAAAGTTTTCTTATTACTTATGTAATACATGTTCATGGTGAAAAATAAGGAAGATAAACAAGTGGCAGGAACAAGGAAAACCTGCTCTAGAGTGACCCAAAGAGGGATCCCTGGGTGGCGCAGCGGTTTGGCGCTTGCCTTTGGCTCAGGGCGTGATCCTGGGGACCCGGGATCGAATCCCATATCGGGCTCCCGGTGCATGGAGCCTGCTTCTCCCTCTGCCTATGTCTCTGCCTCTCTCTCTCTCTCTGTGTGACTATCATAAATAAATAAATTAAAAAAAAATTTAGAGTGACCCAAAGATTTGTTCTGGCACCAACCCCTCAACCTGCACATGTTCGTGAAAAATATGGTAAAACATGTACAACTATGTACACAAATGGACATTTTTAAACTGAAAAAAAAATCACATATACTGATTAATCTACTTCTTATATAATGCAGTGTGATTATTGTTTCATGTCAATAAATGCATTTGTAGAATCTTTTAATTCCTTTGTGGGTTTCTTATTCAGTGCCAAAAGGGAAAAAGAAAATTGTTCTGAATCCCCCTGCCAATATTTCTTCCTGGCACTGCACGTGTGTGTACTCACGTTCAGCAAATGCAGACAGGACAGCAGTAAGAAAAGCAACTACCAGCCATTGCTTTTCCTATCAGCCACCCCTAGGCACAACATGGCTGACATCTGCTTGTACTGAGACCGTGAGGTGTCCCACAGCGCACACCATGTACAGCAAGTGCCAACCCCCCATCATGCACATGGGCTGTGCATGATCTGGACCCAACAATTCCCAAAGATGGCTGTTCGTGAGGCCCCTAGCTCATCAACTGATTTAAAAATCACAAACAAATGCAAAAATGGAGTAATGAAATCCTTATAGGTGAATCTTTGGGCAAACATTTTTTTTTTTTTGTTATTTCTTCAAGATAAGCACAACCTTGGAGCAGAACCATTGTTTCAGACCACACCTTGATTTTAACCACACTGCAAATGAAGCTTTACACACATTATGATCACACCGAGGATTCTACCTGCTACCCGCTGGTTCTAAGTACCTGCTTGCTGCCCGCCCCCGGGGCACTTATCCCAGCAGGGGTACTTACCCCACCATGCCCGAAGAACTCACAGTAGCAGCAGTCACAGTACTTGCCCTCCTTCTGGTTGGTGGAGGTTGAGGTGCTAGAGCTATGCTCAGAGCAGCTGTCCTCGTCGGCACTCTCATCCCCATCGTCCTGCTGTGGGTCATACACGCCGTTCTCACAGCGGTGCCCCTCACAGTCGGGGTCACTGCAAAACCACACATGGGCTGGTTAACAACAGCTGCCCCAAGAGGGGCACATAGGGCAAGTGGCCATTTGGATGCTGGGAGTCACACAGGAAAGGTGATGTGGGCTTGGAGGGCACAGTCTCTCCACTGTCACCCCTACCACCACTTCATGGCTTCAAACAGGTAACAAAAATTGTCTTTTTAAAACTGTTGTCAGTGTCCAAGATGGCGGAGGAGTAGACCTTAGTTTCATCTGGTCCCAGGAATTCAGCTAGGTAGCTATCAAATCATTCTCAACACCTGTGAACTCAACCAGAGATCTAAGAAAATGGCAACAACTTTACAAATATAAAAGCAACCACTTTCTGCAAAATGACAAGATGGAAAAACTCACCTCGAAAAAGAACACGAGGCAGTACTGACTCTAGGGACCGAATCAGTATGGATGTAAGTAAGATGTCAGAACTAGAGTTCAGAATAACCATTATAAAGATAGGGACGCCTGGGTGGCTCAGTGGTTGAGCATCTGCCTTCGGCTCAGGGTGTGACCTGGGGATCCAGGATCGAGTCTCACATCAGGCTCCTTGTGGGGAGCCTGTTTCTCCCTCTGCCTGTGTCTCTGTCTCTCTCTCTGTGTCTCTCATGAATAAATAAATAAAATCTTAAAAAAGAAAACAATTATAAAGATACTAGCTTGGCTTGAAAAAAAGCATGGAAAACACCAGAGAATCCCTTTCTGGAGAAATAAAAGAATTAATAAAATCTAAGCAAGTCAAAATCAGAAAGGCTATTAATGAGATGCAATAAAATAAGCTCTCACTGCTAGAATAAATGAACCAGAAGAGAGAATCAGTGATAAAGAAGACAAAATGATGGAGAATAAAGAAGCTGAGAAAAAGAGAGAGAAACAACTGCTGGATCACGAGGGGAGAATTCTAGAGGTAAGTGATACCATAAAGTGAAACAATATTAGAACTGGGATCCCAGAAGAAGAGGAAAAAGAGAAAGGGGCAGAAGGTATATTAAATTATAGCATAGAATTTCCCTAATCTGGGGAAGGAAACAGGCATCCAAGTCCAGGAAGCACAGAGAACCCCCATCAAAATCAATAAAAATAGGCCAATACCCCAACATATAACAGTGAAACTGGGAAATCTCAGAGACAAAGAGAAAATCCTGAAAGCAGCTTGGGACAAGAGGTCTGTAACCGATAAGGGTAGAAACTTTAGATTGGCAGCAGATCTATCCACAGAGACCTAGCAGGCCAGAACAGACTGGCATAATATGTCCAGGGTGCTAAATGAGAAAAATATGCAGCCAAGAATACTTTACCCAGCTACAATATCATTCAAAATAGAAGGAGAGATAAAAAGCTTCCAGGACAGAAACTAAAGAATTTGTGATCACTAAACCAGCCCTACAAGAAATACTAAAGAGGATCCTTTAAGCGAAGAGAGAGCCCCAAAGTAAGAGAGACCAGAAAGGAACAGAGACAATCTACAGAAACAGTGACTTTACTGATAATACAATGGCACTAAATTAATATGTTTCAATAGTTACTCTGAATGTAAATGGGCTAAAATCAAGACACAGGTACAGTATTAGACTGGATAAAAATACAAGACTGATCAATACGCTGTCTTCAAGACACCCATTTTAGACCAAAGACATTTAAAATGAGGAGGTGCAAGGCACCTCAGTGCTTGAACATCTGGCTTTGGTCATGGTGTGATCCCAGGGTCTTGGGATTGAGTCCCACATCAGGCTCTCCAAGGGAGCCTGCTTCTCCCTCTCCCTGTGTCTCTCTGCCTCTCTCATGAATAAATAAATAAAATATAAAAAAAAAAATAAAACAAAGGGGTGGAAAACCATTTATTATGCAATGGACATCAAAAGAAAGGTGGTGTGGCAGTCCATACCGGACAAATTAGATTTTTTTTTTTTTAACAATATTTATTTTTTTTTAAAGCAGATTTTTTTTAATTTTTTTTATTTTATTTTTTTTTATTTATTTATGATAGTCACAGAGAGAGAGAGAGGCAGAGACACAGGCAGAGGGAGAAGCAGGCTCCATGCACCGGGAGCCCGATGTGGGACTCGACCCCAGGTCTCCAGGATCGCGCCCTGGGCCAAAGGCAGGCGCCAAACCGCTGCGCCACCCAGGGATCCCGACAAATTAGATTTTAACCCAAAAACTGTACTAATAGATGAGGAAGAACACTATATCATAATTAAAGGGTCTATCCAAAAAGATCTAACAATTGTAAATATTTATGCCCCTAACATGAGGACAGCCAATGATATTAGCCAATTTATAACAAAATTAAAGAAACACATGGATAATAATATAATAATAGTAGAGGACTTTAACACTCCACTCACCACAATGGAAAGATCATCTAAACAGAAGATCAATCAGGAAACAAGGGCTTTAAATGACACTGGACCAGATGGACATCAGATATATTTAGAGCATTCCATCCTAAAGCAACAAAATACACATTCTTCTCAAGTGCACATGGAAATTCACCAGAAGAGATCACATACTGGGTCACAGCTCAGGTCTCAACCAGTACCAAAAGATTAGGATCATTCCCTGCATATTTTCGGACCACAATGCTTTGAAACTGGAACTCAATCACGAGGAAATTTGGAAAGAACTCATATACAGAGGCTAAAGAGAATCCTACTCAAGAATGAATAGGTCTACCAGGAAATTAAGAATTTAAAAAAAATTCATGGAAACAAATGACAATGAAAACATAACAGTTCAGAACCTCTGTGATGCAGCAAAAGTGGTCCTACGAGGGAAGTATATACCAATATAAGCCTTCCTCAGGAAACAGAAAAGCTCTCAAGTACACAACTTAATCTTATACAAACAGGAGCTGGAAGAAGAACAGCAAGTAAAGCCTAAACCTAGCAGGAAAAAGAAATTATAATAAAGATTAGAGCAGAAATCAATGAAACAGAAACCAAAAGAACAACAGAACAGATCAATGAAACTAAGAGTTGGTTCTTTGAAAGAATTAATAAGATTGATAAACTTCTAGTTTATTAAGTTTCCTAGCCAGACTGATCAAAAAGAAAGGAGAAAGGACCCAAATAAATAAAATGAATGAGAGATCACTACCAACACCAAAGATATACGATTATAAGAACATATTATGAACAATTAAATGACAATACATTAAGTAATCTAGAAGAAATGGATGTATTCCTAGAGACATATAAAGTACCAAAACTGAAACAGGAATAGAAAACTTGAACAGACCCACAACCAGCAAGGAAATTGAAGCAGTAATCAGAAATCTCCCAACAAGAGTCCAGGTTTGGATGGCTTCCCAGGGGGATTCTACCAACCATTTAAAGAACACTTAATACCTATTTTTCTGAAGCTGTTTCAAAAAAATAAAAATGGAAAGAAATGAGGTCAGCATTCCCTTGATCCTAAAACCAAAGATACCAAAAAGGAGAATTATAGATCAATATTCCTGATTAACATGGATGCCAAAATTCTCATCAAAATAAATACTAGCCAATAAGACCCAACAGTACATTAAAAAGATTTTTCACCAGGACCAAGTGGGATTTATTCCTGGGCTGCAAGAGTGGTTCAACAGTCACCAATCAATCAATGAGATACACTATATTAATAAAAGGACAAGAACCATATGATCCTCTCAATAGATGCAGAAAAAGCATTTGACAGAAGACAGCATCCTTTCTTGATTAAAACTCTTTATAGTGTAGGGATAAAGGGAACATACCTCAATATCATAAAAGCCATCTACAAAAAGCCCACAGTGAACATCATTCTAAATGGTGGAAAACTGAGAGTTATCCCCCTAAGATTGGGAACACAGCAACAATATCCACTCTCATCACTGTTGTTCAATATAGTCCTAGAAGACCTAGCCTCAGCAATCAGACAACAAAAAGAAATAAAAGGCATCTGAACTGGCAAAGAAGTCAAATTCTCACTCCTCACAGATGACATGATACTCTATGTGGAAAACTCAAAAGAAAGACTCTACCCCAAAATTGCTAGAACCCATATATGAGTTCAGCAAGTGGCAGGACACAAAGTCAATGCATGGAAATCAGTTGCATCAAAATTGCTATACACTAAAAATGAGACAGAAAAAAAGAGAAATCAAAGAGTCGACTCCAATTACAATTGCACTAAAAACTCAGATGACCAGGAATAAACCTAACCAAAGAGGCAAAGATCTATATGCAGAAAACTATAAAACACTCATGACAGAAATTGAGGAAGACACAAAGAAATGGAAAAATATTCCATGCTCATGGACTGCTGGAACAAATATTGTTAAAATGTCTATACAACCTAGAGCAATCTATACATTCAATGCAATCCCAACAAAATACCATCAACTTATTTCACAGAATTGCAACAAATAATCCTAAAATTTGTAGGGAACCAGAAAAGACCCCGAATAGCCAAAGGATTGTTAAAAAAGAAAACCAAAACTGGTGGCATCACAGTTCCTGACTTTGAGCTCTATTATAAAGCTGTGATCATCAAGACAGAATGGTCTTGGGAAAATACAGACACACAGATCAATGGAACAAAATAGAGAATCCAGAAATGCACCCTCAACTCTATGGTTAACTAATCTTCGACAAAGCAGGAAAGAATATCCAATGGGAAACAGATAGTCTCTTCAACAAATAGTGTTGGGAAAATTGGACCACCACATGCAGAAGATTGAAACTAGACCACTTCCTCACACCATACATAAAAACAGACTCAAAATGGATGAAAGGCCTAAATGTGAGACAGAAATTCATCAAAATCCTAGAGGAGAATACAGGCAGCAACATCTGTGACCTCAGTCAGAGCAACTTCTTGTTAGACACATCTCTAAAGGCAAGGGAAACAAAGGCAAAAATCAACTACTGGGACTCCATCAAGATAAAAAGCTTTGCACAGAAAAGGAAAGTCAACAAAACCAAAAGACAACCTACGGAATGGGAGAATATATTTGCAAATGACATACCAGATAAAGGGCTAGTATCCAAAATCTATAAAGAACTTATCAAACTCAACACCAAAAGAGCAAATAATCCAGTCAAGAAATGGGCAGAAGACCTGAACAGACATTTCTCCAAAGTAGACCTACACATGGCCAAAAGGCACAAGTAAAAACGTTCCACATACCTCAGCATCAGGGAAATACAAATCAAAACCACAGTGAGATACCACCTCACATCAGTCAGAATGGCTAAAATGAGTAAGTCAGGAAAGGACAGATGTTGGCAAGGATGCAGAGAAAGGGGAACCCTCTTACACTGCTGGTAGGAATGCAAGCTAGTGCAGCCACTGTGGAAAACAGTATGGAGGTTCCTCAAAAAATTGAAAATAAAACTACCTTATGACCCAGTAATTGCACTACTGAGTATTTACCCCACAGATACAAATGTAGTGATCCAAAGGGGCATCTGCACCCCAAGGTTTGTAGCAGTAATGTCCACAATAGCCAAACTATGGAAAGAGTCCAGATGTCCACTGACAGATGAATGGATAAAGAAAATGTGGTGTACACACACACACACACACACACACACACACACACACACACACACACACACATAGTGGAATATTACTCGGCCATCATAAAAAAGAAAGAAAAGAAAAGGGGAGGAGGGGAGACATCTGGCCATTTGCAACAGCGTGGATGGAACTAGAGGGTATTATGCTCAGTGAAATAAGTCCATAAGAGAAAGACAATTATCACATGATTTCACTCATATGTGGAATTTAAGAAACGAAACAGGATCATGGAAGGGAGGAAAAAATAAAACAAGATGGTATCAGAGACGGAGACAAACCATAAGAGACTCTTAATCACAGGAAACAAACTGAGGGTCGCTGGAGGGGAAGGGATGGGGGGACGGGGTAACTGGGTGATGGGCATGAAGGAGGGCACATGATGTCATGAGTACTAGGTGTAATACAGACTGATGAATCACTGACCTCTGTCTCTGAAACCAATAATACATTATGTTAATTAACTGAGTTAAAAAAAAATAAAAACAAACAAAAATAAAGCAAGCTGTTGAATATTTCTAGTGTTCTTCACTCAATGTGTAACAAATACAACTTAAAAAATGCCCAGCCCCTTCCCCTCTTGCTGCCGGTGGCTAGGTGGTGATCTGTGTACCTGATCCATGGCGGCTCCACCTTTGAGGACTAGAGGCAAGACTAGTGTCCTCCTGGGACCCATGGCCTCCACTAGGCATGCCCCTTCCCAGCGTCTTTCCCTGCCTTGTTCAGCTGCATGTGTCTGGGAGCAGAGCTCTGATAGCCCTTCTGCAACACACAAGCCAGTGTGGCTCCTCGATTCCGGCACCAGCAGGACCCGGGCTCACCTGCAAACGCTGGGTGGAGCGCTGATGGAGCCATCGGTGGTGGGGGGTGGGGGGGCTCCTGGAGCAGGACAGAAGCTCTTTCGTGTATCCACAAACCCGGGGGATGTGGCTGCAGTGTTGGGAAAGGACGGGGTCGCAAGACTTGCTAGGTGAGGCGAAGAGGCTGGGGCGAGCGCAGCAGGGGCGAGGGCGGGAAGCGGTGCCAAGCCCGTAGGACTGTTCCTTGGGGCGGCCGGCACCGCGTGTCTGTGGTCCTCCTTGACGCCATGGAACACCTCACCTGCATTCGGAGATGCAGAAGGGTCACCGAGGACGGCTGAGCTGGATTAGTGTCTCTTCACTAAAGCTTCCTCTACCTCTTCATGTGAAGATGTTCAAAGTTACAGAAACTTCGAAGGAACAGTACAAAGAATTTCCATACGCTCATCTGGACTCATGACTACTTAACATTTTGTCACATTTACTTTATTTCTCATGTACACACAATTTTTTGGCTTAATACCTGGAGGCTGCATGCATCCTAAACACCTCAGCACAAACCCCAGGGAACGTGACACTTCACTGTGTAACCACATCCAAGACGTGTACTGTCCCCATGACATGCTCATCCCATGTACTACCCCATCCTATCTCCTGTCTCCCCCACACGGTCTTTGCAGCTTTTCCCCAACCTAGACTCTTCTAAACTTTTTTCCTTCAGTAACACTGACATTGTCTGAATTGAGGACAGTTGCCCACCAGTCTGGGCTTATGGTATCATGTCAGAGTTACCAAAGATGTTTGGGGCACGACTCCTGCAAAGGGTATGTTGGATCCTTCCCCTGTGATTGCATGAGAAGCCACTAATGTGAGTCTGTTCCATGCCAGTGAGGTCATATCTGATCGGTGTGCAGGGGGTAATCTGCCACATTCCTCCAGTGAAAAGGCACTTTATCTTCCCTTTGTGATCTGCCAGTCACCTGTAGGCACTACTGTCAGACACTGAGGATGCTACATTCCCCAAACAGATATCCACTGTTCTTAATAACCACTGGGGATGCTCACCTAGACTCATGGTCACACAAGCTGCACAGTGGCCTTCCCTGTCTGTTATGTCTATCAGACAGCAGCAGCGAGCATTTGTCAAAAAGAGCTTTCCTACCCACCTCTTTTCTGAACACCCAGGGGATTCTTGACCATGTATGCTATCATCCACCCTATTATTCTTTCTGATGCTCCAACTGTCCTAACTTTCGCTAGTGAGGGCTCTCTGAGCCAGCTCCCATGTGCTTTCAACACGTTTCCAGATCGCCACTCCTTGTGCTCACACTAGCACATGGAGCCACACCTCCTGTATGCCATAGATCCCAGTGGCAGCAGGGGCTGTGTCACAGGCTGGCCAGGAGCCCCATCAGCTCACTCTCCACCAAGCTTCTGCTTTCAGAGGACTCAAAATTCCTCCATGTGCTCAGAAAGCAGTGACCTTTTCTTCTCACAAAGCAACAGGTACCAAGAAGAAGGGCAAGACAGCGCGGCAAAAGCCAGAGGATGTTCATGGAGTAGTAAAACTCAAATCCGACTTCCAAAGGACATGCTGCCTGTGTACGAGCATTTTCCAGAGTTGATTACTACACCCAGGCCTTTGGCCACACTGAGGATAAGGTGATTACAGAGATGGTGAGGAGGAAGCCGCAGGTCTTACCTATGGAAGGAGGCCTCTTGGACGACACTTTGAACTGGCTGTTGCTAGACTGCACCGTAGTGGCTGTGCAGGACACGGAGGAGGTGGCTGACGACGTGGCCATCACAACTTTGTTCGCTTCCATAAAAGCATCTTGGAAATTGTACAAGCATTTCTTTTTTGCAGCATTTTTTTTCTCCTTGCTCTCTGAAACCATAGGTGTTTCACCGCTGGATGGCGTTGGAAGGGCTTCGGGTCTTGTTTCTGAGAGAGTTGGTCCTAGTATGTCACTCCCTTCAGAGAAGAATAGTAGAAGTAAGGCTTCTAGAAATATGTTGCTAAAACCTAAGGGATGTCTGCTGACTGAACTCCTAACACCGGGGCTGCTATCGAAGCTGGGACTTCACTGGGAGGATATCAGTCAACTAGTTTTTATCCAAGAAAAAAAAATGTATTGAGCACCTACTATGTGCCAATCCCGTGCTAGGTGCTTTCCCAAAGTTTTTTTATTTAATGTCTTAAAGCTACTTTCTGAGCTTGGTACTATTAATCCCATCCTACAGATAGAGAAGCCGAGGCTCAGAGAGGCTAAGCAACTAGCCCAAGGTCACAAAGCTAGAAACCTTTTCCAAGCACAGATGTCAGGTGTAGCCTGCTTTTCTGAGCATATGCAGGGGCTGGGTGTGGGGCCACCAGGGGCTCTAACCATGTAAGAGATAAGGCTGCAACCAGCCCCTCTTCAGGTGCACCTTTCCCTACGACTAAAGTAACAGCTGTACCTCGGCAGCCAAGAGCTGGGAGGAAGGAGCTTGTTAGAGGGCACAGATCCCATGTAGGGCTGATATAGCACCAGAAAAGGAACATAAGTCATAGCATTGAGGTGGATGGTGGCACTGCAAGACCCCTGTACACTGGGCTGAGTGGCTGTTGCCGCTGTTCGAGGACCACAGGCCCAACATCGAGGCCTAAAGAAGAGGCTTGGCAGCGCCAAGGCATGGGATATCCACTACGTGCAGGGCCTTGGAGAGCCTGCTGCTGAAAACAGCCACAGGGTGCCAGCGCCTTGCTCTGCTCTGTCCGTACAGGGGAATATGGCTGGTGGCAGACGTGGGTGGCTGGGGCAGCGGGACGAGGCCCAGGGGCCACCCAGGAGCAGCGGAGGCAGGGGCCTAGCTAGCCCGGGGCTTCTACTGGGGGACCGCGGCAACAGAGACAGCAATCCACCCAGCTCAGGTCATTTTAAACCTTTAAGAAAGTTTTAACAAGTTCCTTACCAGAAATTGTATCTGGCAAGAAAGTGCCAGGATTCCAGTTCTTATCATTCATCACTTCTGATCCCCAAAGACTTATAAATTTAGAACTATTCCACTCTGGAGTATTCCCAAAACAGCTTGGATAAATATGGTCTTGAAGAGATGCATTGAATACCTGATGCTTATTTGTGTGATTCTGAACAGGTGCTGGCGGTAAAGCCTACAAAAAAAAAGTTCTAATCACATTTCAAAATTCATATTCTGCTTACCTACGTAGTTAAACCACAGACAGACCATGACTGAGAACCCTGGGGGGCTGTGCTTGCGGTGGGGGGCCTCCCAGGCTGCATGAGTCTCATAGAGCACAGACTTGCCTGGCTGTCACACTACATCCAATCGGTCACATATGAACCAGGAGTAGACTTTAAAAGTAACTGACGTTTCAGGGAATCTACCAAACTGACTTAAGACAACTTAGCAACTTACAGTGCCTGTCCCTTGGCACAGTCTACATGGGGCTCACTAGCATACGAGGTGCTTGCTCCCAGGGCTTATTAGTCTCATCTGACATTCTAAGGATCACTGCTAAAAAGTCAACTCTAGAATCACTTAACAACAAATGGTAAATAAAGCTCCTCAACTGTTCTCTCACACCTGGGCCCAGGGCACAGCATGTCTAAAGAACTACAGATTTTATTTGAGCCTGGAAGCAGCCCCGCAGCCCTACCATGGCAGACTGTGGTCTGAAGGGTCCACCCACATATCGAGTGACCAGCCGTGGGCTGCTCCCCTGCCCACCCCTGTGCATCCTTGTGCCACACCCCCAGCCACGGCCTCCACCACCTACGCAGACAGCCCCCATGGCTCACACCCAGCCTCCTTCCAGTTCTTTCCCTCACAGCCACCAAGGTGAGCTTTTGTGAAGGTCAGTAAAATGAGTCCCTCCCTTGCTCAGGATGCACCAATGTCTTCCCACTGCTCTTAAAATAAAATATCTTCCATATGGCCTGGCCTATCCCTGTCCCTGGTGTTCCCCAAGCGCCTGGACACAAAGGCCTTCCCTTGGTCCTCAAATCCAAGCTCCTTCTTGACCTTGACCTTTCCTTGTGCTGCCTCCAGCTTCCAGAACATCCTAACCTCAGCTCACAAGCTCGCTATGTACTGTCCTCCTTCAGCCTCAGCCCAAACACCTCAGAAGTTATCACCTCACCACCCAGCACCCAAGACCAAGGTGGGCTTTCCCATTTAACACACCTAAAAATCCACAATTTTCTCTCTTAGCACTTCCCACAGTTATAATTTGAGACTTACTGGTAGCCTTCTGGTCCCACAGTTCCCCTCCCCAGGAGGACCCAGTGCTACAGGCGCCACCCAGAGAAGCTACAGGTCTGGCACTGGCAACACCTGGGAGTCTCATCCTTTGGGATATAAAACTGGGCCTTGGCCATTGTAAAGTCAAGTGGGAGGGTTTTGGGAGGATTCCTGAGCAGGTGATGGTTGGGCAGAACCCTAAAAGCTTGGTTGGGGCAGAAGATGGGAGGGAAGGGAGGATAGCACAGGCACAGTCCCCATTCATGGACAACGGCACCACAGTCAGATAGGCTGCAGGGACCAAATCAGAGATGCCTCTGCCCAAAGGGGAGAGGGCACCACAGGAACCCATCAGTTGGGATCTGAGAGATGAAAAGGTAGAGGCAGTGGAGAGGAGGGGTTCTGGGGCCATCAGGACAATCGCTGTGACTATCAGAGCAGCAGCCCAAGATCATAATCCCTGGGAGGTGTGGCTGTGAACAGCAACCTGTCCTCAGCCTTTGGGACGCACGGCCTGACAGGATGCATGGCCTGATGGCTTTGGATGCCGGCTCTCCCTCTACTAGCAGTGTGATTCAGGCAAATGACTCAATCTTTCTGTGCTTTAGTTTTCTCATCTTTTATTTGGGAATACCGACCTCCAGGGTTTGTGGTGAGAATTTAACTGGACAGTGGGTGTTAAGTGTGCAGCGCAGTGAGGGATGAGGTGGGATATCCCCACCTGTACATCTGGTTCCTACACAGAGAACCACCCTGCTGCACCCCAGGCTGTGCTGCCCATCCTGGGTACAGAGAGGAAGTCAGGGTCACTCCACTTGGGTAGCTCAGCACACCTGCTGGCCTGAACGGGCTCAGGGAGGTGGAGGGTGAGAATGGTATGGACACATGGGGTATGAAATGAGAAGAAACAGGTCTGGATGCTCACGATCATGGCAGGAGCCTAATATGGTGGTTCTGGCAGGGCAAAGAGTGAAGAAATAAAAAAAAAAACATTATTTCTACAGACATCGTTTTCCACAAAGTAGTGATAAACTAAGAGTTGCTTTGCTGAGAAGGAATAGATGTGAAGACAACTAAGCAGAAGGAGGTTTCTCAGTCTTGCACACCTTCTGCTAAGGTGCAGAGACACGTGGCAGGTAGAAACCAGCTGGGTCCTCAGGCTGCACCACAGCAGCATGTGAAGAAGCAGCTGGGCCTCACTGGCCACTGCACAGCAGAAGCCCAGGTGAGCTCTGAAGCTCCCCTCACTACTTTCTGAGGCCCTCCCAACTCATGGCTGCCAGATAACTGCCTTCTCCCTGGAGGGGGACTGTCTAAGAGCCTGAACCTGCCACCTGAATGTATCCAGAGAGCTTAAGCTTACCCTTCAAAACCCCATCCAACATCACCTCCTCTGCAAAACTACCTGACAGGCTCAGTCAGAAGCCGTCTTCCCTTCAGTGAGGCTTTCCTACTCTGCAGCTATAATTTCTGCTAAGGTACACCATGGAATTTTGAGGTCTTAATTTGATTAGACTGAGAGATCCCTAAAGGCAGGGATGAAGATTCCCTGGTTTGTACTTTGCTAGCATGTAGCACAGGGCCTGGCACATACTGGATGTTCAATAAAGGCTGAAAAGATTTAGCTTAGAGGGACAAGGGAACACAATTCTAAAGCTGTAATTTCAGTGGAACACTGAAAGCATAAGTTAAATTCGATTCACACACTTCCCATTTACTAACATGGGGTCCAGTTGCAGAAACCAGGGGAACTGGGGGTCTGTAACAAGCTGTGTTTATAGCAATGCTTTCCCACAAAACGGCTACTCAACAGGTGTGAGTATCCTTGAGAAAAATATAGGCCTCTGTCAACTAGACCAATTTTGGGCCATGCCTCCACAAGCACACCAATAATTCAGGCATAGAATTAGTCTCTCAACATGTGGACAATGCTGTTGAATTAGAACAGATTTATTTCACTGTGTACAAATAGAAGTTTTGAATGGTTCTCCACTTTGGAGACAAAAGTGGTTCACAGGAAAGTAAAATCTTTGCTTTAAATGAGAGCTCGGACAAACATACATTAACAGATGCCTTCTAAACACCTGAGTTTATGTAGGAGCCAGGAGACCTGGCCTGTATTGCATGGCACCACATCCATCCCAGAACCTATTAGAACATGGTAAGGAAAACAGAGCCAGGTGGAGGTGTGGGGGAGGGATGACTGCTCTGAAGGCACATGCACCATAGTCACGGTGATGGGGGGCAGATCCATGATCCCCACGGGAGGCAGGAGAGCTGGTGATGGTCAGGTGGAGCCCTAGGATCCCAGGTGAGTCAGCACTGGTACCTCAGTCCTACTTAGTGCCTTGCAGTTCTCACAGAGTAAGTTGAACAAAAACATAACCTCGTTAAAAGTTACTGTACACCTACAGAAAAACACATCCACAGGAGCAACAAAAAAACCAAATTCAGATCCTCAAGGTTTCAAACAGAGAATTATGTGTAATATGTTTAAGAAAATATAAAAGAAAACATGATGAAGGAACAAGAGAACACAAAGAGTTGCTAATATAAATTAAAAATAAATTAATTAAAGCTTACAGATAAGAATCACAGCTGGAATTAAAAAGTCAAACTTCAGCAGCATGTGAGAGAGACCATCAGAGAGTTGTTTAACTGGAAGGCTGATGCAAAAGGGGCTCTCAGGGAGGCCAAAGGGTGAGAGGCAATAAGACAGGTTCAGGACACATAGCAGGGCGGGCAGGCTGGCCCCGATCAGACAGCATCATGGCAGACTAGGGGCATGAACATAACAGGGCTCATCATCACAGACAGGAACTTGAAATAATAAATATGCTGAGGGCTCCAACTGAAAAAGCACATAATGCTTAAGCGTCCAACTCCTGGTTTTGGCTCAGGTCATGATCTCAGGATTGTGGGATCCACGCTCTACACTCAGTGAGGGAGGCTGCTTGGGATTGTCTCTCCCTGTCCCTCCACTCCTCCCCTGCTCTCTCTCACAAATGAAATAAAAATTTTTTTAAAAAAGTACACAATAGGCAAGAACTAACAGGTAACGTGAGCAGTGAGACAGTGAGATGGAATCTCAAAGAATAAAGAAAGCTAGAGATAAAAACACCTCGGGAGAAACAAAGAATGCTTCTGATGAACTGATCATCAGTGATGGGAAAAACACATGTGCATCAAGGTATGTCAACAGAAACTTCTTAAACTGAAATGCAAAGAGAAATGAGAATTAAAAAAAACACCAGAACTAAAAAACCACCATCAACAACACAAAATAGAACAAAACATCCAAGATGTACGGGACAATTTCAAAAGATCTAACAGGAATTGGAATACCAGAAGGAGAAGAAAGAGAAAAGAAAAGGAATATTGGTTGAGAACTTTCCAAGACTAATGACAATGAACCACAGATCCAGGAAGCTCAGAACTCCAAATGGAAAAAACACTCCCAAATCTACACCTAGGCATTTCATATTCAAACTGCAGGGAGCCAAAGACCAAAAAAAAAAAAAAACAACAACCTTGAAAGTAGCCTTGGGAAATGGAAGGGGGCAAAGGAGAGAGGGAAAGGGGGAAGGGGGAGGGAGAGAAGTGGGGGAGGGCCCTGTACCTCTAGAACAGAGGAGAATCAGAGGATATCTGGTCAGAAACCATGTAAGCAAGATAAGAGTGGGGTGAAACTTGTTTAAAACACTGAAAGAAAACACCCACCAATCTAGAATTCTGCACCCAGCAAAATTATCCTTCAAAGGTAAAGGAGAAACAAAGACCTCCTTAGACAAATAAACACTGAGGGAACTTATTGCCAACAGAGAACAATGGCAATGTCACAAGGGACAGGAGGGAGGGAAGAAGGAGGGAGGGAGGGATCAGGAACTCTCTGGGAAAAGGTACCTATGCTAACATGAAATAGAACAGTGTTATCTGAAGGGGGACTCAGATTAGTTAAAATGTATATTCTAATACAACTGCTGAAATATATTTTTTAAGTATAACCAATATGCTAAAGAGAGGAGAGAAACTGAATCAGAAAATGCCTAATTAAAAGTGGAGAAGGCAGAAAAAGAAAGCCTCTGGTAATGAAGAAAAAACAGAACAAGGGTTACTATTAACCCAAACACATAAAAAAATCACTTTAAATGTGGCTAGTCTAAAGATATAAATGGAAAGACAAACATTATCAGAGTATATTAAAAAACAAGCCCCACCTAGATGTGTCTACAAGAAACATACTGGGAGTATAAAGACCCCTTTCAGTTAAAAGTAAAGAGATGGAGAAAGAGATACCACACTAGTGCTAATGAAAAGCTGGAGCAGCTGTCTTAATATCACACAAGTCAGACCTCAGAGCAAGGAAGATCATCAGGGATGATGAAAGGCATCCCATAATGATAAAAGGGTCATTCTCCCAAGAACACATAACAGTTCTAAATATGTAAGCACTGACCAACATGTTGCCAAACAACAAACAACATGAGACAAAAACTGACAGGACTGCAGGCAGAGGAGGAGAATCTGCTGTGGAGTTTGGAGACTCCAACACCCCTCTATCAGGTGCAGGCAGATCTAGCCACAGGTCAGGAAGGACATTGCGGAACTCAACAACGGCACCATTGGTCAATGGCACATGATGGACGTGGACAGCCTACTTCATCCAAAAACAGTAGAATACGTGCATTCTCAAGATCACTTGGAGCATGCACCAGGACAGACCACATTCTGAGCCACAAAGCACACTTTAACACATCCAAAAGAATAAAAAGTCACACAATGTCTGCTCTCAGACCACAGTGAAATTGAAATAGAAATCAGTAACAAAAGACAGCTGGGAAATCCCCAAATATCTGTAAATAAAATTCCTTGCCATATAGTTTTAATTTTTGTCTAGAATTTCATTACTGTATTTTTCTCTTGCAACTACTTTTAACTTTCAAATAACTTTTATCTCAACATATAAATGAAATGTATCACTGGTACAAAGACCTTTGAAAACAGAAAGTCATCAGATTATTCTAAGTCCAAAAAAATAAATTTTCTATATTACACATCCCAAGCATTTTAGGTACTAAATATTTACCTACAACAGCCAGAGTATGAATTAAAAGTTACAACTATTACAACTACAATGACATAAAGTCCTAAAGGTGACAAACATCACCTTACCAGAGCAAAAATCCCTGAAAGCCTAGAGAACACAAACATGGAAGCAGCCGAGCTCACACCCAGCCACACAGGGGGCACCCCATTGAACAAGCTGCCTCTGAGGTAACTGAAGACAAGTTTGTGCGTTCTCCAGAAGGGGCTTCTACCAACTCATATGGGGTTGTGAGCCCATCATGAGTTAGGTATGCAGGTATTCACAGTAGTCAACCAAGTCAAACTAACTTAAATAACACAAACTAATTTTGGAAGACATAGTGACACTGCAAGCTTGTTTGAAGAAACAAGCATTTTTATACCAGATACAAATGAAGTATTTTGTCAAATGCAACTCATTTTCCCAAATAAACCTTACTAGCTTATCTTCTGCATTGCTTTTCTACCCATGAATCCTCCACATCTATCTACTAAAGTTTATAAGGTATTAAATAGATTCTATATACAGATCACACTTTCTCAAAATGTTTTTCTTCTCTTTTACCCTTCTCTGGACTACCTAAAATGCCCTGGATAAAGGCCAAAAGTTAGGGGTAAAAATCAGCTTTTAACTGGAGTATCTCAACAGCCTTTAAGAATAATCAATTTCCTACTTTTCTTAAACATTTTTAGGGACTGATTCTTGAATAGTTTTTACTACCAGCAAGACATTACAACAGACCATTCTCTACTCTTTCCTAGGGTTGGTTCCCTAGGACTAGGAAGCAGTTATATTCAGGTAAGACAGAACAGAGAGCTTCCCCACCTCATACAGTCACCCAGAGAGATTGGGCCAACCATGGAAACAGCCTGGCTTTGAATATACACCTGAAAATGCTATTTCAAATCACTCTATCAATAAAGTGATCATTAAATGTCCAAACTGAGCGAAGTTCAATCTAACAAAATTTAAGCATAAATATGGGCAGTTACCAAGTACTTATTGCAACAGAACATGACAAACTGATTCTATTATACTGTAAATCAGTGGTTATTAACTCTCCTACCTGTACCCCTCTCCTCAGCAAACAAACAACACTCTACTTCACAGCAAATGTCCCTGGGTCTGAAAAAGCCTCTTCTATCCCATGTCCTCCTCCCTTCTCTCAGTTGAGAATCACTATTTTAAATAATAAATCTAGGGTTTGGGGGAAATTTTATTTTTGATTGATTAAAACTAACTCTGACCCAGAATAACTGATAAAAAGGAAACCAAAAATCAGAAGTTATAAGAGCCAATAAAGCTAAGTTCAAAACGGCTAGGGACACAAAGCTATCTGTGGTGCAAAGAATAAAACCAAAGTAAAAATTTCATTGCAAAGTCAAAGCTACTAATATAAGCATGGGGTTCTCTGAGAATAAATACATAAAAAGCACATGTCTCTACATGCTCACTCCTTTTCTGCACAGGCACCGAGCACAGCTGGTCTGGGAGGCCAGCATGGCACTGCAACTTCGTCTTGGATGACACTTAGGATTCCTCCTTTGAGCCTGTGCATTTCGTTATGTCCTTCATTTTCGTGTTTAGGGAGCATGTTCATTTCAGACACTATAGAGCCCAACCAATGTCAGAGGACCCATGCTGTAATCACAGTATTTTACCCAAGTAGCATTAAGGAAAAAAACCAGGCCTCAGGAGGCCATGAGGAAATAACTAAGCTGTTGTCTGGGTAGGCAGAAGAGTCGTCCGTGTCTGGTGTTCCCCCAAGTACAACCTATTACACCAACGTCATCTGGAAAACTCTTTACGCTCTACTTAATTCTGAAGGAGTAAGCCACCACTTTTGTAATTGTTTTTACAACTGTGAAGGTTCAAAATTCTGAAAGCTTAAGGGATTACAGTAATCTCTTGCAGACCTCCCTATCAAGAGTAGACATGGCCTATACAAATTGCCAATTTGTGGATTTTTGTTTGTTTAAAAATGCACTTCTGATAAGATCTTAGTGACAGGTGAGCTTCCAGGCCCTCTCTGCCCTGACTTACCTTACTGTGTGTGAAGGGGGGCGCTGTATACAAGGTGGGGTGGATGAGAGGGCGGGGCAGGTGTGGGACCGCGTGCAGGGGCACGTGTCCATGGATGTGGGGGTAAAGATGCAGAGCAGGGTGTGTGGGCTTCTCTGGGCTCATGAACTGATGGCCAGGGGGAAGGGCTCCTGCAGTCATTGCTGATGCGGTCAGTCCAGAAGCTTCCTGTTTACAAACATGACATTCACAAGTGTTTGGAGCTTGTTCGGCCTAAAAGGAAAGAAAAAAAAAGTACTTGGTTATTTAGTAAAACAAAGAATGGAGTGAATTAAATTAAGTCAAGTAACATTGTGCTGAGAAGTCACACAGCCACTACAGAGAAGACAGGGCTCATCTGATGCCTCAAGTTGTCCAGAGCCCTCCTTATAGAGTACAGAAGGGACCCCGAGAGCCTGGGATGGAGGAGACCTGATGAGAAAAAATGCAGACCTCACTACCCAGTCAAGCAGGTGCTGAGGTGGCAGCCACACCAATCTGCTCCTGTGACTGTCTGTGCAGGGACAAGGGGACCGACAAGGGTGGCAGAAGGGAGAAGGGAGTTGGGGCCAAGGATGACAGAGCACTGGTGCCAGGCTCCACGGGCCTCACACTGCTCAGGAGTGGTTACATGGAGAGTCTGCAAAAGACACCAGAGGTGAGACTCAATAGTCAGTGGCTCTGCCCTCTTAAAACAAGGGTAAAACTGAATGCAACTGTCAAAGCAACCATTTGAGGATCTGAAAATGAGCCAAAGGGAAAAAGCAAATAGAAAGGCGTTTCTTCATGCCAATTAGCAAGAACATCAGGTAAGAGCAGCAGGAGCCAGGCCTTTTTGCCTGGGGTCCTTCCCATTCCCAACTCCCAACAGCCCTTAAAAACAAACCAAAAAAAGACCAAAGAATTAATAGCAGAATTAAAATAGTACACTAAAAATTTTGTTTAATACAAGAAATAAAGTAAAGGAGGAGCAGAGGAACAAAAAAATATGAGACCTATGGAAACAGACAGCAAAGTAGTTGTACATACCGCCGACCATGACATTAAACCATCAATGAAGCACTCCAGACAAAAGGCAGAGATTGGCAGACAAGATACAAAAATACAAGACCCAACTAAAATATTCAAAGACAAATCTTAGATTCAAAGACACAAAGAGGCTGAAATGCAAAGGATGGAAAAATAGGTAACATGCATACAGTAACCCTAAGACAGCAGGAGCGATTCTGCAAGTGGGAGGAGTCTTTCAGATGAGAAATGCTAATGGGAAGCATCTCATAAGGACAGAAGAGTCGACAGAATAGGAAGGGGTAACAGTAACACACACATACACCTTCAACAACACTGTCCCAAAGGCATGAATCAAAATCTAGCCAATCTGAAAAGGAAACAGTCCAGTAGCAATATGTGAAGACTTCAGTGTGCCTCTCGGCAGTTTTTAGAACTGGACAGAATAATCAGGAAGGATTCAGAGCACCAGAATGATATCAACTTGACCAAACTTTCGCTCTTAGGACACTCCATCCAACAAGAGCAGAACGCAAATTATTTTCAAGTATATATAGAACATCATCTAGGACAGACCATATGTTAGGGCATAAAACAAGTCTCAATAAATTCTCAAGTTCTAAAATCAGTAATCTAAGGCTTGGATTCAACAAGCTAGAGAGGGAAGAACAAACCAAACCCAAAGACTATGGAAAGAAATAATGAAGATCAGAATAGAAATCATTGAAATAAAGGGAAAAACAAATAAAATTAACAACAAAATTGTTTTTTGTTTTGTTTTGTTTTTATAAAAACTGATAATCCTTTAGGTCAGTTTGAGGGTTTAAAAAAAAAGTAGACAAAATTACCCAAATCAGGAATTAACATCACTCTAGACCCTGCAGAACTAAAAGAATCATAAAAGAATATAGTAAATATCCTCATGGCATCAAAGTAGACAATATAGATGAAATAGAAAATCTGAATAAACCTGTAACAAGTAAAGTAAATTAGTAATTCTAAATCTTCCCACAAAGGAAAGACGAAGCCCACAGATTTCACTGGTAAATTCAATCAACTATTTAAGAAATCTAAATTTTAGACAAATTTCTTCAGAAAATATAAGCAGAGCACACATTTCCCAACTCATTCTATGAGGCCATTATTACCCTGATATCAAAGCCAAACAGTGACACTCTAAGGTTAGATGACTACAAAACAGTATCTTTTACTAACACAGAAGCAAAAATGTTAACTACAGATTATTACCAAACCAATCCAACACACAAAAATAAATAAATAAAAGATTATACACCATGATCAAGTGGGATTTGTCCCAGGAACACATGGTTGGTTTAATATCCAAGAATCAGGGGTGGCTGGGTGGCTCAGTAGGTTTTGGATCTGACTCCTGATCTCAGCTCAGGTCTTGATCTCATGGTCATGAGTTAATGCCCGGCACTGGGCCCGACTCTGGGTGAGGAGTCTACTTAAAAAATGAATCTAAGAATCACTTGATGCAACATACCACAGTAACAGAATGAAGGATGAGAACTACAGGAACATCTTAATAGATATAAAAAAGGGCATCTGGAGAACCTAATATACGTTCATGATAAAATTCTTAGGAAAAGAAGAGTTGATGGGATTTACTTCCTTAACTGGGTGAGGCTATCCAATGAAAATGTGCAGCTAGCATGATCCTAGTTACAGGCTGAGTTCCTGGGGCCAGAAACAAGGCAAAGATGTGTGCTTGCAACATTTCTCTGCAGTGCAGCACTGGAGGTTCTAGCTAGCTCAGTACAAGCTAGACAGGCTCAGGGCAAGAGTAAGACATGAAAATCATCCAGAAAGAGGAAGAAAAACTATCTTTATGTCTACATAATCTTGCATGTAGAAAATCCAAAGGAATCTAACAAAAAAGAGAAAGAGAGAGTGAGAGTGAGAGAGAGAGAGAGAGAGAGACACCAAAGAATAAATGTGTTTTAAGCCACAGAACACAAGTATTTAAAAATCACTGTATTTCTATGTATTACCAATAATCAAGTGAAAATTGAAATTAAAAAATACCATTTACTACAGAATCAAAAACTTCAATAATTAAGAATAACTAGAAATTTTTTTAACTGCTAGAAGAAAGATGATTTAAATAAATGGAGATACAGCACATTCCTAGGCTGACAGATTCAACTTTGTTAAGACTGTATTTTCCCCAAACTGATCAAATCGTCCCACAAAGAAAAGACTAGGCCCAGAGGAGTCTGCTGGTGAATTCCATAAAATATTCAAGAATTCAGTACAATTTCTACCAAAATCCAGGCAGGTTTCTTTGTAGAACAAGCTGGTTCTAAAACTTATATGGAAACACAAAGGGCTTTGAACAGCCTAAACAATTTTTTTTAATTTTTTTTTAATTTTTATTTATTATTTATGATAGTCACAGAGAGAGAGAGAGAGGCAGAGACACAGGCAGAGGGAGAAGCAGGCTCCATGCACCGGGAGCCTGACGTGGGATTCGATCCCGGGTCTCCAGGATCGCGCCCTGGGCCAAAGGCAGGCGCCAAACCACTGCGCCACCCAGGGATCCCCAGCCTAAACAATTTTTAATAAGGCCTACCAAGCTGGGGGGCAGGGATATCCTGCCTGATATCCAAACTTACTATAAAGCAGCAGGTAAAGTACACTATGGGAAAGAACCCATAGGTCAAATGAACAGAGAATGCAGAGTGCAGACAATAAACACTTGTATTTATAGCTCTGTGATTTTCAACAAATGGCTGATGCAATTCAACCAGGAAAGAGAGGGTCCTGTCCACATATAGCACTTGGACACTGGACATCCACATACACAAAAAGATGAACTTAGACCCTAACCTCACAGCATAAGCAAAAACTGGATCAAATGAACCACACCTTAAGTGAGAGCTGAAATTATACATCTTGTAGAAGAAAACAGAATTTTGTATAAGGCAAGGTTTTCTTGGATATAACATCCTAAGCACAATTCATAAAAGAAAAAACTAAGGAACTGGAATTTATCATTAAAAACATATTTTTCAAAAAATACCATAAAAAGACTTATAGACAGGGAGCCTGGGTGGCTCAACGGGTGGTGCGACTGCCTTCAGCTCAGGTCATCATCTGAGGGTCCTGGGATTGAGCCCAATTGGGCTCCACGGAAAGTCTGCTTTTCCCTCTGCTCCCTGCTTGTGCTCTCTCTCTCACTATCACTCTTTCAAATAAATAAAATCTTAAATAAAAAAAAAAAAGAAGGTGGCTGACAACAGTAAGATGGAACAGGAAATGAAAAGCCCATCAACGTATAAGAGAATGCTCAGCTTTGCCTATCATAAATGAAAGGAAGACTGAAATCTCAAGGGGTTGCCATTTCTCAGCAGACAGGTCAAGTCCCAAGACCATGACATCACTCTCTTTTAGGGGGGAGGAGAGGCCATGACTCTGTGACCCAGAGAAGCCACCACTGGTAACCAATCCTAGGGAGAGACCTACTTCTGTAGAAAAAGCCAGATATCAGATGGCTCACTGAACAGTGTGGAGTGAAAAGAATGGGAGACACACACATATGGGCCCATGGATGGGATGGGCCAAGAAAGAGAAACCGAACTATGGTGTGTCCACCTGTTGGGACACAGATAGGGCAGCAGAGGGGACGAGGAAGAGCGCTATTTGCAGAGTCAGGGTGTACTGCGGAGAGAAAAGCAAGGGGAACAGAGTGTGCATCAGTATGAGCCTTCTCACAGAACAAGGGAAGAATGAATATTAGCATTTGTATAAACACACACTAGTAAGTCAGACTAATCACCTACTGGGACTAGAACTGGGCGTGTGTAGGTGCTGGACAGGGTTGGTGGGGATGGACATTGGAGCAAGACTTCTCAACATAACACCTTTTCATGTCACCTTTCATGAACTGTGTGTCTACACTGCCTATGAAGGAAGGTGGTTAACCAAGCACCCCCACCTCCGTTTGTTCTCTCTTTCATTTCAGAACGAGGTGAGCAACTATTTATGAAACTAGGAGCCTTTAAGAGAAAAGTCATCTCATGAGGTACTCTCATAACAGAACAGGTGTCCACCAGAAAAAAACTTCCTTTACAAAGTCAACCTTTTCTGAAATTTTAACATTCCATTATTTTATTTAAAAAAAAAAAAAAAAACAAACCCTCCCCTCTTGCTTCTTTAAAGTCAAAAACCTCTATGACAGCTCAATGTCTGGAGCAGCTCCGGGGTGCTGCAAATTCAAGACTGTTAAGAGGGCTCAAGCCAGAGGAGCAAGATGAGAACGTGGTTAGAGTCATGTTTGAGTGTTTTATAAGCAAGCCTCGATCCTCTCTAGTTCCAATCTTCAAAAGTTATTTAAAATAACATAATTTTGCATTCACTAATGCCCAAGTTTAGAGAAAATGTACACAGAGAAAGACACAGAGTTGGGAAAAATGAAATCGTACCTGCTGAGTTGGGTAAGATGGGGGTGGACTGTCCACTTTACTCTCCTCTTTCCTGGGACTCCCACTGCCTAGAGCCACGTCTTGCTTTGGGGCTCCGGGCGGCTCCCCACTGCTCTCGCCATCTGCCTCTTCATCGTCAGCCTCTGAAGAGCTACTACTGGTACTGCTTACCTGAGGGGACTTTAAAGACAACCTTTGTAATTTATACCTTTCAAGATGGAAGAATATAAAACCGTTAAGACAGCAGATCGGCGCCACTTGTCGTTCACTATCACCAGGGGGGAGTCATGCCCATACCTCATCTTTGAGAGCCATGTTTTCCCCGCCACCATTCAGTTCGCTGTGGAGTCCATTCATGTTGGCCACCACCTCAGCATCATCGTAGTTACTCAGTGGATAAATATCAGCAAATTTAGCTGACAATGGTGCAACGTCTTCATCATCACTACAACTGAGACAGGCAGAGTTGGTCACCATGAGGCCATCCCCCAAGCGCACAGTGAGGGAACCACCCTCTAAGCACAGAAGCTTCCTTTACAGACTCAGTTCTCGAGAGTATTACACTGAGCACCACGCACACTTCTCAACATCTCTTAGTAATCTGAACACCAGAGAAAATGCCTGAAAGATTACCATTTGTGCTATTTAGACAAATGGAAAACAAAATGCCAAAAGAAGAAAAATATCTAGGAAACTGCCAAAATTTAATCGGATTAATTATTACTGCACTTCCATTTGGCCTGAAGTGCCTTGGTGCACAACTGGTGCCATTTCCAAAAAGACACAATTTTCCATTAAAATTAAAGAGGGTACAAAAGAACCACCAAAATTGCAGATGTAGCCAGGTGAACAAAACTTTAAAGGCACTTAGGCGCCAAAATACTAAAAGTTTTTTACTACAAGTCCAGCTCTGGACAAGCCAGTCACGATCTTAAATATCAGCTTTAACAAGACATCCAAACAATAAGCAAATGACATATTTATTTATTAAAAAAATATAAGCAAATTTCAAGGCTGTGGTCAAAGACCATTTCAAATATAGGCTTTTCTGGTGCGTGAAAAGAGTGGGCACAGAGTTCCCTATCAGTGCAAATTGTTCAAGGCATGACCATACATGGTAACCCTGCAGTCTATATAAACAAGCCTGAGTCCATCTTCAGCCTTGGCATACCATAACCTCCAGAAGGAAAAATTCTACAAACTAGAGATCTCTTGGGTTTAGAAGAGTGTCCAGAATTGCTGAACTTGGATATCCTTCCCATTTTTGGAAAAAGAGTGAATGTACGACATGCTATAATCTGGAGCTCGCCAAAGTTAACACACACAGAGCCAACCAAGTGAAGGCTCTCAGGTGTCCTGAGGCCTGTGGCACCTAAGGTGACAGAAGTGCTGCTGTGGTCAACACTCACACCCAATCCTGAAACATGACCACCACCACAATTCAGATGAGGAGGCCAAGGTTCAGACATGAAGTGATTAAATCATCTGCTCAGTGTAATGAAGGCAGGCTTCAACTACCCAGAGCCCATCAAAACTAGAGAGCCCCGCAGTATGGAGACTCCAGTTGCACGATTCTCTTTAACAACTTAATAATGACACCAAGAAAGAGATAACACAAACCAAAGGCAATACTGGAGGCTTTCAAGTCACAGCAGTTCACGTTTGGGAGACATTAATCTCACGTTGCCAGAGGAGCAGAGGCCCAGAGCAGCTGCAGGCAGTCCCAGCTCTCGGAGAAAGGTGCCCATACCCCACTTCCTCCACCACTTGACACAGCATGGGAGCCTGCACCTTACATCGGCAGCCGTGACACATGAGAAGGGATGGGCTTTTCCAATATAAGTTTTTATTAGACCATACGTGCTTAATTCTGGTATGTTTTTGTAAGAGGCTGGCAAACAGCTAGCTGGGAAATACCTCGACCCTCCTTTGCAGGCTCCCAGAGAGAGCACAGTATTCAGGACTAGAGAGTAGTTCGAGCTCAACAGAGTCATGGCGTTCGGACCCACCCCCTTAGAATTATTTTGTGTTTTGAGACCAGATCCATATTGAGGACTGCAAGACTCTGAAGGAAAGCCTCAGAGTCGTCGGGAGAAATCCAGACAGAGGCATGGAGAAATCTAAGAGATGCTGAGCAGCCCAAAGTCAGGGCAACAATCTCTCCCACTGGGAACTGCACTGGCATCCATCACCTCCAGAGGGCTCCTGACACCTGCACACTCTACAGTAAGCAAAATACAAACCTAAGTTTACCTAAATAAAATAAAAACACACATCCATGTGCAACCCGTCCAGAAGTTAGAGTGGAAAGCCTCAACAAATGACAGGGTCACAACTCTGAAGAAATGTGGGACCACTCACCTACAGTGGGAATTGGCGACAGCTGCACAGCCACCTCGCTCATACAAAATGTACTTCTAGATAATGTGGGAACACGGAAAACAGAACCTTTCAATCGCTTGCTAAAGTGATCATCTGAGTTTTTAGCAAGACATGGAATAAGCATGAATGCTGAACGGACAATGAGGCGGAATGAACTTCGGGCTGATCACCCTCAAATAAAATGAGGAAACGTGAAGCCAGAACTGAAGAGACACTTCCCTGCATACCAACATGGTTTTTTCTTTACCGGCATTTATAAATTTACCGTAATTTTTTTTCAGGTAGTGAAATAGTGTCAAAGTTTGGGTTTATTGATTTCGTATTTTAAAAGTTGCTTAAAAAATGAAGGATCCTTTTTCTTGAAAAACACTATAATGATATCCATACTTCTGCAGACATTACTGTCCATATTTCTCATTAATGGGTTACATAAATTTCTGAAATCTTATTACAAAGTCACAACTTACAAAGTTGGTGCAGAGCCATTGTCTGTGAGGATGAGTCTGGGATGTTGCTGAATTGTAATGGGAGAGCTGGAACCTGACCCTGAGCTTGCTGAGGACACGCTAGGTGGGCGCATCTCAGAGAGATAGTCGGGAGCAGAATCCACTTGGAGGGGCAGCTGGTGACTGTGGATGTCGCCAGTGACGGGGGGGTCCATGACACCACAAGTGAGGATGTGTGAGAGGCTGCAGTCATCACAAGCACATCTGAGTGGGAATGAAGGACAGTTACCCAGAGAGCCGAGAAAGAAGGTCAGACCATGCGGTGTCAGGGTCAGTGCCTCGACTGAGGCTGTGGGTCCCACGGGCTCACAGCACCCACACGACAGCGGGGGCTCACCTTCTCCTGTAGTTGCAGTTGGGGCAGTCGGGCATGCTCAGCCGGGATGACAACATGTGCCTCATGGCATCTGTGAAGTTGTTCTCACCAGCAACTGCTTTCTTATTGGTCAGCTAGAGGAAATCATCAAATGAGAGGTTAACTCTGCAAGACTTATTCCCCAACTAGGCGGTTCAACTTCTCAATAATCATGGTAATATGTGTCATGCCCATTTAGAAGCCAGTGGCCACAGCTTCCTAGAGTGGGACAGGGCCACGAGGGGGCAGACCAGAAATGCACAGCAGCCACAAGCTTGAGCCTCACTGAGGCTGGGGACAGTAGCCCCTGGCTGGCACCTCACCAGCACACACCAGCCTTTACTTGGAATTGGCTGTGTGCACAGTCCTCATGAGGGACCAGAAGCACAGAACTAAACTAAGGCCCCGAAGAGCTCAGACCCTGGAAACTGATGTGGGAGGTGCCCTGGCACAAATCTGTTCAGGCTGCCACAGAAGCAGAAAAACAGCACAAAAGGACACCAGGCCCAAGCTGGGTCCAGAGGAGGCAGAGTTGGTAATTCTGTCAGAGGCAAAGAGGCCATCCAGCTCAGTGGCTAAGCACTGAGCTAGGCACCCACTGAAACAGCTCTGGAAGGCCTGGCTGACCCTGGGCTGACAGGGAGGGGGGTGCCATGCCTGACAGGGCAGCCTGGAGGGACACAGGCCTGTGTATGAAGCTGTAGCACCAGAGCATCCACGAGTTAAACAGGCATTTGTAATCCATGATAGAAGCAGCGGGTGAGAGGAAGGCCAGCTGGGGAGGATACCCACTGCAGGAACAAGGTGAAGGGAGCAGACCAGAAGCTACCTGGAAATGGCACCCAAACTTCCATTTGACAAGGCAAGCATCTGAATTTCAGAGAAGAAACCTATAGACCACCTCTGGCAATGGGAAAGGTGGTGCCAGAAGGGCCATTTCATAGGATAGAAGCCATGGAGGAAGGGCTGGGGGATGGAGCAGGTGAGCGGACCAGTGTGGATGCCCAGAGACCACAGGGGTGAGGACAGTGGCGCGGGGGCTGAGGCCAGGGGCCACCAATGCCTAAAGAAGACCAAGGAGCAGAGCTGCCTAGAGAGAAAGCGAGAACAATGCCAGCTCATAGGCGAGAATCAAGAGAAGCAAGCTTTCAAACAAGTCAAGTGCTCTGAAGCCCTTGGGACAAGGCCTGCAGCCAGGCACATAGCGGAGGGGTAGGGAAGAGCCCGTGGGGAAGGAGGGGGAGGAAGAAGGCTGTGTGGCCAGCAGCTACAGTGAAAGCAGGGCCCAGGCCAGTGTGGGGAGGCCCATGAATTGGGCCAACACCCTGCTCCGTGATGGCACCACCTGCCTGTGCAGAGGCCAGACAGCAGGAACTTGGGTGGCTGTGGGCTAGCATGGGTCACTCGAGAAATAGTCTTCCTTGAGTATTACAGAAATCAGGAAAGAGACAGGGAAAACTAGTTTATTTAGGATCAACAACACTCTTAGGAGCAGACCCACAGGGTGGCCTTGACACAGTGGTGTTTTTCCCCGATCTGGCACGCAGCCTCCCTGCAGCCTCACCTGTTCTTCAATGAATCGCCTTTGTTTGAAAAGCTCCCAGTCCTCCGTCAGCATGCGCTGTTTGGTTTTCATTGTCATCTAGTAAAGAGATGCAAACAATAAAACCTTAGTGCCAGCAAGAGCCACCTGGGCGTCTGCGAGGAGAGATGTCAGCAATGGTGCACATGAGGAACATCCCCTGGAGGCATGATACAGACTCACTGCCTGGCCTCTATCTCGTTCACATGTTCTTCTCGTGTGGGAAACACAGAGGAGCTCAGATTTAGGAAAGAAATGAAGATCCCAGAGCTGAATGTGTCATTGCAGTAAGTGAGCATTTAGCCTGTACTGAATGCCCATCACACGCCCTGCCTGTACCAGAAATAAGAACTTGAGGATGAGCGCCCCATGCAGGAAGAGCCTTGAGTGAGGGGAAGACCCATGAGCAACCTGTTCCCGCATGGATGGGCCTGAGGACAGGACACAAGGGAACCAATCCGGTCACACAGGGGCAGATTCTGTATGCCACTGCCACACGAGGCCCTTGGAGGACTCAAAAGCACAGAGACAGAAAGCAGACAGGGGCTGAAGGGGCTGGGAGGCCAAGGAGCTGTTGCTCAGTCAGGGAAGGTGGAGGGGCTCTGTGGGTGGAGGGTGGAGCACTTGCCACAATTTAAGTGGACTTAATGCCCCTGACCTGGACCCTCAGAAATGGTTGGGTGCCATTTCTGGTACATTTTACATTATGTGTATTTCACCACAATTTAAAAAGACACCAAAATGAGAGGGATAGGGAATGAAGAATGGGCTCAAGATACAGTTTTACTGGGGTGGGGGAGGCTATGAAAAAATTAGATCTTGATGTTTATCTATGTGTTCTTATAATTACTGAAAAGAACTAAAAACTACTAACTACTAAAAAAAGAGATATGGAATATGTATCTTCCAATTTTTTTGGAACACAAAAAGGGGAGGGGGACATATTTAATCCACAGGCAAGAAAATACTGCCAACAAACCCTCCAAAACAAGTAATTTCAAAAAATAAATTCGTGCGTTTGAAAAAAAAAATGTACATAAACGACGAGAGAAGAAATCAAAACTGAAATTACAGTGCATGGAAATCCCAGATAATGAAACCCCCACAAATCAAATCATGTTAAGATGTATCCAACACAGAAGAAAATGTACAGGCTTCAAGGCATTTATGAGAAAACAAAAGACTGAAAAGTATGTGTTCCATGTAAGAAGTCAAAAAAACAAAATGAGAAGCCAGCTGATAAGGCAGGAAGAAATTAAAGTAAAAGCAGAAATTACTGGGAAAAAAGAAGCAAATGTGATCAATAAATCCCCAAACTATGGTTCTCCGGACTCCCTCTCAGGCTGACCAAGGGAAGAAAGGGCCACACAGAAAACGTGGGCATGAGGAAGGACAGACACGGGCACAGGAGGTTTCTCTTCAACCACAGAAGGAGGTATCTGTACAATGTAGATGTTCATCTCCAAAGCAGCTTCAAGCAGGTGGCTCATGGGCCACTCTGCTGTGCCTGCACAACCCACTGTTTTAAAAGCTGAGTCAACATTACAAAAGCTCTTGAGATTTCACCTAACAGCCCAGACATTAACTTCTCTGGACGTTACTGCAGCTCTGAAGCACTCTACCCTCTGCTGCCCTCCCAGCCCAGGGCAGGAGGTTTCCTTTCGGCACAGAAGGTGCACTCTCCGCACAGTGTGACAGGGTGGCAGGACAGGGGTGTAGAGCGGCTCCCCCAGTCTCATCACCTCCCCTCTGAGCACAAGCTTATCATTCCTTGTCTACATAGTGTGGACAATCTCCTAGGTAAACATCAATGTATAGTACTCACTCAGGGAGCAGAAACCCCCAGATGACCAAGTGTAACATGAATTGAAAAAGTGGTACAGGACCCAGAGTCCTGGCTTCTCCTCCCTGCAAAAATATGTCACGCCCCAGGTTTTAGGGTGGATTCTATCAAACCCTTTATTGGAACAGAAGATTTAAACTATTCCTGCAAATCGGGCAGCCCCGGTGGCGCAGCGGTTTAGCGCCGCCTGCAGCCCGGGGCGTGATCTTGGGGACCCGGGATCGAGTCCCACGTCGGACTCCCTGCATGGTGCCTGCGTCTCCTTCTGCCTGTGTCTCTGCCTCTCTCTCTCTAGCTGTAGCTCTATGAATAAATAAATAAAATCTTAAAAAAAAAAAAAAACTATTCCTGAAAATTAAAAAAAGAAAACATGGAAAGTTTCTCAATGCATTCTATGGAACTAGCAGAACCTTCATACAAAATGGACAAGGCCTCAAAGAGAAACACTTAATTATGCCTCAGAATACAAACCCAAAAATCCTAAATAAAATATTCACTACTTAAATCTAATAATAGATTAACAGAAAATACATCATAACCTAGTAGGCTTTAATCCCAGGAATGCAAGCATGTCTCAAAATTAGGAAACCTAATGCCTTTTTCATTTGTTTTCATAGAGAAAAACAAATACCATACCAATTCAATACCTATTCCTGTTTTGTTTTTTTTTAAATCATAACTTAAATAAGCTAGAAAAAGGGAACTATCCTTAATTTGCTAAAAACTCTCACCAGTACTTATGGCAAGCATCTGACCTCATGGGAAGCCAGAGCTGTGCTCAGTGCCGCCAGTTACACTCAATTGTGAAGAGCTGAGGGCTCTAAGGGAAGCCAAACAGTGCAAATGCCAGAGAAGCTAAGACAAAACTATTATTTGCAGGAGACATGGTCTTCTAGAAACTTCGAGGCAGCTAACTCACAAACTCCTGGAGAGTCAGTAAGGGCACTGGGTGGAATACCAACAGCCAGACAGCTGTGAGCACACAGCGTGGCCTTGACCCCAGAAGCCCCGGGGAATAAACTTGATGGGAAGTACACAAACTGTAAAAGCATCATACAGAAGACAAAACACAACCTAAAACCAGAGATGTATACCATCTTCTTGGATGAGAAGATTCAATGCTGGTGCCAGTTCTCCTTTTACATCCTGTATGTCTGCCACTTTCAGGAAAAACATTTTCCTCTTACAAGCAGCAATTACTGTTGCATGTTTAAAAATGATTTGGGAGGAGAGGGGATGGTGCGCCAGGGTGGTTCTGTCAGTCAAGCATCCGACTCTTGATCTCAGCTCAGGTCTTGATCTTGGGGTCATGAGTTCAAACCCCATGTTGGGCTCCATGCAGGGCATGGAACCTTCTTAAAATAAAATCTTAGTAACACCTGGGTGGCTCAGCGGTTGAGTGCCTGCCTTTGGCTCAGGGCATGATAGCCAGTCCAAGGATCAAGTTCCACATCAGGCCCCCTGCAGGGAGCCTGTTTCTCCCTCTGCCTATGTCTCTGCCTCTTTCCCTGTGTCTCTCATGAATTAATAAATAAAATCTTAAAAGATTTTAAATGAGATAAATATCAGGAAAGGTAATTTATTTTAGTACGGAACTCAGTCCAGAGCTGTTTGATAGCTAATATCAACAGAAACCTCCTCCTCTTTGACCCTCTCCTCACATCCTCTGGGATTAATTTTTCTGAACGTTTGGGTGTCTGCAGGCTTATGTCTGTGTCAAACAACAAATAAAGGATACATTTCAAAAAGCAAGCAAAAACAAGTGATTTCAAAGCTGTCACCTGTCTCCCACGTCCATGCTTATTTATAAATACTCAATTATTTTACAGATGTTTGAAACCCTGAAATTACTACATGATTTCTAAACTATTACTTGATTAGAGGAAAGTGGTATCCATTCCAAGGATTCCAGAATGACTAGTACCCTCTGGATGCTGCTAAAATTGTTCAGTTTCCCTGACTTGTATTAATGGCATCATGGTTTCTTGATAGGTGAGTGAAAATAAGAATACATTTTCTCGTTGCTTTAGTAAGGAGGATGGGTTTTCTTTTTCTTTCTTATTGTGGTAAAATACATATAACATACAATTTACCATCTTAACCATTTTTAAGTGTACCGTTCAGTGGCATTAAGTACATTCACATCATCATACAAACATCCCCACTATCCTTCCCTAAGATGAGAAACTCTGTCCCCCTGAAACACTCCCCGTTCTCCCGTCCTGCAGTCCCTGAGCCCATGAGTTACACTTCCTGTGTCTAGGAGTCTGACCTCGTATGAGGAGTGGGGGACCTCGTATACAGAGATTTCTACAATACTTGTCCTTTCATGTCTGGTTTTGTTCACGGAAAGAAATGTCTAAGGTTCTTTATTTTAGATCTTCTATTTAGGCCTTTTCCCACTTGAGTTAGTTTCTGCATCTTGGCTCCAAAGTCATTCTTTTGCATGAGGATGTGCAGTTTCCTCAGCAGTTTGTTGCAGACTGTCCTTTCCCCTCTGCATGGACTGGCACCCTTACTGGACATCATGTGACCACATATGTCAACACCACATTGTTGGGATTACTGTAGCTTTGCAGTCAGGTGCAAAATCACAGGAGTGAATCCTCCAGATTTGTTCTTTTGCAAGACGGTTCCGGCTATTCTAGGTTCCCTGAGAAGGCATACGAATTTTAAAATGCGTTTTTCTGTTTCTACAAAAATGACTTTAGGATTTGGATAGAGATTGCACTGAGTCTGTAGACCATGTTAGCTAACATGGACATTTTAATATTAGTCTTCCAATGAACGCAGCATGTACTTCCCTTTACGTCTTTCTTTCAGAAATGAGTCAGAAAAGACTCCTTGAGTCAATTTGTAAGTATTTTACTCTTGATACTGTTGTAAATGGGACTGTTTTTGTAACTTCCTTTGCAGATTATTCATTAACATACAGAAATATCACTTTACACATTTACTTTGTTACTGATGCTTTGCTGAATTCATTTATTCAACAGCATTTATTTATTTTTTTTACAGTCTTTAGGATTTTCTACACATAAAATCATATCACCTGCAGAAATAATTTTAGTTCTTCTGTTTCAATTTGGATGTTTTATTTTTTTCCTGAGCTGACTGCTCTGAGCAGAACTTCCAGTACCATGTTGAATGGAAGTAGTAGAAACAGCATCCCTACCTTGTTCCTCATCTTAGAGGAAATGCTTTCAGTCTCACCATCAAGTCTGATGTTTCTGTGGGGTTTTATGTGTGGTTCTCAGTATGTGGAGGTGGTTCTCTTGTGACCCTAGTTTGTTTGATGTTTTTATCATGAGAGGGTGCTGAATTTTGTCAAAAGCTTTGTAGATCCGCATCAATGGAAATGATCTCATGTTTCCCCCTCTATTCTGCTGATGTGCATATCACATCGATCAGTTTTCATGCCCTGATCATACTTGCATTCCAGGAAGATACCCCACTTGGTCGTGGGGTACAGTCCTTTTGATACGCTGGTATTTGTTGAGGATTTCTACACCCGTGCTCTTCACGGATGTTGGTCTATAGTTTTCTTTTCTGATGGTGTCTCTGTCTGGCGTTGGTATCAAGGTGATGCTGGCCTCACAGAATGAGCTGGGAAGTTTCTCTCTCCTTCAAGTTTTTGGAAAAGTTTGGGAAGGATTGGTGTTAATTCTTCTTTAAATGTTTGGGAGAATTACCTGTGAAGCTGTCAGGTCCTGGGCTCTCCTCTATGGGGAGATGTTGGATACTGATTCAGTTTCCTAACCGGACTGTGTCTCCATGACTTAGTCTTGGTAGGTTCTGTTTCCAGGAATTCTTCCACTTATCTGAGTTAACCTGTGTTGGTGTACAACTGTTCATGGGACTCTCTGGCAACCCTTTTCATTTCGTTAGGATCAGTAATAATGTTCCCACATCATCTCTGATTTCAGTCTTCTCTCTTCTTGTCCTAAGCCTGTCTAGCTGCAGGTTTGTCAACTTTGATGATCTTAACCAACTTTTGGTTTCACTGATTTTTCTCTATTCTCTATTTTATTGACCTGCTCTAATTTTTATTATTTCTTTCCTTTTGCTAGCTTTGGCTTTAGTTTGTCTTTTTTCCCCTAGATCCTGAAGTTGCCAAATTAGGTTGCTGATTTAAGATCTTTCCTACTTTTAATTCTAAGCATTTACAGCTGTAAGAACATATACTCTTAAATAAATTTAATTTCAGCTTTACTTTTTAAACTAAGACTGTATTTTCCTTCCTAGAGAAAACAAGTATGTCAGCCTATGCCGGTGACACGGTGTGGCCAGGTCAACCCTGACCTGATTAACAGCTGCTGCCAGCCCAAGGCACAGCTGGTGAAAGGTTACCATGGTACCTCAGAGCCTCAGTTCCCTCTGGAAACTGTTATTTTATACATGCCTCTTTTTCGTCAGAACAGCAATGATAACGCTGTGTATTATATTCCTAAATAGACTTTTAGCTTCAGGTACAAGTACATTAAGAAATTACTATTCCTAAAGGTTTTCTCAATCTTAGTAAAGTCTCAGTCTTTCCTTTCTTCTAAGAGTTATCTTGGGGCACTTTTTGTTTAGTCCCATTTCAACTGGAGAAATGAAAGGATTTCTGAAACTAGAAGTGCATTTATATCTGTCATACCTATAATGCGAAATGAGAAAAAAAGACTGCATAGGGCAGGATGTAGACCCCCCCGATCCATCCCAGAGTCTCAAAAGTATAATATAGAGGGGTGACTGGGTGGTGCAGTCAGTTGAGCATCCAACTTTTGACTTTGGCTCGGGTCATGATCTTAGAATCGTGGGATCGAGCCCCATGTCATGGTCTGCACTCAATGCAGTGTGTGCTTGATATTCTCTCTCCTTCTGCCCCCACCCCATGCTCTCTAAAATAAACAAATATATCTTTTAAAAAAGAGAGAGAGAAAGTATAATACAGAGCTCTAACAGTGTTCCCTCATTACTCCTTATGCCCTATTACCTTGAAAATGGCTGTTCTGAATGCCTCCTCCTCTGCCCACCCTCTTGCGGTTTTGGAAGGTGGGCAGGCAGGCTGGGGTGCCCTCTGGGAGTCCTGGTCTGTGTTCCCAAGAGGTTCGTGCTGATCAGCTGCATCTGCCCTTCAGGCCCCACCCTCACCAGGAGTACCCTGCTTTCTTGGGTCTTCCTCCATCCCTGTCAGCCACCTGCCAAGCACAACCAACTCGGTTCTGTCTGCATTCCCTCTCTGGATAGTTAGAGACAGAGAAGGGGCTCTGAGCAGCAGAGCATTCCATGAATGGTTCCACAAATTACAAGGCTCAGCAGCTCCCCAAGGCCCCAAAGGCTCTTGCAGATAACACTGAGCTAGGTGGCAGCCTATGCAGGTGACACTGGGTGTGGCTAGGTCAACATTGACCTGATTAACAGTTGCTGCCAGCCCCAGGCACAGCTGGGTGAAAAGTTACCATGGTACCTCAGAGCCTCAGTTCCCTCTGGAAAACCAGGGACTATACTCCTCCCACATGTACCTCCCCGATCACCTTGGCACATGTGCCTTACCCACGGCAGGTCCTGGTGGCACGCACTCACCTGCTCGTCGACATAGGCATCAATCCTTTGCTGGCATTCCAGCCACTCCTCCGCCACCCTGCGCAACTCCTCCTCAGAGCGCTGGTACCGCTGCAGCAAGGTGCTATAGGTGTCTTCATTGCATGTGTCATGCGTCGTGGTTCCTAGCCTAGGGAGAGAGGCATTTCAGCAAAAGAAAGGGGCCCAAAGGCTCTGGGCCAGAAACCAGAGATTTGCTTCTGTGTCACCTCTCTCCCAATGTGACACATGGGCATCACCACACACCACACAAGGCTGCTGTGAGGGCTCAGCAAGTACATGTGCAAGGCACCAGAACACAATCTCGTATAAAGGAGAAGCTCAAAGAAGGAAGAGCTTCAAAGAAAAAAAAATAGTAGTGAATAAGACTGTCCTACAAGACTAAGGCCTTGGGGCACCTGAGGGGCTCAGTCAGTTGAGCATCTAACTCTTGATTTTGGCTCAAGTCTTGATCTTGGGGTTGTGAGATCGAGCCCTGCACTGGACTCTGTGCTCAGTAGGGAGTCTGCTAGAGAGTCTTTCTTTTTCCCTCTACTTCTTCCCCTGCTCTTTTGCGTGCACGCTCTCCCCCTCTCTCAAATAAATAAGGCCTAGGATCCAGTTTACTAAATGTGGGCTTGTAAATTATTTTTCCCCAGTGAAATATACTGACCCAGGGAAAACACAACATTTAATGAAAAATATAAAACTTGGACCCAGTTTTCAAATTAAGTAAAATAGAAAATCTGATCCAAAGAAATACATTTTATAGTGTTTATTTTTATATTATTTGTTAAGAAAGATGGTAAGATGCAAACGAGAAAATGAACTGAAAATAAGACACAAATACTATAAACAATGAGGAAGACACCTAGACTTCCAGGAAAGAGAATATGGGATGAGAGGGTGGCCTGGGAGTGAACAGAAAGCCCAGCAGGGCAGGCAGGGACAAGGGGGTGAGCAGACTAACATGGCAAGTTGTCATCAGAAAATGTTCATTTTCTTAATATCCAAATACATTAATGCTGGAACCAAACAACTGTAATAAAGCATCTTGACAAGGAATTTCAAAATCAAAACAACATTTATCATCACTCAAGGGCAAAAGGCCGTACAGGAATAACCATCATGTCGACATAGAGAAACTGGAAGCTACACAGTGGGGACATCTAGATGAAAGGATTCTAGATAACGAGGCACCCGTTAGGAAGCTTATAATTACATCTCTTCACTCACAGATGTGCAAATATATACTGTGCTTACACCTGTGCTTTGAGATAAACTATGCCCAGGTTAAGTAAAGATAGGATGATGGCATCATGTTTAAAAGATGTGTGTTGGGCTGGACATAAGGAAAAAATCTAGGGGAAATACCAAAATTGTTTACAGTACCTCTTTCTCTTCATGATTTCTGTATTTTCAGAGATTCACCGCATGACAATCTAATAATTTTATAATAAAAATAAACAAGTAATTTTAAAATTAGGACCATTTCAATGGGCACAAATGGCTCCCTCTCCTTTTATGTGTCTCCATCTGTGGGTGGATCCCACTTGTGACTACTGTGTAAAACGGAAAACCTACAAAGGAACTCACAGCTGCTGAAGTTATCTGCACACATGTCCAAGTGTGGAATCACTCCAAGGAGGGACCAAGCAGAAGCCAGGCCTAACTGAACAGGTGTTTAGGGGAAGCCAGAGACAGGAAAGAAACCAACACTGACCCACACAGTGACTGAGACTCTCAGGCACCAAGGCTGTCCTTCTAAGGCTGTTTCTGCCCCTCAGGATACAAAACTCCTCAAGGCACAGAATCTAGGGACTCTGAGGCTGCTCTGGGCTCTGCACAGCTACTAGATGGCCCTTGGGTCTAAGAACACAGCCCTTTGTCTTGCAGTTCACCAGCCCACGGAGCAGTTGCTTTCTTCCCATTTCTGTTTCCACAACCTTGCTTGTTACAGACAGATTTCCATGCTTCACACAAAGCTTGCCTTCTATGTAATGCCATTGCACCCTTCTTATACTACTTGGAAAACGGTTATGGGAGCCCGGCATCTGCCTGGCACACACCCCTCTTCCTCTCCTACCGGAAGTGAGAGCTGCTCTCCTCTACCATGATACAGGTTCCATTTTGAGCCAAAGTAGCCAGGGTTCCTGGGACATCTCTGCTGGGATAATCGGAGCACAATGTGTAGGCACAAGGCTTACATTCAAGCTGAGCTGAGCTGGAATCCAGACAGAAAACAAGGAATGTCCTCACGGTCACACGACACAAGTGGTTTAGCAAACAGATTACTATCTAAGTATTCACTCTGTAAACACATGATAGTGCTATGGACAGATCCTCACAGTAACATCTATTACAGATAGTGTGCATGTGCAACATAAGGAGAATGAAATAAAGTCAGTTTTGGCAAGTTTATTCGCAAGCCTAATCAAACATTTCCCTAACAATATCATGTATTTAAAATAAAAACCAATTGGGCAACCACTAATACCCACCAAAACAAACAAGCAGATAGTGAGGCTCCTGGTCTTGCCACCAGGACAGACACAAGCCTGATGAAGCTCCTGGACCTCACTACCAGTCCTCGGGCAGCACAGACAGAAAGCCTGTGTGGTGCTACATGAGCACACATGCCACAGAACCTAGATGCTGGGCATCGCTGCAGGTTCTCCAACTGATATATTATAAGGGAAAACGGATAGGGTGGGGGCCTGCAGACTAAAGAATTATAAAAAACGTGGGGAAAAGAAGGAGTGGAGTCATTCACAGTGATAGAGTCTCTGGGTGATGAGAAAAGTTTTGGCAACAGTCATTGGTGATGGTTGCTCAACACTGTGAAAGTAATTAATCCTACTTAACTGTACAGTTAAACGTGGTTAAAAATGGCAAGTTTCGTGTTGTATATATTTTACCATGATTTTTAAAAAGTAGTAATGTGATAAACCAACAGCTGTTGACCTATACACTTTAAATGAGTGAACTGTAATGGTATGTAAATTATATCTCAGCACAGGGGTTTAGAAAAGGAGAAATAATTTACCCGAACTAAGTGAGCTCCTTTACATGAAGTCAACTTCATGTAGATTACTTGTATTAAAAAACAAAACACAAAAGATACATCAAATGAAAAATGAGGCAAGACTATGGAAAGGCACACTTGAACAACAGAAGAATAAACAAGGAAGGAGTAGGGCTGCTGTGGCCAGCAGTGTAGTGGAGTTCCAGGGGACATAGCAGGCAGAAGGGATTGACTTCCTGGGGCCACGGCACACTTGCACTCATGCAGCTGCACATCTGCTCAGTGTAGTCTTCGCAATCTGTATCATACTTTAAACACATAGAGCCAGAGACCAGGGTTCATGTGCCACAGATACAGTCATTACTTCAGGGGGTGGTATTTGTATATAATGTGTGTCAAAACTTTTACAAGTTGTTTAGTGCCTATCTGTACACTAGAAGATCAGATCTGAATTATTCTTGGGTCTGACAAGGGAGTGTGCTAGAGAACTCGAAGGAACTGTCCCTTCTGGTGTCACCAGCTCCCTTGGGAATGCTTCGCTTGTCTCCTCCCAGCTCTGTCCCCATCTGTATTTCCCCTGCTGACAATCATTGGAGTCTGACCATCAATTGCCATGAGTGAGAAAGAAACCCAGAACTAGGGGCACCTGGAGGGCTCAGGTTAGGATCTCAGGGTCGTAGGATTGAGCTCTGCATTGAGTTCCCTGCTCAGTGCGGAGTCTGCTTCTCCCTCTCCCTTCTCCCTCCCTGCTTCTCTCCCCTCTCCCTGCTCATACATGCTCTCTCAAACAAATAAAGACAGAAAGACAAGAAAGGCAGGAAAGAAAGAAAAGATAGAAAGAAAGAAAGAAGAAAGAAAGAAAGAAAGAAAGAAAGAAAGAAAGAAAGAAAGAAAGAAAAAGAAAAGGTAAGCAAGTAAATAAATAAATCTGGAACTAGGACACGGCCAAGAATGAAGTTTCAGGATACATTTCAGGTCCCTGTCACTCACCCCCAATTGATGACAGACCCATCAAATGAACTGGCTCAGCAGAAAAAGAAAATACAAGGCCCTAGAATCTTCCTGTAAGAACCCCCACCTTCCGAAGATGCATTATTTCATAAAAAGTGGCTTTGGTGGATGTAAACATCAGTGACTAGGGATAAAACTATCTCCTACATTTCAAACTCACAACTCTGAGAACTTCCCTGACTCTCTCTTTGGTGGAGGTGACAGAACACTCAAGTCTCCAAGACCCACCATATAACGTGCCAGATGCTATGAGACTAGACACATAGGGAAAGGGCAGGCAGGGAGCAGGCTGTGGGGAAGGGGATGCCGGGAGGGTCAGGAGCCAAGCAGAGTACAGGCTACACCCACACAACACTTCATTTTGGTCTCTCTGCCCCCACCACCTTTATCCAACTACTTTCAGGGTTATTCTTTCTCCAGAGGTGAGGGTGTGAAGTGGGACCAGTTATGACCCCTCAGATAGGATTTAGAAATACAGGAAACAAAGACTAGGTCGATACATGGATTTCAGGAGAAAACAAAGTGGTCTGGAAGCCAACCACAAACTTACTTAAAAATAATTTCCCTTTTTTGTGAATGTGGTCCAAATAAATTTCAGCATGGACATTTAAATAAAGATGACCAGGTCTATAGTACAGGAGTCCATTCCTTTGTGGGAATCCCACAGGAACAAAAGCACCAGGCAGCAGAACCATGGAAGCATGCACCTGGCTCAGCAGTGCACAGTGACTGTGGATTCCAGGAGCCTCCTCACAACTGAGCCGCATGTTGTCCACCCTGCCAGCCAGGGCAAAGGCTCTGAGCACCATCCTTGGCACCACTTGTCCTGGCACACATGAGGAAGCCCCACGGACACTCTACACCATAAGGAGAGGCCAAGCCATGGACAAGGCACTGAGGGAATGTGTGAGATGCAAATCCCTGCCCTCAGTGCCCAGGAGCCCTCCTCCCTATTCCCACACCCCCTTCCTATCTCCCGCTGCACACCTGAGTGCCACAGTCATCTGGCCAATCCTGAGTCTCATCAAAGTAAAACTCCACATTTATCACAGCTTTTTCTTATTTACAAGGAATCTGTGGTGTTAAATCTTAGGGGCATTACCAGTGAGTTTGTTATTTGAAAATTTAATAGTTCTCTTGGGGTTTGTAGTTTCTGTCCAAACTAGATGGTTCCCTGAGCAAGAACTTCCACCAGGCGCTGGTTTTCCAAGGCACACATGCTAAAAGACAGGGAAAAGTACCGTGCTGTCACACCATGGAGATGTATGCAGATGAAGACCAGATAGATACCTGATCTGCGACACCAGTGCTGGCAAGTTGCTCTGGAGAAGTGGCTCCGAAAAGACCAGATTTTCAAACAGATGTTTATTATGCAGTTCCCATGTCACCTGGAACTTTTTCAAGTGTTCATTTTCCTAGTCAAAAAAATAAATAAATAAATGGAAGATGTACCGAAATGATGAAGACTAAAGACTCCCCAGAAGGATCAATCCCCTCCATCCCTCTTTCAGGCCCAGAACATTCTGTGGACAAGGGGTTGCTGCTCCCTGCACATCCAGAATACACCCTAATGCAGACCTTTGCCACACGCACATGGGACCCCACTTCTCCTCCCTTCCAGATCCCTCACACACAGAAAGGGGCTAAGACACACACAGATGAAGAAGGGACAGAGAAAGAAACAAATGCATGTATTTGACGGTCATTCCTTTTTTTTTTTTTTAAATTTTTTTTTTAAATTTATTTATTTATGATAGTCACAGAGAGAGAGAGAGAGGCAGAGACACAGGCAGAGGGAGAAGCAGGCTCCATGCACCGGGAGCCCGATATGGGATTCGATCCCGGGTCTCCAGGATCGCGCCCTGAGCCAAAGGCAGGCGCCAAACCGCTGCGCCACCCAGGGATCCCTTGACAGTCATTCCTTACAACTGTGCTCCCAAATGTACTAAAAGCCCTACTCTTCAAACATTTAAATGCACACAAATCCTGATGTCAGAGGGCACTCATTTTCTCACCTAACTTGAGAAATCTCCCATTCTGATAGATGCAAATCATTTCTCCACTAGTGACATGCTGTGAGAGGACAAGTCCTCTCCCTAATAAAGGCAAACTCATCAGTTACTGTAGATAACTTAAACATTTGGGAGTGTCCTGGCCCTCACAGAGAATGACATCAGAAGAAACATCCATTTGTCCTCAACAACAAGGTTTCCTAGGGGCAGATCTTGCTACGAGCATATGCTCATGGGGATCCTTGCTTCCACCTGGAAGTACGGCTATACAGCTACTTGTCCTTCAGTCATCTTACATCCTTGGCTAGATGTTCCTTCCCTAAACCACAGACGACTGGAGGAACCACTGAACAGTATGTAGCAACACTCCATGAAATGGAGAACTCAGGGTGACTACTTTTACAATTTAGCCAGACTGAATCCAAATCATCACACCTGGAGACGTTAGTAAACAATCTACACATTAGGACTCCACTGTTTTGTCTCCCAACGGCTGGCTGGCGTGGAGGCTAGGAGAACCAGTTAAAATGGCCATTTCCTGTTCCTGAGCACAAGCATCGCTGAAACAGTGCTGAATGCACACCAGTGGCACCACTCCACCACAAAAGTATGCCAGCTCTGCCACCTACAGTCCTCTGCTCACACCCTATACAGAGAGAGGCCTTGCAAGGAAGCTGTGACACCGGCAGAGAACCTCAAACCCACACTTTTGCCCAAGTTTTCAGAGCTTGCTCTCACTCTCTGAGATGTGCATTTCAGCACCTCTCATTGCCATTACTCAATACAGGAAAGCTGGCCTGGGAACAGATAAACTCCGCCCATTTTCTGGAATGAGAAACAGTTGCCCAAGAATCTGATAAGGACGTGGCCACAGACAACACGTTGAACACATCATGTGTCACAGACGTCAGCAGAGACCACTCTGTGCAGGCACCGTGCCAGGTACAAGGACAGAGACTAATCCAGTAGGTCCCTGCTCTCCAGGAGTCACCAAGCGACAGAGGAGTAGGCAGTGATCCAATTTTTGTCTCTATAACAAAGAACATGCAGGAGCTAAAGCAAGCCAGACCAGTCCCCCAGCTGGCTGAGGGCGGGCTCCGGGGAGGTGGCTCAGGAGAGCTGCGGGCTTGCCTGGGCTCCCCAATAAGCCTCTGGGGCTGAAGTGTGTAGTCCCTGCCTGCCTGCCTACTTGTGGAGTGGGACACAGCTCTGGTTCTTGGGGCTCATGTTACTACAGGGAACTGGGTGAAGGCTGACTTAGGAAGATGTTTGGCATTTTTAAATGAAATCTGAGGGGATCCCTGGGTGGCTTAGCAGTTTAGCGCCTGCCTTCGGCCCAGGGCACAATCCTGGAGTCCTGGGATCAAGTCCCACATCGGGCTCCCTGCATGGAGCCTGCTTCTCCCTCGCCCTGTGTCTCTGCCCCCACCCATCTCTCATGAATAAATAAAATATTAAAATTTTTAAAAAATAAATGAAATCTGAAATCATACTTTGAAATGAAGCACGCAAGAGAAACAGCAAACCCCAAACTCATTTCCCAGCTTAAAATCAACTTGGGATAACAACATGCACAGGCACGAGAGTGCTTGCAGGAAGTGTTCTTAGCACTTGCAAGTGTCACGTCATCAGTGCCCTTGACAACCCTGAATTGGGTGCTGCCAGGCCCCATTTGCAGGCCAGAAACTGCCTAGAGAGGCTGACTGATGTGGCTGGGGGACCATGGGGATGGGAGTTTGTGGGGGGAAGGAGCGGTGTGCACTCACAGCTGCTAGGACAGGTGGTGCCTGCGCATGAGTGGGGCTGAGACTCAGAGCTGCCTGAGCCAGAGGCAGGGAGAAAAAGCTCGCTACTGACTCACACTGAGGCTTTTCTAACCAAACTAGCTTTACTTCTTACATTCAACTGCAAAAAGGGTTTTGGGGGTCTGGAAGAAGAGGAGGTATTTAGAATCAAGTTCTATACCAGACCTTGAGAAATACTAGGATATTCAAGATTCTTCTGTCCTCATGGATGGAAATTTAGATTTCATTACTGCAGCCAGGCAAGGAATTTCTAAATAAATGGTGGAAGGCACAGCCCAAGTGTAGTCCAGTTTTATTTTAATATTTTAAATAAACTTTTAAAATGTGACCCTATCATCCTGTTTGATCCCCAGGGTAGTGTAGAATAAAGCCACAAAGGCTTTTCCCATGAAAGTCATGTTTTTAGAAATACCTGTCTATGTCTACATGTACTCTGGGTTCCACAGATTCAGAAAAACAGGGGATGTTGTTTACAGAGAAGCCAGCTGAGTTAGCAGAGAATGACTTGGAAGGGTTTGTGCAGCAAGCCACCTTGCTGCTTGCTTTAAGGAAAACAAATGATATGATTTATGGCCATTATAAGATCTAAGCAAAACTTAGAACTTTGGAAAACTTGCATCTGCCACTGTGGCTTTAAAGCTTCTCCATTCTGATGAGGATCAATGGTGACAGTAACAAAGGTCCTTTTTTCTACTGAATATCATCAGGAAGGTCTGCACTAAATTACTTGGTGAACCAGTATATCCCAAATGACCAATGTACGATGCTCGAAAAACATGTGTGGGCAGATCCATTCCAAGCGTGGGCTGGCTGCACCACTGGTTCTGATGTAACAGAGTGTGGTCAGCTCAGGGACATGCTTTCAGATTCTACACTGCAACCACACGTTAAGAAGCACTCAGGCTTTGCTGTACTCTTAGAGAAGAATGGCTGAAAAGGCTATTAAGATATTCTTCCCTATTCCAAATACAAATCTGTGTGAGGCAAAATTTTCTTCAAGAACTTCAGCCAAAACACCCTATGACAACAGTGTGAGTGCAGAGCAGTTAGGAGAATCTATGTGTCCCCTATGGATACAGAAACTAAGATTTGCAAAAATGTAAATGATGCTCCTCTTCTTACTAAATATATTGGGGAAAATGGTTCTTTATTTAAAAATATGTGCTATTTGTGTTATGTGATGGGTTTATTATTCTAAAAGCGATTTAATACATAGTTTTAAGTTTCTCTTAATTTCAATGCAGCAAATATTGATAGATAAAATCTACAAGCGCCAAAGTCCTTCTGAGTCCTCAGTTTCTTTTTCTTTTTTTTAAAGTTTTTTTTTTTTTAATTTTTATTTATTTATGATAGTCACACACACACACAGAGAGAGAGAGAGAGAGGCAGAGACACAGGCAGAGGGAGAAGCAGGCTCCATGCACCGGGAGCCCGACGTGGGATTCGATCCCGGGTCTCCAGGATCGCGCCCTGGGCCAAAGGCAGACGCTAAACCGCTGTGCCACCCAGGGATCCCGAGTCCTCAGTTTCTAAGTTGAAAGGGCCCTAAGTCCAAAAATGCTGAGAACTACTGTCCTGAGACCCTGGGTTTAACTGCATTTTAACTTAGCTCTGTTAACTCTGTATACCACAAAGATCACTGCGTGGGCCTAAAAGGATATTGTTATAATTTTGTCATCTTGTTGGATCGTCATGTGAACACTCCAACCATAAGAGAGACTTTTAAGGAAATTTCTTTTTTTTTTTTAATTTTTTTTAAATTTATTCAGAGAGAGAGAGAGAGAGGCAGAGACACAGGCGGGGGGAGAAGCAGGCACCATGCAGAGAGCCCGATGTGGGACTCGATCCCGGGTCTCCAGGATCACGCCCTGGGCTGCAGGTGGTGCTAAACCGCTGAGCCACCCGGGCTGCCCTTTTAAGGAAATTTCTACAGACTGAGTGTAAGTCAGTAACAAGAAATCATGGTTAGTTTCTGTGGCCTGACAGGGTACCTTGGTACCTAAGATGATGCCCAGCCCAGCATCTGTGCACTGCCTGACTCACTGACAGTCTTGACACTGTAAAATGACATGTGGGCCTGGGAGGTTTTCACACCCCACCAATAGCACTTGTTGAAACCACAAACCTAGGGGGCAGTGGCTTATAATGACAAAATTTCTGGGTGGCGGTACCTCACCTCCGCCCACCCCAAGATCACAATGGGCCCACACCCCTGCTGTCTGTCCAGTGCCAGGGCCTCCCCTTCACCCTCACACCAAGGAGGTGGCCATCTGTGGCCCAAAACTGCGTGCCGATGCCACCCAGGGTGGGATTCGGGCTGTACCTCCTGTGTCTCTCAGGGTCAGAAGTTCTTGGAGTGAATGTTGGCTTTGGAGCGCACCAATTTCTCAGAATTCCAGCTTTCGGTTTGTTTTTCACCCCCAAGGCTTCTTGCCTTTCATGCCACCTCAGCAATATGTTGTAAAAGCTTTTATCCAGTTTATGTTATCTGATAATTCCGTCGTTTCCCTTGAAGGAAGGAAGAGTTCAGGGTGCCTCGTCTGCTGTACCACTGGAAACCAAAGTGAGTACCTCTGCATATAGTGAAAGTGACATAAATCACTGATCAAACAACTATATTTTGTTCTGAGCATTTACGAGTTTTTTTCCAAACCATAAGAAAATATTTCTAGGTAAATTGCTAAGAATTTGCTCAAATAAGCAGGGTCCAAATCAATCTCTGTTTGCTTCAAAACTGCGTTTCCCCTCTAACTGCCTGCAGAGGGCCTGGGCTTAAGAACCATCCAGGGCACAGTGGTAGTGCTCTTCACTGCTTTGCACGAGGTTCAGGGAGCAGAGTGACACTCTTCACACCTTGGCGAGCTTCTCTCCCAGCAGACTCAGGAAGGTCCAAGGGTGCTGTCCCAGAGGAGGTGGTGCTGAGGAATGAGTACTTTCAGTAAGTCGAGGCAGAAGAAGGAGAGCTGTGTGAGATGTGACATGAAGGACTGAGGCACCGGAGGCCTGCCTGGCCCTGCTTGGTGGGCTTTCAATCCCAGAATCTCATCTTGAAGCACAGACAGTAGTCCCTCCCGACTTAGCAGCTCCTTTTCTCACAATGCACGCTCTCCTGGAGGCTGTCAGAGTCACTTACCAAAATGGCAAGGTCTATTGCAGGGATGCCCGAGGAAGTCCATGAGCCCCAGGCCCAAAACTACTTGCAAAATTGGACATCTATAAATTTTCCTAGCAGGAGGTCTATCAATTTTAGAATCACATAAAGACCATTGTATTTAAAATCTCAGGAAATAATGGTTACTGTATTTGTTTCAAAACATAGTTTTACCAGTAAGAAAGTACCCAAAACTAGCCCAATGAAATATCATTTAGTAACAAAATTCAGGTAATGACAACTCCACAGACTATTGGCAAATCAGTATTTCTCTAGCAGTTGGAAAGCATGAATGACGGGTTTCTTGGGGAGCACGGCCTCCCTGCAAGCAGGAGCTGCACCGGCTGGTGAGGCTGCCTGAGGGTTCCAATACCCAGCTTGGCTGGTTTCCAGTGGCCATGCTTCTATGACATGCTGCCTCCTACCCACATATGCTAACTTACCTTGTGAAGTGGTCAGAGACCCATGAGGACACACTTGCTTGTCTCCTGCAGTAGGACTACCAGTGGGGTGCTGACCTGACTCTGTGAACCCATTGTCAATCCAGGGATGGATTGTGGGATCAAGGACTGTGAGCAAGCCCGTGTGCACACTGACAACAGAGCTAACAGCTTAAGACAGAAGCCATCTCTCTTTTCTCCCTATTAACACACACATGGGTCCTCACTTCATGTTGTCCCCCTCTTTCACTCCCTAGGCCTCAAGATCTCCACACTGTATTCCCATGATGTGTCACCCAGATATCAGTCCATGCAAAACTTTCATCCCACCGCAAAGTCCAGAGAGAAGAGAAAGGGGGGAGAGAGGATTCAGGTTCTCTCCTTCATGCCTGAACGCCGCAAAGGGGGTGCCCATGACGGTGCACAAGACCCACCACACACAAGCCTCAGCACCACCTCATGCGACCACAGTCATCCACTAGACTTCTGCCCGACAGAACTGGAGGAAGGTGGCTTTCTCTCTTACCAGTGTGCCAAGGAAGGTGCTGATTGTGCGTGCTGCCTGGCAGAGGGCGCCATACTCCTCGAGGAGGAGAGAGATGAACTGGTGTGCCTGTGGAGGGCCCTGCAGGGCAGACGGCGCTTTCACTTTAGATGCTGCCGACAGCTGCCGGAGGAGTCGGACCTTCATCTCCAGCACGTACTCCCTAGCTTGTTGCTCCAATCGCTGGTACAGCTGGTAGGGGTCCCTCTCACAGAGCCTGCACAGAGAAGACAGCATCACCATTCACCTGGGACCCACCCACACACAGCCCTCTGCGGAACTGTTCTGCCAGCAAGCTGCAGGCACCCATCCAACAATAGCAACAAGTACCATCTTCTCAACAACCTGTGAGAGGTGCCATCACCCTGCTCCACACAGCGCATCAGCTGACAAAGCTCAGTATTTACACCAAACTTACTCTGTACTAGCACTGTGTCTCACATGTACCAACTCAAGTAATCACTGAGTTAATCATTCAGCTGAACCCCAAAGTCCACACGGGCTTGGTAAAACACTGGAACTCACGTGGCCAGCAGGTGGCAGAGTGTCCACACCAGGACCTCAGCAGCTGTCTTGAGAAGAATGCACTTTCTCAACCACAGGACCATTAAAAACACAGGAGACTGAAAACAATTCATTTTCAATGCCCGTATGTTAGGTGAAAAGCAACGATTCCAGCACAGGTGGTACCTGGCTTGGAGGACTAGAGTAGACTGTTCTGTCCTTCTTCCTAGGAATTCAATATATAGCCCAAATGGGCTTGTATTATTTTTATAATCAGAGGAAACCGTAGAAGCAATATGTCTCTTTTTCAGTTATCCCACCAAAAAAACAATGAAAATGTATAAAATAAAATCTCTAAATTGAAGAGAAGGGAAAAAATTAATATGTGCCTTTCCACCAGGGCCACAATAGCAATTAACATTTTTATGAATGTTTTTCCTAACCTGGAACTAATCTACTAAAGTGGCTGCTACTTCTAACTGGGCACTTTGAAACTGGCACTGGCCTGCAGACAGACCCAAGACCACTGGGGCAAGGACAGGACCCAGCTGTGAGGAGCCATCAGGAAAAAGCACCCAAGGCCAGCACTTTATCAGACACGAGTGGTGAAACCTATCAAGCTGTGGTTCCTAGATTCTCCGTAGTTCCTGGATCCTTTTACCTTCAGGGCACCACATCTGGTCAAGAGAAAAGAATGGATAGTGCCATCTAGTCCAGTTTTATGCTAGCGCACCCCCTTGTTATAAAAACAAGAGGGGACTAAAACCTAGCAATAGGGCATAGGAAGCCTTCCACACAACGTGGCCAGAAAACAGAAAGACTTATGGAATTTCCACTGGGTTCAGTACATTTCAGAAAGATCTATCAGTTTTTTAGTGTTAAGAATCCCAACTACCCTGTGAAACAGAATGCATTTCATCTGTTAAAGGAATGCCACAGAAAACTCAAATGACAGAGAAACAACCAAACTTTCCAGTAGACTGGATGCCTCTTAGCATGGCCAATTAAACATCCATTTTATTTTTTATTTCTTTTTTTTATTTTTTATTTCTTTGCCCATTTCTGTATCTTAGAAATTTAATGAAATGGCCATGTGGTACTTCTGCAAGTAGATTTTTTAAAAAGTCGTATGACCAAGAGGCAGGAACATGCTAAAAGATGCTATGGTGGCTCATTCACATATACATTCAACAAACACCATTGTATGTGCGCTAAAGGCTATTCTAAGATGGCAAAGCCACAGCAGTGAAGAAGCTAAGGAAACAAACTCTCCACCCTCATGATGCTTATGGCATATGCAAGTGGATGATGGAATTCTGGGTAATGGCAGGAACATAATAAAAAAGAAGGCAAAGGGATAAACAGTGATGGCAGGGAGGCCCCCGGGGTCTTAGAGAGAGTGGCCTCTTGAGAAGGTGACTCTGAAAAGTAATGTGAACAATGGAAGGGAGAAAAAACAACCCTGAGAAAGGAAGAACACTGCAGAAAGAAGAGAAGAGCAAATTTGAAGGCCCTGCAGTAGGAACAAGTGTGGCCAGCAGAGGAATGGCAGGAAGCTAGCACAGCTGGAACACAGTGATGAATGGTCTGAGGGCAGCATAGAGCAGGACCGTGTGGGACACAGAGGGCCACAAAGAGGAGGCAAGAATTATCACCACCAGTTGTACAGGCTTCCAGAAACGGGCTTTACAAACATCTCTCTCCTGATGTCTATCAGCCCACAAACGACAAAGACAACAGCACTCTTGGATGCAAGGACAAGGGAAAGTGCAGCATATCTGATACAGGCACACTTTCAGCTAAAGGCGTAACATTTCCACATTCTTAACAGCGTATTTCACTAACAGGGTGATGCTGTTTCCCAAACCTCAGCAATTCCCATTACCACCTTTACCTTCTGCCATAACAGCTCTCATGGGTACTAGTGTCTGCCAAGTGTTTTCCTTCGACTGCTTATTTGACTCCAGTAGCTTCCTAAGCATTGGTAGTCTATGAAGTCATATGCCTGAATGGCAGGTCCCATGTTTCTTCCTCACACACACTAGGAAACCTAACTTCCAGAACAGACACCTACCACCCGGAGCCATATCCTGTAACACTGGGGATTTACCAGTCAAGTCCCAAAGACACTGGCTTGATTCATCCACCTGTTAAGAGGACCCACGGCCAAGCACTACTCCTTGCTCCAGGATAAACTGTGCTGTACAGAAAACAACGGTTTCTAAAACCCCCATTCAAAACGTGAGAAAAACAAACCAAAATGAGAATTGACCCTTGAAATGTCTAGCTCAAATGCATTCCTTTTATTTGGAACACTCAAAAAAGAGGGAAAAAGATGTTACAAATTCTAAAGAAGAATAAAAATGATGCCCATCTCAACTTCTGTATTGTCACTGGGCACAAGGTGTCTGCTGGAGAACAGACACTCAGCTGTAAGCCACTCCTCGCTGAGAAACACCCACACAGACAGGCTTGACAGCTGGCTCTGCACTCACACTACGTGCACGTTCTCAAACTACCTGACCTTTCAGAAGGTCAGGCTTTCTTGCCCCCATAATGGGATAACTGCCTGTCCTCCTTGGGTTGATTGCCTGAGAGAGTGCTTAGCATCATCCCTAGCACCATAAAGATTGGAAAGTTGTGTTACAGTCTGTTACACTAAGAAATGAGAGAAACATGTCGATTCATTTTTATTAAAAAGGCAATTAGCATTTCATCAGAATTAGAATTTGAAACTCTACCCAGAGGGCTTGCTTTTGGCAATCCCTCTGCTGAAGACTGGCTGTGCAGCTGGGGTTGAGCAAGTGGAGCCGAGCTTACTGGATCCTGAAAGGAAAGCCCACCCCAAGCAGAGGGGAGGCTTCCTGGGCAGCAGGTGAAGGGACATGACGCAGGGGGCAATGTGTACCTATCCACGAGCTCCTTCACCCCCTCCTTGTCGGGCACGAGACTCTGGTCTTGGTCGTCGGCCAGTGGGGTCCCCGCCTGGCGGTAAATGCAGCGGACCATGTAGCGCACTTCTGACCAATAGTTCTGCAGCTGCTGAGGTTCCCGGTCCGTCTCTGCCGAAATCTCTCTGTGAGACGGCACAAGAGCAAGGAGGTCAGGGTTAGTGGACAGTCTGGGTCACCCTTCACCCTCCAGACAGCCTGAGGGGATGGGGGACAGACTCCCACCAGCACCCTCCACCTTGTTCAGCTCCTGGAGCTGGCTCCCATCTGCTATGGCCACAGGGAGGCCTGATGACCAGCACAAGCTCCAGGTGCCTGCAGCTGCCCGGTCCCCCAGACCCCCATCCCCAGGAGAGTACAGACCCTCCTCACACAACAGGGGGAAGCACACCTAGCATCTCCTGTCGGGAATGCTGATGGTCTCCTCCATCTCGGGGTGCCCAGCAGGCAGCTCTCACTCCCCACAAAGCCCATGCTCCCCACTTGGCTGCACCAGCTCCTGTGATGACTTGAGCGCAGAGCCCCCAAGTCCCAGCTTCTCTTCCCTTCTGCCCTGCAGTCACTGCAGTGCCAGTCTGCTCAGCTTCCCAGGGAAGAGGCAGCTCTCTCTCCAGCAGGCCAGCCTCAGATTCTAATGACTTCGCTCTGCCTCCTTTCCCTGAATACTAGCTTGGTCCTGCCAGCCCTCAGTAGGGACCCAAAGATCCACATCCATCTTGTTCTTCTGCGTGACCACCAGGCTCCTCAGACTCAGGGATGGCTCAAAAACCTGCTGTCTTTACGGAAATGGCTCCTTTCCTGTTCCAGTTTCAGAGCATGTCAGAGTGGCCCTGCTCCCATCCATCCCACGGGCACACACCGGTACCTGCGCTCGCTGCAGGCCTCACAGGCGCATGCGGCGTCCGAGGGGGCAGTGCCCAGCCCCGCTGAGGGCAGTGTCTGTGCGCCGAGGGCTAGCCTCCCGCCGCCTGCCTCCGGCTGGGACCCACCAAGAGGGGAGTGAAGAAGAAAGTCTTGGCCCTGCTTTAAAAAGAGAACAGAATAAACTATATTCAAATGTTCACGGTACAAATTTATTAACATGTCAGAAAAATACCTTTTAGAAACAAATTTAAACCTAGACACTGACAAGATCTCCAATGACATCATCAGCATAACTTTCTCTTGGGCATTCAAGAATTTTGTTTCCAACCAATTATTTTTTACCTTCGGACAGTTCTACCACAATCTCATGAAGACAGTAAGTTTCTTTCATGCTTTAGAAAAGAGCAGCTCCACTACCAGGGTCCTAATCAGCACATGCAACAATCAGCGCAGTGGGCGCCTCCTCCAAGTGACGCCCCAACACTCATGCCAGCTCCAACCCTCATGACTGGACCCAAAAGCCCCTAGAAGGTCCCATCAACAGCCATTAAAGGTAACATAAATACAATCTTTGCCCTCACCCACCCAACCCCCCTCCGATCTTGGTTTCTCCTGTCTTGGGACATGACCCCACACCCACCCAACTGGCACCTTGTCCCTCAGGACAGGACCTGAGAGGGACTCTATTATTACAACACAGACGTGTGGGCTCCAGTCCTAGAACAGATGATCCCCGTGGTGAAGAAAGGGTACTAACAGGGTAGCTAGCCCCAAGCCATCGCTCCAACAGCCTAAGTAGAAGGGCAGAGCCAGGGGAGCAGCCCCTGAAGGGAGTGCACACACACAAACAGAACAGAGACCAGACCTGAGAGGCTGCGGTGTCTGCCGGGTGCTTGTACAGAGGGGTTGGACACCCGTGGCACCACCCCAGCCGCCTATTAGATGAAGCACAGGGAAACCAGGCCTGTCAGGGGCCCCCTGGGAGTTTGGGCACATGGACATGGGAGGGAGCAGCCTCTATTACATGGCAGGCTGGGGGCAGGGGGCTTGCGTCAGCAAACAGCTCCACCTGAAAAAGTTCCTGCTGGGTGAGTATGTCCCAGAATTACACCAGGGGGCAGAGCAGGGGTGGGAGGTGTCACACCTCCTTCCATGGCAGACAGTCTGGTGCAAATTCCCCACTGAGGTCTAGGAAAACCTAAAGGAGGGCCTCTTATAAGCAAGAGCCACTCACCTGTGGGACACCTGTTAGGACCCTGGGCCTTGGTCACCAAAGAGAACTCACAGACAGCCCAGAAAGGAGACCTCCCCTGAATAACTCTGGCCCAAAGCCCCTTCTCCAGCCAGGCAGAGTTGGGAGGGCCAAGGAAGCAAGATAAGCACCACTGCCCTCCACCCCATGACATGCCCTTGGTGATCCACGAAGGCCCTTAGAACGGTGACACTCAGGTTTTCGGTAAATGGGACCAGAGCACCTGAAAGTGAGAGGATTCTAATACCCACAGCGACTAGAAGGGCTCGACAGGTCTGAAAGCAGTGCTGGCAGAACCAGGTTGTCCCCCAAGAGCAGCAGGTCAGTGCACTGCACAAAGGAGGATTCATCTCTTCTCCAGCCCCCTCAAATCAGACAGCAAGGCTGCCCATGCGACTCCCATGCTCAGCAGATGCACAGCTCACTCCTGCTTCTCCCTCCACTGCTCCCAGCCAGTCCACCATTTCCATCTACACTCACAGCCCTTTTGCAAGCAGCAGCCAGAGTGGTGGTGAAAGTAAGACCCTGTCACTCCCCTGCACAGAACCTTCCATGCCACTTAGAAGCAGATTCTAAACTTCTTACCCGTCTTCAAGGTTTCCTAGGACACATTTAAAAGCTTTTCTTTCACTAAGTCTTTGCCTAGATTACTAATCCATTCAATCTGTGAACAGCCTGACAGGCTGACAGAATTCTCAGTCACACCTCAGCAGGGAGTCGGGTGGAGCCAGGTAGCAGCATTCCTGCCTCTCTCTCTGCCCCACATCCACTCTTCTTTGCCCTGCTGTGTGCACCAACAAAGCACCCAGCAAACATAGCTGCTTGGCCAGTGGCATCATGCAGGGGCCTGGCCGGCAGGGGGCGCTGGAGGAACATCACAGAGGTGGCAGCGACTGGCCTTTTGGGCTGGAGCAGGACTGAGCACACCCACTCCCGTGACAGCCTGTCAGGCCTTGGCCTGCAGCTTCTCAATAGCTGTTCTGCTACCCAGAGAGCCTCTCTCAAGGGTGTCCAGCCTGAAGTCCTCTCCTACAGCTGACCCGGCCTGATAGTGGGGGCTCCCCAGTTGCCCATGGCTGGACTCTAGTGTTCCCTTCCCAGATCTACGCAGCTGATCTTCTGTTACTAGTTAACAGTCGGTTCTTGGCGCCAAAGTGTCCCTGTTCAAATGACTGACCTTAGTCACTCCTGTTAATCTTTTATTCACAAACTGCTACATGAAATCCTGGTGTTTCCCTTGTTCTTTGTTGTTTTGTTTTTACCTGTCTTCATCACTGGAAGATCAGTTCCACAAGAGCAGGACCCTTTCTGTCCTGCTCACCGCTGTACACTAGCACCAACAATGCTGCCTGACACACAGGATAGACTCAGAACAACAACCAAGAACCTGGAAAGTAACATTTCCTGGTGACAAGGGATGAAATGAAGCCCTTTAAAATAGCCCATGATGACTACATAGTACATCCTTAAATGTGTCACCTTCTAGTACTCATCTTACACAGATTTAACTTTAGTTATTTTGTTCTGTCCAAGTCTAACACAGTTAAAAGAATATAACAAAACCCAGCACTCAACAATGTAAAATAGACAATGTCCAGCATCCAATGACAAAACCAAGAAGGAAAATACAACACATAACCATGAGGGAAACCAATCAAGAGAAACAGATCTTTTTTTTTTTTTTAAGATTTTATTTATTTATTCATAGAGATGCAGAGAGAGAGAGAGAGAGAGAGAGAGAGGGGCAGAGACACAGGCAGAGGGAGAAGCAGGCTCCACGCAGAGAGCCCGACGCGGGACTTGATCCCGGGTCTCCAGGATCACGCCCTGGGCTGCAGGCAGCGCTAAACCGCTGTGCCACGGGGGCTGCCCAGAAACACATCTTAAAATAACAAAAATGAAGCAACCAATGGATAAGAATCGGAAACTGGTGATTATAAACTCTATGTGTCAGAAAGTAGAGGAAAACATAAACACGAGAGGAGAGAAAGTGAAGATGTATAAACAGTAGCAAATGGAACTTCTAGGGATGAAAAATATATCTTACAGTAGAGTATTAAATCTGAAACAATAAAAAATTCAAATGAGGCACAGCAAGAAACAAGACAAAAAAATAAAGCATTTCTAAAAAGTCTAACATGTGGGTAATGGTGTCTCAGAAAAAAAAATTATGGGATCCCTGGGTGGGGCAGCGGTTTGGCGCCTGCCTTTGGCCCAGGGCGCGATCCTGGAGACCCGGGATTGAATCCCACATCGGGCTCCCGGGGCATGGAGCCTGCTTCTCCCTCTGCCTGTGTCTCTGCCTCTCTCTCTCTCTCTCTCTCTGTGACTATCATAAAAAAAAATTATATAAAGAAATAGTTAAAAATTTCCCATATTTGATGAGACTGTAACTCGAATATCTTAAAAACTCCTCTAAACCAAAGCACAATAAACAGAAAGCAACCACACCAAGACACATTAAAAAGGGCTGAGAAGTAACAATGAAGTACAAATCTGAGAAGCAGGCAGAGGAAAACATCCCTTCTATGCACAGGAGCAGAGACAAGCATGACAACATGCTTTCAACAGAAACTGGGGAAGCCAGCAAAGAAATGACCAAAGAATTTTAAACAAAAATAACTTTTTAAAATGAAAGCAAAAGAAAAGCTCTCAAACAGAAGCTTCCCTGTACTATAAAAACTGTTACAAGCAGTCCTTGAGGCAGAAGAGGAGCCAAAGACGAATGGAGCTACATGCAGGAGTGATGAGCACCAACCCAAAAAGTGGGGGGCAAGGACCTTGCTGATTTTAAAAGTCTTTAAAAAAGATAATTAACTATTTAAAGCAAAAATAAAAATGTATGGCAAAGTCTGTAATGTATATGAGAAAAACAGACAACTACCCAACTGGTGGAACTCAGAGTGCAATATTTTAAGGCCCTTAATACTACATATTAAGTATATAATATTCCTTGAAAGTAGAAGTTGCAAATTTGAAGATATGTATTGTGAATTCTAGAACCACTAAAAATAATGAAACAAAGTGAGATAGTTAATAAGCCAAGAGGAGGCAAAATAGAATAAAAAAATATTCAAGAGGCGCCTGGGTGGCTCAGTCATTAACTGACTCTTGATCTCAGCTCAGGTCCTGATCTCAGGATCGTGAGTTCAAGCCCCATGTTGGGCTCCATGCTGGGTGTGGAGCCTACTTAAAAAAAAAAAAAAAGAAAGAAAAAGAAAAAATTGGGATCCCTGGGTGGCGCAGCGGTTTGGCGCCTGCCTTTGGCCCAGGGCGCGATCCTGGAGACCCGGGATCGAATCCCACGTCGGGCTCCTGGTGCATGGAGCCTGCTTCTCCCTCTGCCTGTGTCTCTGCCTCTCTCTCTCTCTCTCTGTGACTATCATAAATAAATAAAAATTAAAAAAAAAAAAAGAAAAGAAAAAGATATCTGGGGGGGCATCTGGGTGGCTCCGTGAAGCAGGTGAAGCATCTCCCTTTGGCTCCCAAGATACTGGGATCATGCTCAGCATGGGGCTCCTTGCTCAGCAGGAAGTCTGCTTCTCCCTCTCCCCACAGCTCATGCATGCTCGCTCTCTCTCAAATAAATAAATTAAAATTAAAGTTTAAATAAAAAAAGAAAAATATCTGGAAAATATGCCAAGGTATTTAGAAATTAAAAAATACAATTCTAAATAATTCATGAGTCAAAGAATAAATCACAATAAGGGCAATCATAAAATATTTTTAACAAAATGAAAAATATAACATCAGAATTTGGAGGATGCAGCTGAAGACATGCTTAAATAGAATTTTATGAAATTAACTATGAAGTCAAAAGATAATAATAAACCTAAAGGCAAAAATTAATGAAACAGACAAATGAAAAATCAATTCAACTAAAATATGGTTCTTAGCTTAATAAAAA